ATTCATTCCGAATGGTCAGTTTCGAAACGTCGGAAATGTATCTAGAAAGTTCCAAAGTGGACTCATGGAGGGATGCTGGATTTCTCCATGAATTTATTGTTGAAGTACACTAATAGGAACGCTGATGATCTGATCTGGCCTTCCAGCAGCTGCGAATGCCTCATCATGTGGAACTACTTTGGGTGTGGGCGAGAGGATGAATTGCCGATTTTTCTTTGTTTGTACACATCTTTGCAGTTTTTGGCGGCAATTTTTTTTTTCCGGAGTTGTATGCAAGATCATAAGATGTTGCAGTGCCACTAGGCATGCCAAATCTGTTGTCGTAAAAAATTGCCACTTATGGACTACTTGGAAAAGGCCTGTCGGAATTAATTTTTTCAAAGGATTTTCTGGTCTCTTCAAGTAAAATTTGGGCTATCGCGCAATAGTTTTGTGAATAACAAAGCGAGAAGGCCGAAATTCGAATTCAAAGGTACAATAATACTAAAAAGAGGCTTAAATTTCTTGAAAAATGCAGAAAAATGAACAAAGTTGTAGAAAAAATAAATTAAAGTGCTGAAGAAAATTGATAGAACAAATATACGTAAAGAATAAAATGTATAAAAGTGATGAAAATTTTCATTCAGAAAGAAGGCTTTGTATGACCTTAAGCAAACACCACGAGCCTGATATGAAAAACTAGTTGAATACTTTATTTTTGTGGTTTTAAAATATCTGATGCCGATTCCAGCGTGTTCATAAATTTGGAATCAAATTTGCACCTTTTTTATCGGAAAGATCAAGGGTTTTATAGATATAAAATAAATAATAATATTTACAAATACACCGGGCATACCCGTGAGGGAAAAAAACTAGTAAAAATAGAATAAATTCCAAATTTATCATATTGATCAACATGCCGAGAGATAACTACTAACAAAAGTAAAATACATAAAATAAAAGCAACAAGCCCTCAACTCAAATATACTAATAAATAAATAAAAGTATGAAAGAATGGAATCATCCAAAGCAGAGGTTGTGATTCATGTGCTTGATCCTCTTCATTTTCGATTAGAAGGGTCTGCAGATATAAAATTACGAAAACAACAAATTTTAATTGTTGATGCAGGTATGTTCAGCTCCAAAGAAATTCTCTAAAGATCCCTTGTTTTGGCTACTCCAAATATAATAGATGGTAGTGGCGAAAGAAACATGTTTCATGAACTTAAGGTTAGGGTCAGGATTACGATCATTTTGGAGCCAAGTAACCGATGTTTTTGATGGAATCCAAGTTCCTCGCAATTTTTAGCCAACTGCATATATCCAGCCATACTTTCGAAGCAAAAGAGCACTTGAAAAATAGGTGATCAATATCCTCAACATAATCTTTACAAAGAACACAAAATGGATCAATATCAAGGAAAGACAAACGATTTTTAGTTTTTAATTTACCGCAAATAGCAAACCACAAAATAAATGTGTGCTTTGGCAGCGTTGCAACATTCCAGATTGTTGCAACATAGTCATATCGGGGGCCAAGGGCCTTGTAGTAGCGCTCCTAACATAAAAGGTTTTTGCGGTTAAAAATTTATATATAATACATCAGAGGCAAGTTCACTCACTCAGCCCGTCTTTCGATATCCGATACGTCCCCTGTCCCGGAGGTGCTATGCATTCTTGAACCAAACATTTTTCTTAAAAGTAGTCCAGAATTAAATCCATTTTAAGAACTAACATGAAATATGTCATGTCATACTTTTAAAAGTAAAGTCTAATCCCCGTTAATCACAAAATACGCATCATGCCATGCCAATAGTGAAATGATGCAACAAAGATATCGAACTCGACAACCATGCATATGCGCGCGCACACACACACACACACATATATATACCTCCGTCGAACTAAGCATTCGGAATAACCTCGGCTTTATAATTATAAGCTCACTAGACCATCATTAATAAATAGCCGAAAAATCATCGGCTCAAGGAAGGACCTGATAACCCATAATAATACTCACCATACGACTCCCACAATCAATACATGGATAACCGAACATTGTCGTAATTAACCACAAGACGCCCCAAAGTCTGTGATAACGAAGATAGGACCCTCCTGTCTAGCCCTATCCCGTTTAATGTATTAGAATCAGTGCAACCTGGAATCACCCAAAAGAAACCTGTAAACTCTACTCCCCCTCGCACGCCCTAACAGGATCACATTTGGAGTTTGACATATGATTCTAAACTATCGATAAACCTCACCACTGGTCAGCCCAATGAGTAAAAAGAAAATTCAGCTTAGTAAGAAACGCACAAAGAAAATCCCAAGAGATATAATCGGAATCCTTGCGGAGGTGGAGCTTTATCATACATTGAGCGGAGCTCATCTTTCTCGAGTAGTGTTTGAGGAGCTCTTGAAGTAAAAAGACGTTCTCCGTCATAAGATGCCTATGAACAAAAGCCCATTGAGATAAATCAATAATGTTGCTAAGGCCAATTTTAATCCTATTGGCCAGGATTTTAGAGATCACCCTAAAAATAACTTTGCAACAAGCTATCGGCCTAAAGTCCCCCACTCCAGGCGCAGTGGTAGTCGTAGGGATGAGAACGAGGATGGTATGATTAACCTCTTTGAGGAGTTTCCTATTGGTGAAGAAATCATTGATTTCCGAGAAGACATCAAGGCCAAAAATACCCCACGCCGCAATAAAGAACCAATGGAGAAACCATCATTACCGGGAGATTTATCGATACCCATGAGTTTAAGGACCAAGAGGACCTCATCCATAGTAACTGGGGCCAAGATCTCATAGTGAATAGAATCGGGAATTAAGGGACCATTAAGGATGATCTCGTCATAAAGATCAACAACATCCGAGGTTGTCCCAAGAAGTTGCTTATAAAAATCCATGGCTTCCCCCACAACTTGATCAAGAAATGAATTATCTATTCACTTCGAAATGAAGAATCTAGGCAAAATGGGTTGTTTTCTTGGTATCAAAGTCGAATGATCAAAAGAAGGATACTTCCTTTCACATAAATGATATGCTGATATGCAAGAAAACTTTTGAAATGCTTTAGAATGAAGGAATCAAAAGGAAAAGCTACGCCAATGGAACCACAACTCAAACTAAAGAAAAATTTAAAAGAGTTGTTAAAGAATACTACAAAGTTCAGACAACTTGTTGAAAGCTTAATTTATCTAACTATTAGAAGACCTGAAATTTTTTATTCAATTGGCATCATTTCTCAACATATGCAGAATCCAAGAACCACTCATTTAGAATTTGGAAAAAGAGTTCTATGCTATGTGAAAAATACAATGGACTTTGGTCTCATGTATAGTTGTCGAAATAATTTTATACTGAGAGAATATTGTGATGCGGATTGGACAAGCGACGAAAATAATCGTCATTCAAGTTCTGGTTATTCTTTCAACATTGGTTCAGCTGGGGTTCCATGGTGCAGCAAGAAACAAACACATGTTGTTCTTTCGAGCTGCGAGGATGAGTATATTGCAACATCTATGGCAGCGAAAGAATGCGTTTGGTTAAAGAGACTGATAGAAGAAATTTCTGGAAAGACCAACTGTGCTGTAAACATTATGTGATAACGAGAGTGCCGTCAAACTAGCTTCAAATCCAATTTTTCATGCTCGAATAGAGCACATAGAAGTTCGTCATCATTATGTTCGTGAGAAGGTTCTTAATGGCAATATATTGATGTGAAAGTAGTTTCCTCAACTCATCAAGTTGCAGATATATTTACGAAGATCTTGAAAAACTCCAAGTTTGAATCTTTTAAAATAACCTTAGAGTCATTGATGAAAATCATGCACGAAGAGGGAATTACAAAAATTAGTGCATATTATTTTATATCATTTTATATTTATATCAATGAGTTGGTTAATATCTTGTTTTTAATTCATTTGAATATTTTCATATTATTTTCAATTCAATAATGAGTGTGTACTATTTTTTTTTTCTTAGTAAGTTCCATAATTTTTATACAACCATATATACATTTTTTGTTTCATGTGCAACATGATAATAGATGGCAATGATCCAATAATATATTTGATGCTATTCCTAATAGATGGCCTGGTGATGGTGTGGAGGTTGGACTTGTGACCGAAATAAAAATGACTCCATTTATTTTGTTTGGTCATTTTACATTCTCTGAATCCATTTATGTATCACATTCATAGAGAAAGACATAGGCTCTGTTTACGGATAAGATTTTAGCTTTGATTTTATTATTTTAATTTTATTTTTTCTTCAAAAATATCAAATCAAACCTTCAATCTTTACTTATTTTATTACACTAAAATTTAATTTTACATTGAGAACATTATATCAATACATATATATCACATCAAATAACTATTTCAATTCCAAATTTTACTATTCAAAATCAAAATTAAAATCAAAATCCAAAAACAAACCTCAATATATTTGTATATTGATGCAATATATTTATTTTATCTATTTTTTATTTTTTTATTATTTATTATTTATATTTATTAGTATCTTATTTTATTTCAATCTTATAAAATATCACATTAAATTTATTATTTAAATATTTAATTTTTTACTATTTTTTTAAAAAATATTTACTAAAATTTGATATTAAAAAAAATATGGTATCTAATTTATTATTTTTAAAAAAATCACAAAAAATCTTATCTATTAATCCAAATATTCTGCATTTTTTATATTTTTCAAACTTAATTATCTATTTCACGAATAAGAGAATCAATAAGAGAATCTGAATTAATTTTCTACCATTTCCATCCAATTTCATTGTCTGTACTAATGCTCTTCACAGCTCGCTGCTCCCTCCCTTGGTCTAAATTTCAAAAATAAAACCACCGAGAGAGCCTCGTACATACTCAATTCTTCTTATCGCTTTTTTGGCATGATCGATTGAAAGCTAAGCTCCGAGTGATAATGAAAACTAGATAGAAAATTCCAGCATACATAAATGCAGGATGGGCCTGATTTGAAGGGGGTAGCCGAAATGCTTCCCCCACCGAACCGAACCACTGCACATGCCTTTTGCAATTGACAGTGGATAATGCCAGCAAAACCCTCATTGGAGTCGGCCCCATCTCATCTGCCATGGCACCGCCACAGCTCTCTATTCTAAACAACAACCGCCCATTTCCTCATGTCGTACCATATAGTCCTCGCTCGCTTTGTTTTTGAATTTTCTACTTAGGTATCTTCTTTTGCTGCTGCAAGCTAAATATTGGTAGACAGCAGGATATCATATTCAGGAAGCATTAAGGAATTCCCATCCAGCCGAACTTGTTTTCTTGTTGTTTTGAATTCATGATTTAGTGGCGATGGTGACAAGGAAAGGGCATTATTGTTATTATTATCATTGCTGTTATTTTTGTGTTTGGTTGCTCCTGTTTGCGGCGCGGTTTGGGTGCGGAATTCACGACAGGGATGTGTGGAATTCGTATTTGGAAGAGAGCACGGAGAAGGAGAGGAAACTTGAGGTTAGGTTTGACAGGCCTGCTAGGAACTGGACAGATGCTCTTCCCATCGGCAATGGCCGCCTTGGCGCCATGATTTGGGGCGGCGTCGTCAACGAGACCATCAATCTTAACGGTATGTATCTATCTTCTGTTCCGCTTCTACGGATAATATAATAATTCCTTCATTTATTTATTGTGGAATTCCTTGGATGCAATCGATTTGGTTTGTATGCGATGGATGATTAGTTTAAACTGAAACTGAAAGAGAATGGTGAACATGTAAGATTGGGAATTAATTTGATTGATCCTTCTTGTTTGTTTGGTGTTGCAGAGGACACACTCTGGACAGGAGTTCCGGGCAATTACACAGATCCAAAAGGTCCAACCATTCTATCTGAGGTCAGAGCCCTTGTCGACAAAGGGCTGTATGCCGAGGCCACTGCTGTTGCTGCCAATTTATCTGGACATCCATCTGATGTATGCTGCTTGATTAGCTTTTGTTGTTTTGTAGACTGTATTTGATTTTGATTTTGATTTTGATATCTGCTGATGTGATTGCTAGCTGCCATGGTGTTGTTATATGTTGCTGACCTTACCTGACCTGTGAATTTTCTTTTTCCATGTGTTGTGTGAAGCTGTCTGATTAATAATGTTGGTTTTTGTATCGTCTGGATTGAATGAATGCAGGTTTACCAACTGTTGGGAGACATAAAGTTGGAGTTTGGAGAATCTCACGCTGCATACGATGTAGAGAGTTATCGGAGGGTGCTAGATTTAGACACGGCAGCTGTAAGAATTCAGTATTCTGCCAATGGAGTCGAGTACCTGAGGGAATACTTCGCATCATATCCAGATAATGCAATTGTGTTGAAGTTGTCTGTAAACAAGCCGTCGAGTCTCAACTTCACATTATATTTGGACAGCCAAATCCATCATCACTCTTACGTGAGTAACAACAGCCAGATCATTTTCAAAGGGGGCTGTCTTGGCGTAAGAATGCCACCACTGATCTTTGGAAGCTCTGATCCTAAAGAAAAGCGCCTCCCGAAGCTCCCTGAAAGTGGAAATCCTAAAGGGATTCATTATTCAGCAGTTGTTGATTTGCAGAGCAGTAATCGCGCTCATTATATCGAGGATGATCGAAAGATACGGGTGGAGGGCTGCGATTGGGCCGTCATCCGTCTCACAGCAGCCTCATCATTTGATGGTCCGTTTACCAAGCCAGAGGATTCAAAAAGGGATCCTACTTTTGAGTCTTCACAGATGATGGATTCTGCAAAAATGTATTCATACTCTCAACTTTACTCGCGACATGTTTCTGACTACCAAGAGCTCTTCCACCGTGTCTCGCTGCAGCTTTCTATGAGCTCTAATAATGCTAGTAGATCAGCTACCACAGCGCAACGGATCAAGTCTTTCAAAACAGACGAAGATCCCTCCATGGTTGAGCTTCTGTTTCAGTATGGCCGGTATCTGTTAATTGCTTGTTCCCGACCAGGAACTCAAGTCTCGAACTTGCAAGGGATATGGAACAAGGATGTCGAGCCTGCCTGGGAGTATGTTCTATTATATATATTAATTGTATCTACACAACGATATGATGTACTTAATTATGTGTTTGTTTGTTTTATCATCCCATCCCAGCGGCGCTCCTCACTTGAACATTAATCTCCAAATGAACTATTGGCTTTCTCTGTCGGGCAACCTTAAGGAGTGTCAAGAGCCATTGTTTGACTACATCTCCTCTCTGTCAATCAATGGAAAGAAAACAGCAGAGGTGAAGCTCTCTTTCCTCCATTAATTATTATTATTGTCAAGTATTTGGCTGCTGAGGCTGTTAACTGTTTTGTTTTACATATTTTTTTGAGCTACGTAAATAGCAAGGGTTTTTGTGTACAACCTTCATGGATTTAGTTGCAGAATATTACAGGTAAATTACGGTGCGAAAGGGTGGGTTGCGCATCAGGTGTCGGATATATGGGCAAAAACATCCCCTGATCGCGGCCAAGCAGTGTGGGCTTTGTGGCCAATGGGTGGAGCGTGGCTATGCACGCACTTGTGGGAGCATTACGCATACACACTCGACAAAGTAAGAAAAACTTATTGTGATGTTGTGCACTTGTTGATGAGTTTAAATACTGAAGAACTTCTGATAGGTTTTAGATGATCTTATTGTTTGACACAATGATGTTAGTGATAAATATTCGAATTTGTGTACAGGAATTTCTCAGAAACAAAGCATATCCGGTGATGGAAGGCTGCACGGCGTTTCTACTGGACTGGTTAATCGAAGGCAGTGGTGAATTTCTTGAAACTAATCCGTCAACATCCCCCGAGCACATGTTTATTGCTCCCGATGGGAAGCCTGCTAGTGTTAGCAACTCGTCGACTATGGACATTCAAATCATTCGAGAGGTTTTCTTGTCGATTATCAAAGCTGCCGAGGTGAATCTCAAACCACAAACTCTGTTCTGTGTGTTATTTATAATTCACCGACATGATGGTTTGCTACTAAAATAGGAACTCGGAAAAAGCAGCGATGCACTAATTGTACGAGTTCATAAAGCTTTACCACGGCTTCCTCCAATGAGAATCGCCGGAGACGGTTCCATCATGGAATGGGTAAGTATGCTTACAGAATCCTTTCAATCTGTTGCCTGCCTTTTCAACATTCTTCCTCACCATTGTTGTACAGGCTCTCGATTTCAAAGATCCGGAGGTGCACCATAGACATGTGTCACATCTATTTGGCCTCTTTCCGGGGCACACCATCACTGTCCAAGACTCGCCCGACCTATCCAAAGCAGCAGAAAACACCCTGAATAAACGAGGTGGCATTTTAACAAATTCATTCTTTTTAACTACTTACCACTTTCTTATGTTCGACGTTCTGGAGCAGGAGAGGACGGTCCAGGATGGTCGACGACATGGAAAGCCGCACTATGGGCGCGCCTCCATAACAGCGAGCATGCTTACCGCATGGTAAAGCATCTCTTCGACTTGGTGGATCCAGACCGGGAAGGCGAGTTTGAAGGCGGTCTGTACTCCAACCTCTTCACTGCCCATCCACCTTTCCAGATCGACGCAAACTTTGGATTCACGGCAGCTGTGGCAGAGATGCTGGTGCAGAGCAATGGGAAGGACTTGTACCTGCTTCCAGCCCTCCCCAGGGATAAATGGCCCAACGGCTGCGTGAAAGGCGTGAAGGCGCGCGGCGGGGTGACGGCGAGCGTGTGCTGGAGAGATGGGAAGCTGCTTCAGTTAGGGTTGTGGCTGATTGGTAATGGAAATGGTAATGGTGGTAAGGAGATGAAGAGGAGCCTCAGGCTAAGGCTGCATTACAGTCACAGAGGGGAAGGGAGGACAGTTACTGTTGCAGAGGAAGTGTTATTATTTTCAGGTGTTGTCTACACTTATGATCACCAATTGAACTGCATCAACAAATATGAACTCCACTCAACCCCTAGCTAGTTTTTTTTTTTCATTGCTTATTTTAATTTTAATTTCAAATTTGGGGGAGGGAGTGCATTTCTTGACTTGACTTAGTCGTTTTGTATTCTCTGGATCATTATCATTTAATTATTATTATTATTTTTATTTGTTTTTTTTCCGTTGGAATTCGCATTCGCTATCCGAAAGTGTGTATTGAATAAATCGTTGGCTGAATCTAATACCATGCAAATTAGATTCGACAGATAAATTACACTAAGCTAATTATTTAATTATTTTTGTATTATGGAGCAAGTTAAAAGAGATTTTTTTTTTTTCACTATAAATATTATATTCATGTGTTTATGTTTAATATTTTCTCTATCCACTTAAAAAGCAAGAAATTTGCTTAAGTTTAATAAACATGGTATTTTAATAATAGTTGTTATTTTACCGGACTATAATATATAAAACTAATGTGAAAATATTGAAGTAAATAATTATAAATATAGGCTATTGTAAGGTGTATATATATAAAAAATAAATAAATATTTTGTACTACGATGATAAAAAATAATACTGAAAGTATGAAAGTATATATGAAGGGTGTGTTTGTTTGAAGGATTTGTAAAGATTTTTACTATTCATCTCATTTTTTCCCCCCAAAAACATCAAATCAAACACCTATTTTTCATTTTTTATATTATACTAAAAATCAATTTTACATTCAAAACATCACATCAACACCTATTTATATCACATCATACAACTATTCAAATTCAAAATTTTTACTATTCAAATCTCAACTCAAAATCCAAACCCCCAAACAAACACACCCGAAATTTATGGAGCAGCAGTGTAGACATTTTGTATCCAGAGATATACCAAGCTTTAATTATAAAGCCTGAATTTTATAAAATATATTTAAATATTAGTATACTTTTTGAGATAACTATAATATATATATATGATCATATTATCTTTGTAGGAGGAAGCAGTTCGAATACAAAAATGAAATAAATCTTTTTTTTTTTGAAAGCTCTACGAAAAAAGACAGAAGATTTACATAAAAAGAAACTTGATCCATACATGTTTCAATCGAAAGCCTTTGAAAAATATATTTTCAAAAGAAAATGCAAAAAAAGTGAACAGAGAAATTTTGAAACTTTTTCATTTGAATGCAATACAATTTCTCGTTGCTGATAGTAGTATTTAATACTAAACGATAATTGATATGATTGCATCCATTGGACCTAGAGTTTTTTTTTTTTTTTATTATTTTATGGAGTTAAAGGGCCTATTGGTCAACAAATTGGAGGTAAATATTTAAACGAGAAGATGCAATAAATTGTGATAGATATATATCATAAATTTTATGATGTATTGTGATAGATATATAATATATCTGTACAAATAAAGCAAAGACTGCAGACTTTGTCTACGTCTTAATTGATAAAGTTGTGGAATCAGTAGAATTTGATAATATTATACAAATTGTAACTGATAATAAAATTATTACGAAGGATATTAATTATTTTAATTTTAATATATAATTATTTATATAATAAAATAATTATTTTACTAATATATTTTTAATTATCTACTAATTCAACGTCACTGCGGGAAGGAGTGTTATGTTTCAGAGGGCAGAAGCAGGAGGAGCAATCAAAGGCAAGTCAACCTCGTCGCACCATTCGACACACCTCGTCTCGAAATAACTGCTCTTTATATCATTAGGGCAGTAGCTGACCCACACGCGCCCGCCAATCCTCCACTTCACCACGCTCCCTTCCATCTCCTTGCTCACCCTCCACGCCACCCCGCCGCCGCCGCAGTCTTCACCGGAAAATATCAATCCCCCCGATTTCGCAAACGGCCGCCCTCCTCCCGCGTACCGCCTCGGAAATCCGTTCCCGCCGACGGCGGGTGGCTTCCACGCGGCGACTTCGACGCCAGTGGAGTTGTCGCAGAGAACCGCCTCGAACACGGCGGCGTTCCCCTCGACGTCCTGGTCCCACCTCCAGTTCTTCATCTTCGTTCTCGTCGCAATCCTGGCCGTCGATTTCACCGCCGGAGAAACCTTGGAATTTCCCGATTTACCCTTCAACGTCCTCTGCATCTCCATCTCCTTTTCTACATTGTCCGTCGACCGGCCCAGGGTCAAACCGGCGACGTAACTTTCCCCGATTTCGGGCCCGACCCAGACCCGTACCCGCGACGGGAAGTGCTTCTCCTCAAACTCCAACGAATCCTCGTCGCTAAACCCGAGCTTCACGACATGGAATCTGAGGTTGTCCACCCGCGCCTTCACCTGGATGTAATTGTCGGAATATTCGACTGAATATTCCATCTGGATTACAGCCTCCAGCTGCTGGTGAGCTAAAGCGTATTTAAGGAAAGATTCTTTGGCTCCGATGACGGCCGGAAAGTCGCGTTTTTCTGACGAAGACTGCACGCACTGCATGGATTTCACCGGAGAGTAGCCCTTGAGAATCCAAAGCCCGTGGGCTTCCGTGGCGTAAGAAAATCCGACGTTCTTGGCCGGAAAAGTCGTCGGAGATTTTTGTCCTCTGATTTCGATATCTTTAAGGATGAGGAGCTTGGCAAGAATGTAGCCGAGTGTGCGTAAGAAGCAAAGCTCGACGTCGGTCCCGACAGTGATCAAGAAATTCTTGAGGACGGGGGCGTAGGATAAGGCGTCGAGGTTGGGGGCGAGGACGGAGTGGAAGTAGAAGCTGCCGACTTCCGCCGGCGCGTCGAGGACGCAGAGCCAGAAGAGGCGCGTGAGGAACACGAGGTCGAAGAAGCTGGAGAAGGACTCGGGGGCGTGGGAGTCGAGGACCCACGACACCGGGTCGGGCTTCAGCTTTTGAAGCTGGGAGCGGGGGCAATTGCAGTTCCAGTGCGCGTTGGGCGAACGCGCCGCTATTTCCTGCAGGAGCTGAAGGACGAGCGGCAAGAATGGCTTCTCCGACGACAGGGGACACGTGTCGGAAGTCCAGACCGGCTTCTCGGCGTCGGAAGAATTGAATCCGACGAAGTGCACTGAAAATGTAATAGAAACAGCTACTTCCGACTTGGAGTCGTCGTCACCATTTACCATTACCCGTTCTGCTCTCAGCTCAATCGACGACGAGTTGGAAGAACCGAGCTGGAACGAGTCGACTCGTTCCGACTCGGGAAGTTGAGAAATCCACGACCAAATATCCATTAATTAATTAATGTATCTTCTTCAATTCTTGATTCTTGTAAGAAGTGGGTGCTGCCGGCAGAGTGCTGTGGAATTTAAGGAAGAAATGGGTGGCGGAGAGAACGCCACTTAATTAATGATTATATCATGTATAATCTGGTGAAGAATTGGGGTTCAGAGAAATGGGATTTAGGGTTTCTGGTGGAGATTCGTTAAGGACGACAAAACTTGGCTTTGTTTCATGAGATCTACGTTTTGGACAGGACTTTGTTTGTTTGCATTAATTAATTTATGAATGATACTTGGTAATTTGATTTGTTGTATGTTGGTTCCGCCATGCATTCTCTTGTTAGTTTTTGTGGTATGCAAAATAAGTTGAAGATATTAGATATATAATATTTTGGATTTGTTATGCACATTTGATAAGTACACAGAGATGGAATTAGTATTAATATAATTAGAGGTTTGTAGGTAATGCACGTTTCTTACAGCAGAGCCATGCGACCTGATCAACTAACAAATTGTATGTTAGTACGTACATCAATACCATAGGAATAGTCCGGTGTCTTTTTTGGAGTTTAGTTTAGTTATTATTATTATTATTATTGTGAATGTGAGTTGAACTATATATTTTGAAAAAAAAAATGTGTATTTTTATGTATTAAATATATCATATAAGATTAATTTAGTTAGGGTTTGTTAAGCCTCGAAATTTTAGATTTTTACTATTTGAACTTTGCATTTTTTTAAAAAAATACAATTTTTCCTCATAGAATATTTCATCATACAATATTTTAATACTCGTGGCAAATTTATGCTAAAAATATGTTATTAATTTGTATTTAGATATAGTGTTGATTAGATATTAAATACATCGACCTTCGAATGATCCAGTATTTCCGCCGACCTTCTAAATATTCGGATTTTGATGCATCCAACCATAATTCCTCCGCAATGTAAGCATAATAATCGATTCAATGCGGAATAGAACTCAAGAATCGAAACTAAAAATGAATCCCGATAACATACCTCCGGCCATTGGTGTCAAACTAGAATACAGTCTTTTCTTGGTTCCTTTAAGCACGTGCACATGCACCAAAAACCCTAAAATTCATGTCTCAATTACTTCATTCTATCAAAGAAGTAACCGACATGGAGAGTGGGGAGTGGGAAATGGGGAGAGTAGTGGAGACCTTTCACATAGGTCACATTAACATTTAATAATGGAATAGTGGAGTAGTGGAGACTTTTCACATAGGTCACTACTTCATATAGACCACATAATATTAACATTTTTCCACTTGGTCTATAATTTACTCCATAAGAAACAAAATACATGAATCATGGCGATAGACCCTCTTCAATGAGTATCATCTTCCATGTATTACAATGTAGTTTGATTCCTAAAACTACTCAAACATCTTAATGAATAAACCTTATGTTTATTCTAGGTCCTCACCTTTACGATAAGTTTCTCAAGACAAATATGCCCATAAAACCAAATAAGAAAATATCAGCTTAATAAGAGTTTCATTTAAAGATGTACGAACAAGTGAAATTACATCACAAAATCAAGTCCCATTTATACCACATGATCTTTAAAATTCTTTGGTGGCATGTCTTTAGTTAAAGGATCAACAGTCGTCAATTCAATGCTAACGTGTTCAATGAACACTTTATTTTCTTTAAGATGTTCTCCTATGGCTAAGTACTTAATATCGATGTGCTTACATCAACTACCACTTTTATTATTCTTAGCCATAAAAACAGCAGCTGAATTGTCATAATATATTTTCAATGGCCTAGCAATAGAATCCATGACTTTAAGCCCACATACGGAACTCTTCAACCATACACCATGAAAAGTAACTTTGAAATACAAAACAAACTCTGCCTCTATGGTAGAAGTAGCCGTCAATGTTTGTTTGCACTTCTCCATGATATAGCTCTATTAACTAACATGAAAATGTAGCCGGATGTTGATTTTCGAGAATCAACACAACCAGCAAAGTCTGAATCAGAGTAACCAATAACATTTAAACTATAGGTTCGTCTGTACATGAGCATGTAACCATTTGTCATTTTAAGGTACCTCAATACCTTCTTTGCAGCTCTCCAGTGGTCAGGACTTTGATTACTCTGATATTTTCCTAAAACTCCAACAGAATATGCTATATCGGGTCTAGTACATACCTGAGAGCATACATGATGCTTCCAACCACTGAAGCATATGGAATGTTAGATAATCCCTCTCAAAATCATTCTTAGGGCATTGGTCTAAACTAAATTTTTCGTCCTTGACAATTGGAGCTACATTTGGTGAGCAATCTTTCATTTGAAATCTCTCTAAAATTTTATTGATATAGGTCTCTTGAGAAAAATGTCTCGAGATCTTTCTCTTTGGATTTTAATGCCAATGACATAAGGTGTCTCTCTTATATCTTTCATATCAAAATTTGTAGAGAGAAAATATTTCACATCGTATAGCAAATCTTTATCATTAGTAGCAAGTAAAATATCATCCACTTATAATACAAGAAAATAAATCCTACTCCCACTAACCTTCAGGCATATACATTGATCCATAATATTTTCTTCAAAATCAAATGAAGTAAGGACATTATAGAACTTTAAATATCATTGACGAGAGCTTTGTTTTAAACTATATATGGATTTATTTAGCTTGCATACTAAATGCTCACTGTCTTTAGAGAAGAATCTTTCAGGTTGTTTCATAGAAACCTCTTCATCTAGAGTTTGGTTAAGAAATGCAGTTTTTATATCCATTTGATGTAATTCAAAATCAAAATGAGCTACTAATGCCATAATGATTCGAAGAGAATCTTTCTTTGATACATGAAAAAAAGTCTTTGTGTAGTCGACTCATTCCTTTTGAGTGAAACCTTGGCAACAAGTTGTGTTTTATATATTTTATTATTACCATTCGAGTCTTTCTTTGTTTTTAAGACCCAATTATATCCGATGGTTTTTATACCATCAGGTAACTCGATAAGATTCTAAACTTGATTGGATGCCATTGAATCCATCTCTTTTTTCATAGCATTATACCAAAAGTTTGATGTTGATGAACTCATAGCCTATAAAAAAGTTTTAGGATCATTTTCGACTCCAATATTGTAGTCACACTCTTGTAGGTAGACAACATAATCACCACAAATAGTTGATCTCCTTATCCTAGTAGATCTTTTTAACATTGTATCATCATTCTCTTGAGAAACTTGTTGCGTAACCGAATGATCAACAATATCAATTGGTTGCTCAATAATTTCTTATTGTTCCTTATGTACAGTGTGATCAAATTGATCAATATCAACAACTTGTGGAATTGAGATAATTGGTCGTCTAATACTGGTTTGTACTTGAGGGTATAAACGACAACTAATCTATCACTTGAACCAGAGAGTTGAGCTTCATGATGATTATTTTCAGAAACAACGTTCCGAGGGCAATCACTCCCACTGATCAAGTCATTTTCAAGAAATTTCGCATTTCTTGATTCTATAATTCTAGTATTGTGAGATGGACAATATAATCTATAACCCTTGGACCTTTCAGCATTTTTAATGAAATATTCACTAATGATCATCGGGTCTAGTTTCTTTTCTTGTAGATTGTAAACTCTCACTTCAGACTGACATCCCCAAATGCGATAGGTCTTAAACTCAGTTTCCAACCTTTGAATAACTCAAAAGGTGTCTTTGATACAACCTTAGTTGGAACTCGATTCAATATATGCGTTGCCGTCTTGAGAGCTTCACACCAAAATAACTCTGAGAGTTTCATATTACTTCACATATTTCTCACCATATCCGTTAAGGTCCGGTTTCTTCTTTCAGCAACACCATTCTGGTCAGGAGAACCAGGCATAGTGTATTGAGCAACAATCCCATGTTGTTGAAGAAACCTTGCAAAAAGGACAAAGTTCTTGTCCATTCTCCGTATATCTATCATAATAATGTTCACCACATTTATCAGATCGGACGATTTTAATCTGTTTTTCACATTGTTTCTCTACTTCAGCCTTGAGAACGTTAAAGGCATCAAAGGTTTCATCCTTAGAATGAAGCAAATAGAGATACATATAACGTGAAAAATCCAATGAAGGTTATGAAGTATTTTGGATTACTTGCGTCCATGTTGGACAGCAAATATATGTATATATTACCTCCAATAGGTCTGTACTCTTCTTTGCACCTCTTTTAAACTTGTTGGTTTGCTTACCTTTAATGCAATCCACATAAGGCTCAAAATCAGTAAAATTCAAGGTACCAAATACTCCTTCATTTACCAATCTTTTAATTCTCTCAATGGAGATATGTCCTAATCTCTGATGCCACAATATAGAGGAATTTTCATACATAATACATCGTTTAGTACCGAAATTATCTTGAACGTGTAAAGTAATTGGACAATCAATATTTTGAAGATTAAGTCAAAAAAGAACATCACTCAAAACTCTATTTCCAATGACATTTGATTAGAAAGATAAACTAAAACCAGAGTTGGTGAAATTAAAACAGTAGCCATATGAAAAAAGTTTTGAAACAGGAATTCAGCTTCTAGCAAAACTAAGAATGTAGAAAGTCTTTTCCAAAGTTAAAACAAAACCATTACTCAAAACTAGATTGCACGTCCCAATAGCTTCCACATGTGATGACATTTTGTTTCCAGAATAGATGCTCAACTCACTTCCCACGGGTTTCCGCCGATTTTGCAATTCCTCTATGAAATTCGTAACATGGATTGTAGAACCATAATCAATCCACCATGTATTATAATTAACATCAACCATATTAGATTCATAACATACAAATGAAAGTTGAGTACCTTTATTCACAAGCCACTTGAAGTATTTAGGACAAGTTTTCTTTATGTGTCCTTTATTTTTACAGAAAAAAACACGTATTGGCTTTTCTTGAAGTCCTTTTGTGGAGGAATCATTTTTTTTCATTTATTATTGGCTTGATGCTTCATGTTTTTTCCTTCGGCCACAACCGCCATGTTCACTTTTTCTCCATTTTCTATAGCTAGACATCCCTCTTCTTGAACACACATGGTCATCAATTTATTTATTGACCATTTATCCTCATGTGCATAATGTGATCACGCACACTTCTTCTCCTAATAAGTTTTAATGATGAGAATTGCATTATCAGGGTACTAGCCAATGTCTTATCAGATGTCACAAATTGATCACCGATAGCTTTCAATAAGGCACAAACATTAGTACAATGATCAACAGAACCCCTTATTCCAGCATATATTCGAGTCTTTATGAACATAACGCAGAGACGGTTAGATCTCTCCCATTTTTCATGAAGATCGACCTCATATGGAATGCTATTTTCAGTAATAGGAAAGGGTTCATCTTTCCTGATGGCATAATCTATGTCCATCCACTCCAAATGTAGAAGAATTTTCTCATTCCAAACTTTATAATTGTCTCAATTAGGATTGGGAATATCGGATTTCATATCAGAGACATTAATAGATTAAATTGCTCCAATAGAAATAAATAAATAAACATGCTCAAAACATAATTAAATCGAAGTACAAATAAACCATACAGCATGTTTTACCAATGTAAGACATGGAAAAATATGAATCTATTGACATAAAACATGCATGTGGGCTAAAGTTTTAATTCGATTAGACTCATTTAATCATATGATAAAACTACCAACTACGTTCCTTTTATAATCCCTGTTGGAAAATTAGAAATATAGTTGATATAATATCCTAATTAGTCATACAAATATAACAAAAATTTTGTGGGTAAATTTCATTATATCATGTATGATTAATTGCAATTTATGTTATTTAATGCATGTGATTGTAAAAATATGAAATATAATTTCAATTAATCAGAAAAACTATGACTAGTTCAAGATTAATTAAAACTACACTAATCACATAAGATTGCAAGAACAACGATCTCATAATGATTTCAACATCAATTTTATAAAAATATCTGAAACCAAAGAAATTCGTTTAAGAAAAAATTTAAAACATCAAGGTAGAGGTAAAAATAAGCCTTGATACTAAAATGAATCCCGGTACCATATCTCCAGCCATTGGTGTCAAACTCTGATGCAATCTTTTCTTGGTTCTTCTAAGCACTTGCACTATTTTTTCTAGATGGTGTAGAAGTCTTTATATAGAGGACCAAAAACTTTAAAATTCATGTCTCAATTACTTCATTTCATCAAAGAAATAACCTACATGAAGAGTGGTAAGTGGAGAGAGTAACCTTTCAGATAGGTCACATTAACATTTAGTAATGAAGTAGTAAAGATAGTAGAGTAGTAGAGACTTTTCACATAGGTCACTGCTTCACATAAACCACATAATATTAACATGCAATTCATTTGAAGTCAAACAAATTCATCTGGCATAACAATACTTATATCATCCGGCATAACAACACTTATACATATATGGTTAATTTATTTATTTTTATTATTTTTTATCATAACATATCATCCCAATTTTTAATTTTTATTTCTCTATGTTTTCCTTTCTTTTATTTTTTTCAGATTTTTTCTTGCATCTTTTCCTTTTATTAGTTTACTGTATTTGATTCAATTCCATTGATTTTATTTCAAATTTTTAGATTTTCGATCTCAATATTGTGATTCAAATTCTCTATATTTTAATCTTTAATTGCAAGATCAGTCTTAATATTTTTTTGAAGACGCTGAAAAAACTCTTTTTTGTAGTAATATCATCAAGTCCAAGTTGATTAGGTTGTCTATGTCGACTTTTAGCAACAATAATGTAATTTTAAAAATTATATTTTATTAAAATATAAAATATTATTTTGTGAAGAATAAAATTTTATATAATACGAATAAAAAATATACAAATACTTTTTAATGATTGATATAACTTATTATTGTAAAAAAATGTAGGAGTTTTAAATTAATATAAATACATTTGTTTATTAAAAAGATAAAAATAAATAATATATATTATGAAGTTAATTATATCAATTTATATTTATCAGATATATTTTGAATGAAAAAATTTATCAAATACAAAAATATATCAAATAAAGCTATAACAGACTAAAAGAAAAAATATCTAATTATTTTGGGACAGAAAATTTGTTTGTTTATAATAAAATAATTTGAAGATATATATATATTTTTTTAAGATATAAAAGTTTGTATAAATAATATAAAAATAATTAATATGTTTAATATATTAATATTTAAAAAATATGTATTTGGGAAATTGTATTTTTTACATGATTTGGGTGAGTTTGTTTGGGGGTGTGGATTTTGATTTATTATTTGAATAGTAAAATTTTTGAATTTGAATAGTTGAATGATAGTCGTACGTTGATGTGATGTTTTGAATATAAAATTAATTTTTAGTATAATATAAAAAATAAAAAATAGATGTTTAATTTGATATTTTTAAAAAAAAAATTGGATGAATAGTGTAAACACACGGAAGTACACACCTGAAGTACTCTATGTACTAGAATAAAGAAAAAGAAAAATTGAAATTTATCCGGAACTTCACGACCCGACCCGACCCGGTTCGGGCGATCGAGTATTCATATGCCGAAGTAATTCAATCCGCACCCGCCACAAAATCGGTCGTGAATACTTATACCAGAAGCAGCAGCAGCATCGATCGGTTCTCCGGCTGAAATCACAAATTCGATCCACCGAATGGTTCGCGGAGAGATGCACAAGGCATTGAGAGCCTACGGAGAAGTCCTCCGGCTGGTGCGGCGCCTGCCGCAGGACACGAGGGCGTACTACGCCAAATACGCTCGCGAAAACTTCGTCAACTATCGAGAAGTCGACACCAGCGACGCCGCCGCACTCTCTGATCTTCTCAACCGCACCTACGTGCATTCGCTTTGGGTCCTCAACAAGGTCGGTCGCCTCTTATTCATACTATAGTTCATACGCATATCAATCTCTTCCTCTCTCCTATCCTTGAAATTATTTTTTGGCGATTTGCAGTACTCTATTGATGAATCCGTGGCGGTAAAGCTCAAGGAAATCTGCGCTGCGAAATAGGTTTTGCCATGACTCCTGCACACCAGGTGTTCGATCTTATTCCCCTTCCCTACTGAAACAGAACTTTCATTTCTTTACTGGGCTTTGGGCTTGAGTGATTGAACTTCGTCTTTGGGCTTTGGGCTTTAGAAGTTATGGGCCTTTTAATGTTCTGATGAACTTGCGTCAAATAATCAACCTTCAAAATTTATTATTATTATTATTAATGGGAACTAGATTTCGAAAGGGTGGTTTAAGTAAAAATTGCGTGAAATATTTCGACTGAAAGTAGACTTTTGCATGTGATGTAGAATGAAAAAGGAAGTTCTATTAGGCTGTGTTTTCTTCCAGGGAGTATAATATTATTTTATCTAATTTAATTATATATTTATTTTAAAATATTAAATTTGAAATTAATTAAAGCTTGCTATAGTTATATATTATGAAAAAATAATTTCTTAAAAAGTTTGATATAATGTACCGTGAAACCCTAAAAAAAAAGGGGAAAAAAAAGTATTTTATGTATTAACAAATAAATTATGGTGATATTTCCACATGTGAAAGATGGTAAGCATTGGCTAGTAGTAGAGCTGTTAACGATCCGAGTTGAGCCGAACCGAGCCGAGCCAAATTTTAAGTGTTCGTTAATGTTCGCGAACAAGGCTCGGGCTCGTTCGTTAAGCTTTTGAGCTCGTTCGTAGTGTTCGAGCTCGGTTCGTTAAGAATTTTTGTTGTTTGAGCTCGTGTTCGTGTTCGGCCCGATTAAGCTCGTTCGAGCTCGTTTGTCTTATTTTTTAAAATTTATATATAAATTATAAAGAAAATTTAAAATTATTTTATTTATATATTTTAAATTAATATTTTATTTATTTATAAATTATAATTTCATATGTATATATAAATATAATAAATATATTATTTAAACAAACATTTGCGAACAAAGCTCGGGCTCGTTCGTTAACCAAACGAGTCTGTTTATGTTGTTCGGCTCGGCTTGTTAACGTTCACGAACGAGCTTTAACCGAGTTGAATCGAGCCGAACCGAGCCGAATTCACGAATGGCTCGGTTCGTTTAATAGCTCTAGCTAGTAGCATAGACATAGGTGTATTTGTTTGGCGGTTTGAATTTTGAATTAAAATTTAAATAGTAAAAAAATTAAATTGTAATATTTGTACGATGAGATATAAATAGGTGTTGATGAATATAAAATTAATTTTTAGTATAATATAAAAAAATTAATATTTGATTTTATATTTTTTGAGAAAAGAATTGATGAACATTAGAATTTGGGGGATTTCCCTGTTGATTCAATGATGAGAATATCTCGATATGAAAGGGAAGATTTGTTAGGGAGTTTGTATATATGAATGATAAATTATTACTAAGCTATTTTATTTTTTATTCTTAAAGAGGTTTGGATGTAGTGGGCCGGTTTAGAAGTAGGACTCCAATAAAATTTGTATATTCATATTATTTTTTAACAAAATTCATATTTGTTGTGAATTTATTCTAGAATTTTTTATGTTAAAATTCATATTTGTTGTGAATTTATTCTAGAATTTTTGAATTTATCGAACAAACTTCGTATAAAAAAATACAATAATAAACTAGCGGAAGTAAAATTCGAATAAAATTCAAATTAAACTAATTTCGAATGGAAGCAAAATTCGAATTAAACTCAAATTAAACATATTCTGGAATTTGAAATCAAACAAACAACCCTAAGTCCTAACAAATTGCAATTGAATTGAATTGAAAATCAACTCCCTGTTTGTCCTGAACTTAGTTCTGGAAATCTCATTTTGAGACATTAGGCCTCAAATTAAGCCGACGACAGACAATGAAGGAGTTGGTCGGCAGCGGCTTCGGAGACAGCTACGGCTTGCGGCTTCCTTCTCCGGCAGACAGATCATAACAGCGATGACAGCTTCTACGACGAACTCCCGACGGACAGCAGCAGCGAACTCCGGCGACGCACAGCTCCCTGCGGTCATCTTCTCCAAGCAGCAATGTCCTGCCACTCCGGCGGCGATTCTTCCGATCTTCTTTCCAGCGATAGGGAAGCAACTGTTGGACCACAGTTTCGATCTCTTGCTGTTCATCTTCTTCTTTCTGTTTGTCGTTCTCGTACAGCTTTAATCGCGACAAACAGCGGCGAGGTGGGCGACTACTTCAGATTTACACCGACGAACAGCGGGACAACTCGGCTCCGGCAGCAGTGACGCTCCAGCCTTCATCTCCGGTGGTCCAGCGTCTGCGCCATCTTCTCCGGGAGTCCGACAACAGCTCCGCTAACTGATTGAACTGACAAACATCGATCTTTCACCGGCGGCGAAGGGACGGCGGATATCGGTTCAGTCCATGGTGCGAAGTGGCCAAGGTAATCATGCCTTAACGTTGGAGATCGGCTCGTCACTCTGAACCTCGACACCCACCGGTATCGGCACTCGAAAAAGCTTCTCACTCACCGGAATCACTCGCTGGAACCCTATCGGAGAAACCGGCTTCTCTCCCTCTCCCTCCCTCTCTCCCTCGTTCTGTTCTTGACGCACTAACCATTCCCAAAAACTCCCATCTAATATAATTCTAAAAAATAAACTAAAAAATTACACGCTGTTATAACAAACCTAACAATTGGTTAGGATTTGATATATGAGTTTGGGAATTGGATTTGGATCAAAAGGGTTTGGCCAATTTGGTGGGTCGAGTTATATAGTGGGCTAACTAATTATTTATGGAGGGATTTGTCAGCCTGGAACGGCCAAAATTCTCATCAATATTAAATATATTTTTTTAAAAAAATAGTGATAAAAATTAATATAAACACATATACACAAAAGATGAAAGCTTGAAGACTCAATTTGACAAACCTACGTTTGAGGAAAGCTAAATTACACAATTCTATTTAGACAATTTTATTTGGCTTCATTGGCACTGTTATATTTGAATAAATTTATAAAGAAATTTCAAAATAAAATTATACTTTCAAAATTGTTAGGCCTCGCTTACGAGGTAGGCTCCACTCAAATTATTGGAACCATCGTTAATAATATTGTTGAGTAAGAAAAAATCAATGTGCAGGGTGTTTTAGAATGGACCTAGGACTGTGGACTGGTGTATAATTCAATGTGTCTGTTAATGGCAGTGGGATCCTAAATAGGTCTGAATATAAGCCAAACGGCCCAAGTGTTATTAAGAAATTGGTTTTTTCGGGAGAAACCTGTGATTAGATGAGACGGCCGATACGGAGGTCAGTCAGAAGAGGAAGTCGGGCGAAAAAAGATGAGACGACGGATACAGAGGTCGGTCAAAACAGGAAGTCGGGCGAAGAAAGATGAGATGGCAGACACGGAGGTCGGACGAAAGGAGGTCAGGCGAAGAATATTTAAGATGGCAGACACGGAGGTCAGACAAAAAGAAATCGGAAGAAAGATGAGATGGCCGATACGGAGGTCGGTCAAGAGGAGAGGTCTGTTAATTGGTCGGGCAAAGAAAGGTCTGTCAATCGGTCGCTTAATCGCCTGATCGATTGGCCGGTCATTTGGTCAAACAGTAGTTCAGTCGCTTGAAAAGACGGTCAGTTGGTCGCTTGATTGGGCGACCAATGAATCGTCTGGACGAACGGTTGTTCAGCCGTTTTGAAGGGACTGGATGGTGGTCGCTTGATTGGGCGACCGATGAATCGTCTGGACGAACGGTTGTTCAGCCGTTTGAAGGGACCGAATGGTGGTCACTCGAGTGGGCAACTGATTAGTCGTTTGGCCTAGCGACCAGTTAGTATCTGGATTGGTCGGTTGGGTTATTCGATAGGTTCAGTCGGTGGATGGTCCAGACGGTTTCTCAGTCGGATGGTGATTTATGATCCGTCTGAAAAGACGGTTGAGAGAAGTTACAACCGGCGAGCGGATATGAAGACACGACTTGGTTGTGGTGGTTGACATAGGTTTTAAATAGTGTTTCTAAAGTATGCTAGGCGGTTGAGTGGTCGTTCGGACCAGCCGTCCATTTAAGGAGGTAAGGTGTTCAGAGGCGGTCGGTCGAGCCAGTTAAGGTATCAGAGGCGGTCGGTCAAGCCAGTTAAGGTGTTCAGAGGCGGTCGGTAGAGCCAATTAAGTCCTGTAATTGGCAAGAGCGGTTGGCGAGATGGTTAAGGAGGAATTGGTGAAACAGTTAAAACACGTGTCAATGGGGAGAAATTAGTGGGCGGTTGATGGCAGTCGCTATGACTGACCAGACGACGGTTCAAAATATTTCTTTAGGGACTATTTAAAGATTTGAGTCTATTATGGAAAAGCATCTTCAATCGACATCAAATTCACGGGAATTGCTTTTGGGTTCACCATTTTACTTTTCCAGTAGTATGTAGTATTTATTTTCCTAATTTACTTATGTATCACAATTTTATTTTATCAAATTCAAAGATAATTTCAAATTTTAATTTTTATTGTTAAAAATTTGCATCAATAAATATATTTAGTATATTATATTATATAAAATATAAGAATATAAACATAGTATTTTGTTTTATTTAAAATTACTTTTTAGTAATAATAAAGTAATAGTTTTTTATCTTTTTATATTATGTAATTTTTTTATAAAATAATATACATATTGACTATGTTCGTATTAATATATTTATAAACTTATATTAAATTAATATTTTATTTCTACTTCATAATCATGATTTATTATATAATATTATAAAAAATAAAATAAAAAATCACTCCAAAAATGCCTGTCTAAATGGAGCAGACATTTTTACTGGTATATATCAATAAGGGTTTTGAGAATGTACAACAAATTTTAAAAGCATTAAGATAAAATCTTAATTAATATATCGGCCAAAAATTTGTACGGGTAGTCTTCCGTACTTCAGTTTGAGCTTCAAAACATAATATTTTTTTACGTTAAGTTCATTCTTTCTCCCTCTCTCTCTTTTTTTTTTTTTTTTTTTTTTTTTTTTTTTTTGGCAGTCGCTAGTTGAAAGTGCGCACTGGGTAAACCCCCGACCGAACCTAACACCATGCAAACTAGCCCCAAACAGACAAGTCACACCGGATAAACCATGCTCCATCTCTCATTTTCATCTAATGATTACAAGACTATGAAGCTTCCCCATTCAAGCATTGAGGATAGCAAAAAAAATCTCAATATGTATAGCAAAATATCTCACCTTTTTTAGTCACGCACCTAGTCTGCAGCAACAATAGCAAAAAAATCTCAATTTGTATAGCAAAATCTTTCACTTTTTAGTCACGCACATAGTCTGCGACAACAAGTTTTCTGACAACATCACACATTTGTAATGCACTTTTTGTTGCATGCGGACATACGTTGTAACAAATACTTATCTGACATGATTCAACTTTTGTTCCGCATTATTTGTTACGGATACATGTCGATCCAAAAATATGATCGATGTTTTTGTTACATACAAAAAAACGTAACAAATATAATTAACATGTGATTATTTTGAGGGTTGACCACCGGTTATTTGTCACGAATTTTGTCACAACAAATACTTTTTGTACCGCGATTTTTCGAAGCGGTCAAAATCCGTAACATAATCGACCCAAAAGGTTATTTGGCGCGAAAAATGGAGTTTTGTTACGAATTTTTTACCGCTACAAAAAATCAATTCTTTTATAGAAGGACACCACATTAGTGAATTTATTGGTTAGATTTTTCGCCCCCTAAATCTTTTTCATTTTCAAACCTTTCCAAGAACTTAAGAATATATTAAAATATTAATTTAATATGCTTTGTTCTGGCATGAAATATATGATTCTTATATAATTGAATTGTACTATAGTTGTTGTTATGAAAACTTTAGTTTTTGGATCATTTTCTATCTTCAGAATGACACTTTGAGCTAAACTATTTTCTTGATAACTTTTATTACTTCAATATATTCAGCTTTTGTGGCCAACAAATCAATTACTTTTGCAATTTAGAAGTCCATAAGATTTTTGTTCCTCCGTAAATGTACAGTTACCTGGATGAATTCTTTCTCATTACATAGTCACTTCTTGTTTGGTCAATATGGTCACATCCATGCAACCACGATGTCTTCTATCAAAGACCAATTTTTTATTTGTTATACCTCACAAATACATTAGTATTCACTTGAATTATTTTCAATATTGCATTACAGGATTACTCATGAATCGATAACCATTCCCACTATATGTGCAATATTCGATCTTGTACTAACTATGTCATGAATCAAACTTCCTATAGTAGATGCATGTAGGACATTCTTCATGTGACCATGTCCCCAACTTATTCTTCAGTAGGTTATGGTTAAACAACTTGAAATGACTTCCTAAAAATATTCTTACATGCTTTGTATCTCTCAGATGCTACAATGCATTAAATCAATATTGTCGTTCATTTTATAATGAAAATGAGTATATTTGTATACTAAATATCATATCTCTGCTTGAATCATTTCACTACAAATTTAGCCTTGTACAACTTATTCTTATATGTCTTTTCTTTAACTTGGTAAATCCATTGACTATGCACTACATTTTTACTTTCCAAAAGCCCACTCAATTCCCACATTTGGTTTGTCATGAAATAAATAATTTTATTGTATATACCATGTTCCAAATTGGTAAGTTCAGTTCTACTTATGTCGGGTTCTCAACACTTTTAGTAGTTGTTAGTTGAGCTTTAATAGACTTTCGATAGGGTCATGTAGGTTGGCTTTCACATAAGATACTTTATGATCATTCCAAGGTTGGTTGTTTGAATTTGTGTTGAAAATATCCAAACTAACTATCTTTGGGTTCTTCCTACCCTCGTCACCCAACCTATTTTTGTACAAAATGTGTTCACTAAAGACAACATCTTGATATTACAATGAGATTCATCCTAAATTCTATACCTGAATGTGCATTTTGGTTTAGCACAACCAATAAGTGTACACTTCATTGATTTAGCATCTATCTTGATCTTATAATCAAATTTTTACATATCCGATACAACTAAAAATGAGTAAAAGGAATAGATTTATCAATTTATCACTCCATATCTCATTGTTTAATGATATTAGTGGTCCTCTATTGATTAAGAATACAATTGTATTAATTGTTTTTACTTCAACTTTGGCAAATCTCACTTCAGTCACATACATCTACCTCGCTCGTAACGTTTGGTTAATTCTTTTAGCCACTTTATTATGCTACATGATTTCAAATATCTTCTTTGACCCTTCAAGAATGACATTTTTCTTTGTTTTCTAAAGATATAGTCCCCACCATTACAAAAAAAAAAAAAATAGTATATTTGTAACGGAATTTTATTCCTAAAGTTCATGTAGTTAACGTAATTTCATCCATAATTCCGTCTCTAATGTCATTAGTAACGAAAAAAAAAAATTGATTTAAGGATGAAAAAACCTCGTTATATAAATGATATATATGCACTCCAATGTCAATAGTGTTGAGACCTATCAACCTTCTACTTAAGACGAGCTCCTTCATCATTTTTCTTTTTGTGTGCCTAAGACAAAAACACTATAGATCTACATTGTTTTTGTGGCTATGAAATTGATTGTTTCCTACTTCTTGCTCGTCTAAAAAGTATCATTTTCTATCTTTGAGCCACCACCATGGTTAATGTGATTACCTTTCACATCTAAGATCCGACGAGGTGCAAGGGGTGCACCTTCTTTGTCTCCTTCTCCCTTTTCTAAACCTTAAATCAGTTGTCCGCATCTTCTTCTCCCTCTATCACATTATTTTGCAATGGGATTGGAACGGAATGTCCCATTCCGTATCCAACTTGGCTGAGTTAGAACAAACTCAGCCCACTTTGCGAATTGGGCGTCATCGGACCACCATTGGTGAAGGGGGAAGGTGTGTTTGCTTAGCGAGTAAATTCTAGTAAATTATATTACGAGTTAATAAATTTAATGTGACTTTTGTAAGTGATATGAATCTCTAGAAATCTTTTTGCATTAATAAAAAACAACAATATAATTTACTTTGTACTGAAATATTTTCGTGGGATTCAAAGTCCCTCACTAAATTAGCACTCGCTTAATTTATAATAAAATGTACAAATTTGCAAGGGATTTACTCCATCCCATAAATTTCATCATAAAATCCTTTGTAATAACTACTTTTTTTCCTTTTTTTTTTTCTTTTTTTTTTTAATTATAATTCCCGCCATTATTCTATCATTGCACAATTAATTATCTATTCCATAATATTTGACTAATAACTTACACAATTATCCCCGCTTGAACCACAATCATTATCATAAAATCAACCTAGCTCATAATTCACGTTTAATATTTAACATTATCTATTCATGTATCCCAAAATTCTTCGACATTCTCAAGCATATATATATATATATATGAACTTATCAAAATAGGCACTGAGATATGTTTTATTGTTGACAATATATAAATATATGTCTATGTTATTGAATAACATGTAAATGATATATATATATATATATTTCTCTTTTCTTCATAATTTACTTTCTATACTTAGCTTTGTATTCCCTCCACAACTGAGCCAAAGGCTTCCCTATCAATTCTTGAAAATAATCTTCTTTGAACACATCCTTCATCTTATTATTCAAAGTTGGAGTAAACCCTGGTTTCAAGCTATCACAATACTCCAAAAACCTCGTGGTTACGCCATAACCCTCATCCCACTTCGATCCCTCGCCCGGTTTAGTGTAACCTTCCGGATTGTAAACTTTCGACTTCACCATAACATAATCAGCTATTCCCTCAGTTAGGCCACCCGGCGCCGTCCCTTTTCCATTAAACTGGTAAATATGAGTGGCTTCATGGTAGACAACAGATTTGAAGAAGAATTTGGCTTGTTCTTGACCAGCTGGGAGGTCTCTTATGGCGATATCATTGTAGTAGATATTGTCTTCCCCTATCTCCGCCATGGCCCCATCCGTTAACGTCTTCACAATAAAGCCGACATTAGGAACGTATTTTCTCGATGCATCGGTTGGCTGGTTAAAGGTTTTCCATATGAATGGAATGATTTCTTCAGTGAGGATCTTGACAGTGTATTCTTTCCCTAGTTCTTTATCGAAACGACGGCGCCCGGCTGGATCGGTGGCATTGTTTAGAACATTGATTTTAACTGGATAAGCAATGGATGGTGTTGAAGATAGGAGAAGACAAGAGATGATGATGAAAATGAGGATGAAATTTGAAGACATTTTGATTTGTGTGTGATGAAGTAAGAGAGTTTGGGAATTAGGGTTTTGTTTTATAGGAGTGGGAATTGGCTGCAAATTGTTTGCCAAATTTAAACATATTGAATGCATTTGATTGTGGAAAATCTAGATTTGAGTTGTTTTAAATCTATTTAGAAAATATTGGAGGATTCGATTAATTGCTTTGAACATGAAACCAGCCTATTTAGAAAATGGAAAATTTTGGTTTATCTAAACCTATTTAAAATTTGATTATATATTGAATGAATATAATTCATTTATTGATTGTATTCAAATTTATAGATTTCTTGTATATATTAAAGGTTATCTTCATAGCCTTATTTACCAAATAATATTATGCTTATAACATGAATATTATTTAACACTTCATCCGTCCTACTCCACTGCAGTTTCTATCCATCCCACATACCATGTCACTTTTTTTTTTTTTTTTTTTTATGTCTACAGTGACCCTGATATCCAATGTGGGACATAAGAGTATATAGAAAATAGTAAATAAGATCTTATTAATATTATTATTGCATTATTAATTATGAATATGAACCACGGAATATTATGTTCATTATTTATTTTATATTTTTTGAAATAATCGATTAAGATTATGCGTTGAATGCTATGTATATATACGTACACAAATGTCGTAATATATTAAATAATAAAAAAGATTTGGGAAAATCATGAGTAAACAAACTCTATATAATTGTGTATTATTATGTATTATATACATAAACTCTATCTAGCTATTATTGAAGTTAGTCTTCGGCTAATATCTATCGTCAACCAATTAAATTCTATTGATAAACTGACTAAAAGTTCTAAATAATGGTTTTGTTCCTTCAATCAAACTTTTTTTCTCGACAATTTTCATTATATATGTAATAGCTATATTCCTTAGTCCATTTTCTACTGTTCTAATTGATAAATATATATATATATATATATTTTTAAGCAATTAATTTTTTATTATGAGTTGATAATTTATCTTGTGTGTAGAAAAATAAAGAGTAAATAAATGAATGATAAAGAGTAAATTTTATGTATATAAAAAAAGTGATGAAAATAATTATTCTACGTCCTAAATAAAAAAAAAAGTAAAATATTAGTTTGTGAACTGATAGAGTATTCTTTTACAAAAATCAATAATTCAATACAAAAGAGTATTATTTTTTTATATTACTAAAATAATTTAATTCTTTACACACAAAAAAAAATATATATTCCAAATTAAAATGCTAAGCAAACAAACTTAATAATAATAATAATAATAATAATAATAATAGTATCATCACTGTACCCTTATATAAATCATACTATTTTTTTTTCTAAAATGAATATTCATTATAACGTATATACGAATAAATAGGATAATATATAATAACATTTAAATTATAAAATATTAATTTTCTTACGTATTTCAAATGCCGATAATGTCAGATGCCCAGAATGCCTATGCGCAAAATTTGCATATGCATATGCGAAATTGGAACGGTATGATTCAAATTCGAGATCTAGAGTTCAAGTTAAAAGCTCAAACTATTATCTGCAAACGAAAATTTTCAACAAATTTTAAATTAGAAAGTTATTGGCTTCAAGAAAACTATAAAATAAATAGTAAAATTCAAAATACTTTTTTATTTTGATTTTGTAATTTGAAGGTAAATCTTTTAAGTTCAGACAGAAAAGTATAGTAACGAGAAAACAAAATTTAAAGAAAATTCTAAAATAATAATAATAATAATAATAATTGGAATTATAAATGCATAGTTTGAAAATGCCTAGTTATTTGAACAAATGGTCATAAGATAAATATAGAGCATTTGATAGGAAGTGTGGTCGGATCTTGGCAAAATGGTCCCTAACGTCGAAATTGTTGAGACTAGGGGTGGGCACGGTTCGGATATTTGCAAATATGTAGGTATTTGATATCCGAATCGAACCGAATAAATATTCGAAACCGCGAACCGAAACTGAACCGAAAATTTCGGTTAACTGAATCTTCGGTTAACCGAAAATATTTGTACTATTTGCAAATATCCGAACCGAACCGAATTCAAACAAATATTGACAAATAAATCTACTTTTGGAATTGAAACACTCATAAACAACAACACAATATCAGTTCAATTAAAAACAAATTAACATGAAACATAAAGTATATTTAAAAGTCAAATTACAATATCCACGAAAATAAATCTGCGTGTGCATCTTTTCACCGTCGAATTCCTGAAAAATAAGATAATAAAATAATTCTTTTTAGAAAAAATCAATAATAATGCACTGCAATTAATTGTTAAAATAATAATAAAACCTGCACAATTATATTTATATTTTGGAAAAAAATTTTGAAAAAAAAAACGGTCCACTAAAAAAACAATAAAAAACTCTGCACAATGTAAATAAAATGGAAAAGATTTTATAATCTTGAATCGACTATTTGTAGTTGTTACCCGAAAGATTTTGTAGTTGTATTGTGCGCGAAGAGTTGAAAACGATTGTCTGGATAGTTGCACACAAACGGCAGAAGAGGGGGTGAAGAGATGGAATAAAAAATCGCAGAAACAAGATGAAGCCGCCGCTGATTGGCTGAAAAATCGCAAGATGGTGAACAGGTGAAGTACCGCGGATGTCCAGGAGGTAGACGAAGAAATTAGGGTTGTGAAATCGAGTTTGAGATTTGGGAGATGGGGTTTGGCGGTTTGCACTGGGTTTGAACCGGTCTGCACTGGGGGACTGGCTGTAATGTATATTATTAATGATAATTTATATAAATAAATTATAAATATATAATATAACATAATTAATTTATTATAAAATTATCCGGTTCGGTTAACCGAACCGAAAAAAAGATTAGAAACCGAAACCGAACCGAACCGAACAAATACCAAATATGCAGTATTTGTATTCGAACTGAATTTGCTCGGTTAACCGAAAATTCGGTTCGATTCAGTTCGGTTCGACGGTTCTGCGGTTCGGTTCGGATATTTTGCCCACCCCTAGTTGAGACTGTACGTTGAAAATTGTGTGGATGACATGTGGACAATGATTAAAGATTATTTCTATCAATTTTTTTTTTATTTATAGGATTAATCAAATACAAAGTTTAGTTATAATTTTAAAATGATAAAAGAGTATGTACGGGATTAAAAAATAATTTTTATTTTTATTATTATTTTGAAATATTCAAATTATTATTTATAAATCACGCAGCACTTAAGTCGACAGAATATGGATGTTTTACGATCATTCATTTACCGACCACGCGCCTATAAATATGTGTGTGCTTTAGGCAATGAAAATGCAATTCACAATATTTTTCTTGCCCCCTTGCATTAATTGTCCCCTTCCTCTCTGCATTAATTGTTTGCTTTCAAATAAATTCAATATAATACAATTACTACTCTTACACATATATTTATATACATATAAACATACATCCATCTGTACACACAAACATATAATATATATACTTACCTCCATTGTAATATATTATTATTTATTAAATAACATTATTCAAATTGTTGGATTTGTGGGATTTGAAATTTTAAATGATTGAAATAAGCTTAGATTCATGCATTGCCAAATGAATTTCCATTTTCAATAGTTTGATCAAAGAGCTCGTTGAATAGATTATTTTTTTACTGATCTTTTTTTCGAAATTGAATATAGAAATTTAAAGAAATCCAATTGTTGAAAATGAATATAAAAAAATTAAGAAGATATTATTGAAAATTACATAGATAAACATGATATTTTGAAATAAATTTATATTATACTTGTATAGATAAATCATTAACAAATTTAAAATGTCCAAATTTCAAATTTTGGATAATAATTAATTAATTAATTTTATTATTATTATTATTGGAGGCAACTAGTTCTTATAATATCGAAGTAATAATTAATTTTATTATTATTGTTGGATGAATTTAAATCAATTTAGTTGGATGAATTTAAATTTGAAGATAAATTTTAAATAAATATATCTTAATTACTTTATATTGAAATATATATATTTAGATATCGGTAATTTTCTGATCATACTCAAACAATAATATTCAAAGAAAAAATGCACTTAAGATCAAATATTTCGATTAGAATTTTATTTTTTTATGGTACATAAAAACATAAATTGAGACTGAATAGGTAAATAGATAGCAATTGAGTTATATGCGGGGACTGTTAAATCAATATTTAAATATTTTTAATTCAAATATTTTCAATTAAATAATTTTTTTTTAAAAAAAATAAACAATTAAAATAATTATCTTTAATATTATATTAAAAATTAATTTTATAATTCAATAATCCAACAAATATTTAAATTATTATTATTATTTAGAAAGAAGTAGACATAAAAGATTATATGACGATTTGAGCCCAAGGATAATAGTCCAATAGAATGAATGTGAACCGTATAAAAAGTAGGAGTGGCAGTTTACCGGCCTTCGTCCCTCCGAGCTTCATCAGTCCATCGGGGTAGGTGCCCGGAGGAGATCTCGTCTTCCCTTCTTGGCGCCATCTTATGGAACTTCCCGCAGTTTCGACCGCTGTGACGCTACTGCTGGTTATACTTCATCTCCTCGGCGGAAATTCGGCGGAAGTCGCGGAATCGGACCTCCTGGACAGGTCAACTGCAGCCGGTCTTTGCGTTAACGTCATCGAGCCTCATGGATTCCCTTGCGCCGAACACACTGTAATTTTTCTCTGACGATGTTTTTTGCTTGCTTCAAAGTCAATGTTTGGATTGCAAGTAGATGTAAAGTCAATCGTTTATGACCTTTGCTAAACCTTTAATTGTGTTTGGATTCCTATAATTTGGGAGAATCTGTTAGTTTACGCATACGTTATGTATGCACTCGCAATTCGGTCTCTCTCTCCGGTCAGCAAATGATTGCTCTGTTTGTGGATATTATCTGTGCTGCTGCTGCTGCTGCTGTGCTATGTTTAATGTGTCTGTCGCGTATGTTTCTATCTAGACTCAAACCGAAGATGGATACGTGTTGGGACTTCAACGGGTTTCATCTCCTTCAGTAATTGTCAGGCAAAGGGGCTCGCCGATTTTGTTGGTTCATGGACTTTTCATGGTAATTGTTTCTGTGAATTATTTTGTTTGTTAAATTGGTGACGAGGTGACAATATATGGAGATGATACATCACTTAGTGTTCTAATTACTTCGATTTTTGTTATTATTATCCCAAAAAAATCATTTTAATCATGAACTGGATGATAAATTTGTGGCAGTCTATGTCCAAATAGATAAATACTTTCCTTTCCAATAATCGGACAGTTCACTTGAAAATCAATTACACAGCACCATAACAAGTGGCTAGTAAGAATAGTTTTCTGAATACTGTAAAATTCATTTGGATTCTGTCATCAGTTATCTATTTATTTATGTTCTTTACTTCCTCTTACAATTACCGGGAAGTCGAGCATTAATGCAGTGTGTAATATGCCTCTTATATTAGCTATAATTGAATCATGCTTCTCTTCCTTCTAAATTACATCTATTGCTTAAAACAGGCAGGAGATGCTTGGTTTATGGATTCCCCAAATCAATCATTGGGCTTTGTCCTTGCAAACCGTGGTTTCGATGTTTGGGTTGGTAATGTGCGTGGAACATTTTGGAGTCATGGTCACGTGTCTCTGTCAGTGAAAGAAAAGGTGACTCTTTTTAATGGAAGATCTCAGTTATATTAAATGATAGTAGTAGTTAAAATTTTGTCAAGCTGATCATGGTTCTTAACAAAGTGCTTCTAAATTTTGTTGAAGCTTTGATAATCCTTGCTATTTGTATTCTTTTTTAGAAGTGCATCGTATTCGAAGCAATATTATTATTGCAACTGTTCAATATGAAAATACTTAACATTGAATTGGTTGAAATCAGTGGGAGGCTCATCACAGATACCTTTGCAGTAGTCTTCCATAATGGCAATTTAAATTGTCTTCTGTACATGTTTGCTGAAATCAACATGCCTTTAATTAGTAAGAAAAGTAACGACATATATTTGGGAAGTGATACGTTGCGAGTGCAAATTTTGGTTAAAACCAGATGCTTATCCATTTTCTCAGTAGGACTTTGACAACTTAATGTGCTGCTACCATACATGGATATAGTTCATTGTATGTCAATGTCAAAATCTCTACATAGACGTGAATTTTATACTTTTATATGTTTGGCCTTACAGTAATGATAAAAATCGAAAAAGATATCCTAAATTCTGTTTATTATGAGCATGTTGCTAAGTGGTCGCCATTATTTAGTTCCTTAATTCTTTGTTCAGGAATTCTGGGATTGGAGCTGGCAAGAGTTGGCTCTTTTTGATTTGGGAGAAATGATTCGGTACATATATTCAGTCACAAATTCCAAAGTCACTGTTGTTGGACATTCACAGGTCTTATTCAGTCCCACAAGACATCTAAAGTCACATGTGAGAGTGTATGGCTTATTTTTTCGACCTTTTATGCGTATTTCTCTTGTACATTTTCAGGGAACAATTATGTCTCTTGCTGCCTTTACCCAACCGGACATAGTAAACATGGTTGAAGCTGCTGCGCTCCTTTGCCCTATATCATATTTGGACCACATCACTGCCAAGCTTGTTCTTAGACTAGTCAAAATGCGTCTTGATGAGGTCTGCTTTCTGCCATCGAGCTAATTTTTGGTCGGAATACTATCTAATCATTTATTTCATTTCAGATTATTATGGCACTGGGAATTCATCAACTCAATTTCAAAAGGTCTTCGAGTAATTCATTCTTCTATTGATATCTGCCTTATGATCGAAAATGTTTTCTCTGCTTTCTGATCAAAATGTTCGGCATATTCAGTGAATTGGGCACAAACATCATGGATATGATGTGTGATGGACACATGGACTGTGATGACATGCTTAGTTCACTTACAGGTCCTGATTTCGCCTTTTTTTTTTCCCTTTGGAGTCTTCAATCGTCTACATTATGAAATACTTGGTAAACTTATACGAGTGTTACGTAATAATTAGTCTTCTTGCTGAACTGCTGCTGGCAAGATTCAAATTTTTGTTATTTGTAAAAGTTTAATAACCTCATCCTAGAGATTTTCATGCTAGGAACTCATCGATTCTCTAAATGAGCGGCAACTGTTACAATAATCTTCTATGATAATTTGTCAAAAGTGAGGTACAATATCGATCTAAGTTCATGGTAAGCTCCATGAATGCATGGACATGTTCTTGTTCTACAGTGCATTAGTTGAACCATTATCAAAGACATCTAATTGTTATCTATCCTCGTTTCTTTTGTGCCTTAAATATCTCGTCGGTCACGTAAGAAACATCTAATATGCAGGGAAGAATTGCTGCTTTAACAGCTCGAGAATCGACCACTACCTCGAATTCGAGCCTCATCCAACTTCCTCCAAGAACATACACCATCTCTTCGAGAGTAAGCTGCTGCTTCTGCTCTTCTCTAAAATGAATTGCAAATTATCATCACTATCTCATATCTTCCCACTTTTTGGCATTGGCCAGTGATCCGGAAAGGCAGTTTCTCCATGTACGACTACGGAGTATTGAAAAATCTGTTGAAGTACGGGAGATTAAAGGCGCCTGCATTCGACCTCGGCTCCATCCCGAGTTCACTGCCGATATGGATGGGGTATGGAGGGACGGATGCGCTTGCAGATGTGATTGATGTGCAGCATACAGTGAAGGAATTGAATTGCAAGACCAGGTTGTTATATCTGGAAAACTATGGGCATATAGACTTCCTTTTGAGTGTATCTTCCAAGGAAGATGTCTACGACAGCATGCTTTCCTTCTTCGCCTCCCTGGGATTGTCTACCACCCTCCTTTGACTGGGCTCACTGCCTATTTCTTATATCTATCTTTGTGTATATATATTATATGTATATGTGTGTGTGCATAAAATGTGTTGTATATATGAATTTTCTTGTGCTGTTAGATATTATTGTTATGATTATTAGGCTAAATTACAAAAACTTCACTTGTGATTTGATGAACTTACTCCAAATGCTCCGTACTTTTAAAATTGCGTCAAATTCTCTTATGTTTTCATAAACTCTACGTTTAATTTCTCGACGGTCATTATTTAACTGTATCTCATCTAAATTTGTACAAACTGCCAATAAATTTTAGAATCTCAATTCTAAATCCTACCATTACAAATGTATTTATTTTTCTTAATTCGAAGGATTAAAGGCAGACTTTACGAAACGACGGGGAGTTTGACAAGTAGATGGATTTGGCCGCAATTTATAAAATCACGGATAGATTTTGTGTAATTTAGTTTTATTATTATTATTATGAAATAAAAATCAAGGTAAGTTACAAGACCTCGTAACGTCTCCTCATGGAGAATCTTTTAACTCATAATTTTTTCTATATTCTATTTTATATAATTTTTTAAATTTACAAATAACATCTAATATTTTATTATTTTTACAAAGTTTGTAATACTTTCTCAGGATATTTTGTTCGTTTTACTATAGACATTAAAATTTGGGAGGGGTATAATTAGTAAATAATTTAAAATGTATTACTAAAAATTAATTATAGTATAACAAAAATAATTATAGATTAAAATTAAGATAAGTGATTAATATAATTAAAATTAAAAAATTATAAATTAATTTTTTTAAAATAAGATTAATGATGGAAATGAAAAAGTAGACATAAAACGTGGGACGGAAGGAGTAATATTTTTTATTAATATTTTAAATATTGTAATAATTTAAATTAATATAAATAATTTATAATTATTTTATCATAATTAATTAACTATAAATTTTAATAAACACTAAATAAATAGATGAATTAATATAAATATTAATTGCAAAATTATAATATAAAGATATATATATAAATAAATAAATTTATAAATAATAAAAAAATTAATAAAATAAAATAGAAGAAAATACAATTTTAAAATAAATTTAAATTAAGATATAAAAATATAAAAATATAAAAATAAATAAAATAGACAGAATATAAATATAATTTATAATTACAAATAAAATAAAAAAAATTAAAAATAACACCCGCATATAAAAAAAATGTGGAGAGAATGAAATCTCCATATTTGCAATGTGTATTGTAGCAAAAAAAAATTTTAACTACCATGATACTTTACCCAATATTACAAATAATATTATTAATAAGTAAATAATTTTAAAGACAAAATTGTCTTTTAATATTCTTTTATAGTACTATTACATGTATAATATTACTCCCTCCCAAATATTTTAGGTTTATTAACGTAGATACGAGAATTTAGGTAAAATATAACTAGCAGGTAATTAGAAAGTGTATTAGTAAAAATAATTATTACTTAGTAAAAATAATTTTAAATTAAGATTAAAATAAATAAATAGTTTCATTAAAATTAAAAAATATATATAAAATATAAAATTTAAAATATGATTAAAGTGCATAATTATATTTCCAAAAATAGAAAGGACAAGTTATGTGGGACGTACAAAAATAAAAAATAGGAACCAATTATGTGAGACGGAGGGAACAATATACTAAAATTCACATGCAGAAAAATAATTGTCAAAAAGAGTATTTTATATTGAATTATTAATTTATTTTTAGTAAATTTATTATATATTATACTTTATTCGTTCAAATACAATAGTTTTGTTTACTATTTTTATCTGTCCTAAAATAATAGTCTAATTTCCATAAATAATCATATCACTAAAAAAACTACATTTACTTTTTCATTATTATTACAAAATTGCTACTACTTTTATTTTACATTAATACACTAGGATAAAAAAGTCTTTTAACCGTACTTTTTACTCACTATCAATATAATATCAATATTCCTTAAATTTCGTATAAAACTCAACTCAAACTATAGTTTTGGGATGAAGAAGTATATAATTATATGTATATTTTTTAAAAAATATATACATATTCATAAAAAAAAAAAAAAATGTGTCAATAAATAATACTCCCTTCGTCCCAGATACCGTGTCTGTAGACACGGTATTTTAGAAAGGGTGTAATTAGTAGATAATTAAGAATATATTAGTAAAAATAATTATCTTATAATATAAATAATTATAAATTAAGATTAAGATAACTAATTAGTTTAACTAAAATTAAAAAAAATAAAATTAAAAAATTTTAAATGAAATTAAAGTGTGTAATCATTTTCCAAAAAGAAAAAGTGAAATGGTACGTGAGACAGATAGAAACGACAACGTGGATATGGTATCTGGGACGGATGGAATAATAAGTAATTGAATGAACATTAGAACAACCTTTAAATACATAAATTTGTCAAAGTAAATTAATAAAAAATAATATTAAGTACAGATATGTTTGTTGAGTAGGTGAGAACTGATGACTAAAGCAACCTCTGGGTCATAAAAGTTGGTCACAAACTATACTTAAAACACACACACATATGTCACATCGGCGACATCATGACGTTGGCATTTCACCTAACCTCGAATGTGCCATTAAAAAGGATAAGAGTATCCTAATTTTTAAAATAAATTTGCAGTATCCATTTACTATAATCACGAAAATTTAAAAGAAATATATTAAATAATTAAAAGTATAGTAATAAAGATAATTATTATATAATAAAAATAATTTTAAATTAATATTAAAATAACTAATTAATTTAATTAAAATTAAAAAAAATTATAAATTAAAAAACTTAAAATAAAATTAAAATAAATAATTAGTTTAAAAAAAATGACGGAACAAGTGGAAGACAAAAATAAAAAAATATATATATATACGATAAGTGGGACGGGGGAGTAATATATATTTAATTTATACTTTATTAAATAATCTACTTATTCTTTTATATTGTATAAAATATAATGTACTAAATTCTGTTCAATTTCAAATTTTTTTTAAATACAGTCGTGATCCCTAACAACTACTGTCATTTAATTATTCTCAGGTAATTGGAAAACTAGTTAACCTAATAATGTACTCCTTTATATTTGTTATACTTGACATATTTATTCTATCTAAGATATTCATAAATAATACATATATTTCTATTTAATAATAAACATATATTTTTATTTAATAAATATAGATCTCATGTTAGGTTTTCGGCCATGAACTAGGCCAATTGGATCAAAATACAAAACGACACTTAAATACTTAAAATTAAAGATCTCTTTTACTAAAAATCACTCATATTTACCCTCAATTTTTCCCATGGTGTCTACTTCTCCTTCGAGTAGCTTTAATTAAGGTTGAAAGTTATGGTGACGATGATTTAATATTTTCGGAGTATGCTCACTTGATTGATAAGATAGAACAACATATAGGTAGTTGTGATGAAGTCGGAGAGATTAGTTCAACATTATATGGTGAAAAAAATGTTCCAAACTTGACTATAGATTATTCTAAGATCTTTTATTCGGACATGAATATTGGAGAGTTTTGAAGATTATCGGAAATATCATAGCAGAGAGAAGAGGGTAAAGAGAATTTTTTTATGTGGCAAAGAAAAATGATAAACTATCGTATAGCGTATTCTTCAAGTCAATCTAAAAAATAACTAACTAGCTATACAAGAAGAATCTATAAGGAGTATTGCGGTGAACTGGCAGAAAGTATAGTGCGTGTGTCGTGCTGTCATCTTTAACACGTGTCACTGAATTCACATAATCCTTCACCTCTCCTCAAGATGAGAATGCCACAGACTCATCTTGGACAGTATTGAAGTGAAGTCAGCAGCTGGAAGACTTCTGGTAAAAATGTCAGCGATTTGATTTTTAGAGAACACATGCTGAGGTAGAATAAAGCCAAGCTTGTATTGATCTCGAACTACATGGTAGTCAACCTCGATATGTTTGTTCATTCATGGAACACCGGATTTTTTGTGATATGGATCGCAGCGTGATTGTCGCAGTAAAAAGGGATAGGAAGTTGTAATGAAACATGCAAGTCTTTTAAGACATAAGAGATCCATTGAAGCTCACGCACTGTGTCTGCCATGGCTCTATACTCAGCCTCAGCTGAGCTACAAGAGATGGTGGATTGCTTTTTGGCTTTTCGGGATATTAATCGACTACCAAGAAATATTCCATATTCAGTAGTGGAGTGCCTGGTAGTTTTGCAATAATTATAGTCGGTATCACTATAGGAAGTCAAGCTAAGGTTGTCATTGCTGGAGTAAAATAATCCAATGGAAGGATGACCAGCTAAGTACTTTAGGATATGAAGCATTGCTTGCCAATGTGATTCATGAGGCTCATGAACAAATTGACTAAGTTGATGAACACAATAAGTGATGTCGGGGCGACTGAAATTGAGATATAGTAGACGACCAATGATCCGTCTATATTGAGTAGCATCATGAAATAGGGGAGTAGTGTCCGTGTCTAATAATTCAAAGGCAAAATTGTCCATAACTTCTTTGTAATTTTGAAACTCAGCGTAAATTCCCCCTCTACTTTAAAAATTGCATGACGTCCCCTTATACTTTAAAAGATGTTGCATGAAACCACTTTGTGGTTTCGAAACTCAGCATAAATCTCCATTTTACTTTAAAAAATTGCATAACGCTCACTTATACTTTCAAAAATATTGCATAAAACCCCCCTGCCATGCAAAACATATAGATAGGAAATCATCTTCTTATCACACAAGGAAAGTTTCATGGTGGTGGGGTTTCATGCAACGTTTTTTAAAGTATAAGGGGGTACCATGCAATTTTTAAAGTATAGAGAGATTTTACGCTGAATTTCAAAACCACATGGGAGTAATAAGCAATTTTACCTAATTCAAATTGCAACCCCGCAGGTAATGGTGTAGACATTGGCTTGTTGTCCAGAAGTTGAGCATTTTTTAACAGGTCTATGACATACTTGGACTGATGAATGTATAAACCTTCAGAAGAGCGAGCCAGCTCAATTCCCAAAAAATACATAGCTAGACCAAGATCTTTAATTGTGAAAGTATGATCCAAGAATTGTTTCACTTCTTCAATCCGAGTACTGTCATTTACAGTCAAGAGTACGTCATCAACATACACAAGTAGTACCAATATATGTAATTATCACCATGTAAAAAAAATAAGCAATGATCATTATAAGATTGCTTGAAACCAAATTGTTGTAGATTTGAAGCAAACTCCAAGTTCCATTGCCGTGAAGCTTGCTTTAACCCATAAAGGAATTTCTACAGTTTACACACTTTCAAAGAATTAGAGTCCAAATATCCTAGAGGAGGAGTCATGTAAATTTATGCATCAAGGCTTCCGTGTAAGAAGGCATTATTCACATCGAGCTGGTGAATAGGCCATTTTCTAGAAGAAGCTATAGCCAAAAGAATTCTCACAGTGACTGCCTTGGCAACTGGAAAAAAAAATTCAGAGAAATCCTCACCTTCAACTTGTGTATAACCCTTTGCAACTAAACAAGCTTTATATCGATCGATAGATCCATCCGGTTTGCATTTTATTCGATATACCAACTTGTAGCCAATTGGTTTGTTTCCATCAGGAAGATCACATGCAAATCATGTCTGATTTTTTTCAAGAGCCTGTAACTCAGACTGCATGGCCTCTTGTCACTTCAAATTGGTACATGCTTGATTGTTATTACTTGGTTCCTGAAATGTGGAAAGTTTGGTAGAAAAAGACTTGTAATTATCAAAGAATTCGAAGTCATTTTCAAACACTGTAAGTCCTCCAAATGAGGAATCATGATCCTGCAACTATCTTGGTTTTCTTCTGGATCTAGTACTTCATCTTGGCACAAAATCATGTGTTGAATTCTGAGGATCTTGTACTGCTTCTTCTTCTTCTCCTATACAATGAATTTCACTTGATAAGTAAGAAGGGTCTTGTTGGTCTGGACAGACATCATCATCACTTGATGAATTTCCTGAGTCGCTATGATTCTGAAAATTGTAAAAATCTTCTTGATCTCGTATTGTCACTTGTGGAATAATAGCAGAAGATTTTATCTTATCTTTATAAGAAAAGACTCGTTCATTGAACTTGACATCTCTGGAAACAAGAGTTATGTGTAGAGAAAGACAGTACACGTTATATCCCTTTTGTCCCATCGTATACCTCACACAGACATCAGGTATTGCTCTAGTGTCAAACTTGTCTTTGTGAGGGTCTGTATTGACTGCAAAGACCTGACACCTAAAGACTTTGAGAATCCTTAAATCAGGTTTCCTCTTGTAGAGCATTTCAAATGGACTTTTCCAATGAAGCACTGGTGTTGGCAATCTGTTGATGATGAATGCAGATGTAAGCACTGCATCCCCCCAAAATGTCTTGGGCAAGTTGGACTGTCGTAGCAAAGATCTTGCAACTTGTATAAGATGTTTGTGCTTCCTTTCAACCACTTCATTTTGCTGTAGAGTATATGGGCAACTTCTCTGATATACAATCCTCAATTTAGATAGAGAATTTTGCAATGTACTATTCATAAATTCACTACCATTATCAGATCGAATAACCTTGACATGAGTTAAAAATTGAGTGTTCACCACTCTGAAATAATGATCAATCAAACTTGCAAGTTCTGTTTTATGCTTAAACAGAAATAACTAGGTACATCTGGTGAAATCGTCAACAATGGTCAAAAAATAATGATGACCTGCATGAGTGTCTTGTTTATAAGGCCCCCATACATCCATATGCATCAAATCAAAACTCTGAACACTTTGAATATTGTTGTTTGAAAAACTCATTCTACATTGCTTTGCTTGAGGACAGATATCACATATAGAAGAAAGTGTCACTTTATTGCAATCTGAAATATGACTCAAAACAACATCTGAAGGATGCCCCAATCTGTGATGAAATACATTAGCATTTATTGTTATGATGGCGCTACAGTTCCAACCTTTTTGTTGTGTCTTGTTAGGATTTCTGACATGCAACATATAACTACCAAACATATCTTGTGATCTTGTAATAGCTTTAGAGGTGAAAAAAGTTGAATTTAGTATGTATAGTCTCTTAATCACCTTACCGGCTGCAACAATCTTGTCACTCTTAAGGTCCTGTAAAAGGCAAAAATTAGCAAAGAACTTGAAAATCAATGTATTAACTGTTGTCAATTTCCTTACTGACAGCATATTACATCTGAAGTTTGGTACCAAAAGACATGATGTTAAGGTGACTTGCTGAGACAATACCACATCACCAGTATGAAAGACTGAGTTAACAGAGCCATCCGGTAACCATACCGGTGTGTATGAACTCACAGATTTGCAATTGGTCATCAGACACTTATTTGTGCACATATGATCAGTTGCACCATTGTCACATACCCAAGCTTTACAATCTATACTCTTAGAGCTTAATGAATTCAATAAAGGAACAATAGAACTACCTGAAAAGGCATCATGATAGGCCATGTTCACCATACTTCCATTAGAGCTACTTGCAGGTGTTTTTTGTTTTATATACTTGGCAATTTCTCTTTGCACACCTTCAGATATAACTGATTGTTGATTTTCATCATAATGATCCATAGGTGTATCAACTGGATTACTATACGCTCCATCAGACGTCTCAACAACATTAGCTCGAGCAACCGCTTATTTTCTCTTAATATAATCAGGCCACCAATCTGGAAGTCCTTTCAATTCAAAACAATTCTCCTTAACATGCCTAGATTTCCACAATGTGTACAGACTAAGTTGCTTTTGTCTTGCTTCTGGTATTGAGTATTTTTAAATCCAGATCCTCTCTTCCGAGTAGGGCCTTTGTATACATGTCCATTATTACTCACTTGAATTTCTCATAATCATCGTTGCATGATCAACAACAGGTACAACCATATTTTTAATGACCTGTTTATGACTTTCAACCTTTAAAATCATATTTTAAAACTTGTTCAGAGATGGAAACGATTCCATAAAAAGTATTTAACTTCTCTCGGTCTCATATGTTTCATTTAACCCCATTAAGAAGGACATCCCCTTATCTTCATTATTTTTAGTGCTCAGCATATCACCAACTATACCAACAACTATAGGAAGAATCTATAAGGAGTATTGTGGTGAGCTGGCAAAAAGTATAGTGCGTGTGTCGTGCTGTCATCTTTAACACGTGTCACTAAATTCACATAATCCTTCACCCCTCCTCAAGATGAGAATGCCACAGACTCATCTCGGACAATATTGAAGTGAAGTCAGCAACCGGAAGACTTTTGGTAAAAATGTCAGCGATTTGATTTTTAGAGAACACATGCTAAGGTAGAATAAAGCCAAGCTTGTATTGATTTCGAACTACATGGCAGTCGACCTCGATATGTTTTGTTCGTGCATGGAACACCGGATTTTTTGTGATATGGATCGCAGTGTGATTGTCGCAATAATAGGGGATAGGAGGTTGTAATAAAACCTGAAAGTCTTTTAAGACATAAGAGATCCATGAAGCTCACGGACTGTACATGTCATGGCTCTATACTCAGCCTCAGCTAAACTACAAGAGATGGTGGATTATTTTTTTAAACATGGAGACCAACCAGACAATTTAAAATAATTTTTTCTACTTTAAATTTTAAATATTATAATTCGATATATGTTAAAATAATAGTAAAATATAAATTTTAAATTCATAATAATTCATTATTATGTCTTTAATGGGCTTAGTCTTATCGGCAAATGTTTTAAATTTGTATTTTATGGATATAGAAAATTAAAGCTCATTTAAGTTTAAACTCAATCAAGTTAGGCCAACTCATAGACTAAAGTTTATTTTACTAATTAAATTATATCAAATATAAAATGTTTTTTAAAACTTTATGGTCTCCTCGTGTTTTAAAAATTATCAGACATAATCCCTAAATAATTGCTGCGAGACTCCTTCGTTTTTTCAGAAATATTGTACATAAATTCTTTAAAATAATTTGTGCAATTTTTTTTTTTTAAAACACGAGGGAATGTCACTTGAAAATAAATTTTTATGTGAAATATAGATAATTGTATAAATATTTTAAAATAATATAGTATATTAATTTTTTAGAAAAATATGTTAGAATTTTTTTTCAAAACAAACAAATCCTTGAAATACCAATGGATTATGAATACTTTTATCTAATATTTTATCAAAATTATATATATTTGATTCCATATTTTTTAAAAATGGCATAGTTTCAAATTTAAAAAAATATTGTATAAATAGAAATATTTTAAAAATTAGGGAGCAAACTTTTTAATATATGAATATGAAATCCATGTTCAAATAGCAAAATAGGTATATTTATTAATTCCCATCATATTGCATACCTAACAAATTAACATTATACTTTATATAACAAATACAAATAAAGAAAATGCAAAAATAAAAATAAAAATTGGCCACCAACCCCGGGGTGGGTCCCACCAAATGGCTATCTGCTGGGTATTCACTGCACAGCACACACCTTTACGCTGCACGCCTCCCTTACCTTCTATTTTCGCTCTCCTCTCTCTCTCTCCTTGCCTTCGTTTATATATATACATACAGAGGAAAGAGGAAGAGGAAGAGGCGGGAGAGAGAGAGAGAAGTATTTGCATTTGCAGCTTCACTAATATTGATTTGTGGATCTTCTCCTGCCTGAATACTGTGGAGAATTTACGAGTTCCATTTGAATAGGAAGGAGGAGGTAGCGATCATCGATGGGGAGTGTGGAGACGGCGAGGAAGATCGTCGGTTGGGCTGCAAGAGATCCTTCTGGAGTACTCTCACCCTACACTTACACTCTCAGGTATTTCTCTCTCTCTCGTTTTAATGAATTAGTTTATGGTTTTTGTATGTATGGTGTGGTTGATTGAACATATATTAATTGTTAATCTGTACTTGGATATGGTGTTAGATTGATGGATTGATTAGATTAAGTTAGAGAGATTGATTAGATTGGAATGGGAATTGAAATGCAGAGAAACAGGGGATGAAGATGTATACATAAAAGTGATATGCTGCGGGATTTGCCATACCGATATTCACCAGACCAAAAACGATCTCGGCATGTCGAATTACCCCATGGTTCCTGGGTCAGTACCTCTCTCTCTTTCTCTGATTCTCTGTAAACACCGAATTGAGGAGGAAGAACAACCAACTGTATGCTATGTGCTTGTAGATCACTAATTAATCAGTCATTTCCTTTCCTGAACTCCATGACTGGTGTAGATCTGAGTGCTCCATGGATGATGGATCCTCAAATCCGCCATGGTTTTTTCTTCGAATTACAGTCGTCTGTCTCTCTTAACAATTAACTATAAGATGAAATATAGTTAGTAACTGTGAAATTATCATCGATCATGGTTTTAATCAATTGATTTGATTGCAAGTTAGCTATGGATTGCAGGCATGAAGTGGTGGGGGAGGTGGTGGAGGTAGGGCCTGCCGTCGCCAAGTTCAAGGCCGGCGACGTCGTCGGAGTCGGAGTAATCGTAGGGTGCTGCGGGAGCTGCCGCCCTTGCAACGCCAATATCGAGCAATACTGCAACAAGAAGATTTGGTCCTATAATGACGTCTACACCGATGGCACACCAACACAGGGCGGATTCGCCTCCGCCATGGTTGTTCATCAGAAGTAAGTGAGCTAGAACAACCGCACTATCTATTTATTTATTTATTTTTAATCCTTCACCATTGTTTATACATTTATTGCTTAAAAATTCTAACGGTGCGTATGTTTGGGTTAACAGTAGCTTTAAAAGAAAATTAATAAATAATAATATATTTAATATTTTTAGATTAAGAGCAAACACAATTTTTCAAAAGTAATTGTCTTTTATAATTTCGGTTAAAATAATCATTGGATATGAGAAAAAAAGGTACTGTTTTTGCTATCCACTAAGAATGCATATTTTGGTCATTAAGAGTGTCTATGATCAATGGACAGGTTTTTTTAGTAAATAGAAAATTAAATACAATATTTTGTTATTTTTTAAATACTTTGTGGATAATATAGGGTGTGTTTTTTTAGGGTAGTTCGAAGAAATTTATATTTGAATTTGATTTTTATTTGAATTTTGGTATGAATTTGAATTATTTTTTTTTCTTTTGTTTTTGGATTTGGTCGGAGTTTGGGGACTTTTGATGTCTGTTGATTTAATGAATAATGAATAAAATAATATAAATGTATATTAAATTTAATTAATAAATTTTATATTATATAATTTAATTATAAATTTATATTATAATCAATATATATATATTTAATTTTTTATTTATTTATATTACAGAAAATTTTATTCTCGAGATATATATTGTATATATATTTTTTCCCCTGTAATTATAATAAATATTAAATTAAATATATCTTTTTGTTTTTTTTTTTAATAATTTAAAAAATAATACTATTATTTTATTGATTAGTATAAGTATGTAAAATAATTTTAATATTTATATTTTTAAAAGTACAAATGAATGAATACTTTTTGTATAAGTCATGAATATTTTCATATTTAAGTATAATTACTTTTAAAATATAATAGTAATTTTTTTTATGTATAAAATATATATTATATATTATATTTTTATATAAATATTTGATATAATATTTTGTACATAAATTATATTACTGATATAATATGTTAAGTAAAAATTAGATTATTAATTTAACATTTTAAATGAAATAAAAGTCAAATGTCATATATTTTGGAGACAGAAACTTATAATGTATAGTAAAAGGGAGTTCAAAACAAATATATGTTTAATATTGCCTCCCAAGGTGCATAATGTTTTGCTATGTGCATTGACGTTATTTACTTATTCTTCCCAATAGATAGGATAGGATTAATTATCTAATAATTATATATATATATATATATATATATATAAACGGTGGCGGTTATAGTATTTGTTTAATATAATTAGTACTGTATTAATAGCACAATAATATATACTCCCTCCGTGGCATGTAATATGGGTGTATTACCGTAGACACGGTAATTTTGATAAAGTATAATTAGTAAGTAATTAAGAAATATATTAGTAAAAATAATTATAGATTAAGAATAACATAAGTAAATAATTTAATTAAAATTAAGAAAATTTAAAATTTAAAATACGATTAAAATTAAAGTGCATAATTATATTTCTAAAAATAGAAATGACAAATTATGTGGGATAGACAAAATAGAAAATAAGGACAAATTATGTGGGACGGAGGAAGTATTTCACAATTGACAATAATATATATTACACAACTGTATATATGTGAGATAGAACAGATAGTACGTACTAATATTTTAGTACAGTACTGACAAATTTCTAATTAACATCTTAACCGAAGCAATATATAATGTTGTTACTTATCAAATCATATAATATCATATTCGTTAATATCTTAGGTTCGTCGTAAAAATCCCCGACGGCCTAGCCGTGGAGCAGGCGGCGCCGCTGCTATGCGCCGGCGTAACAGTGTACAGCCCGCTAAACCACTTCGGGCTGAAATCGAGCGGCCTAAGAGGCGCCATCTTGGGGCTAGGCGGGGTTGGCCACATGGGAGTCAAGATCGCCAAGGCAATGGGCCACCACGTGACCGTGATCAGCTCCTCCGATCGCAAGCGCGTGGAGGCCCTCGACCACCTCGGCGCCGACGAGTACCTCGTCAGCTCGGACGCCTCGAAAATGCAAGAATTCACCGACTCGCTCGACTACATAATCGACACGGTCCCGGTAGTCCACCCGCTGGAGCCGTACCTGTCGCTGCTGAAGGTCGACGGGAAGCTGATCCTGACGGGCGTGATCAACACCCCGTTGCAGTTCGTGTCACCCATGGTGATGCTCGGGCGGAAGAGCATTACGGGCAGCTTCATCGGGAGCATGAAGGAGACGGAAGAAATGCTCGAGTTTTGCCGCGAGAAGGGGCTGACGTCGACGATCGAGGTCGTGAAGATGGACTATGTCAACACGGCGCTGCACCGCCTGGAAAAGAATGACGTCCGCTACCGATTTGTTGTGGACGTCGCCGGCAGCAACCTCGACGGAAGGGTATAATAGTCATTTCATTTGTTGTTTGAATATAATCTATCTTATCTTTATCGTATCTTATCTTTTTATTTGAATGGATATTATCATTACGTGTTTTGTGTGCGGGCGGGTTTTTGTTGGTGGCTTTTGTTTCGACTTTGGGTGGATCAGTGTCTTAGTCTTCGAAGTCACTTTCTTACTTTTATGTAATAAACAAGCGTGAGTATTTCGACTCCTTAATAATGTTAAAATTTAATAGGTAATATCGATTAAATAATAAAATAGTTAATTAAACAAAGTCGATATTTGATATATCTTAAATATTTTGAACAATGTGTTTCTTTAGTTTTGAAGAACTTGCTTCATAAATATTCGGGCTCCACTAAAATTTGATTGAAATATATTTTCTATATTTTCAATCAAATTATAAAATAAAATATATTTGTATTTTTGTTAGAATCTATATTTTAAAATATAATTATTGGTATTGAAGAGATGACATATGTACTAAAATTAAAAATTCACTCAAAATTATCAATATTAATCTATGTCCTATTATCAACAACTTTACAGTCGGTATTTTAATTTTTTCACAAATATTACACATGTTTACACCTCCTATAGATGATATCATAAATAAAAGAGGTTGATTATCGGTATATACAATCTATACCCCTTACACTACAAACAATAATAACATGTCATATTTTGAAATTACTTTGATCCATTAACAAATATCTATTATTCAATACAAAAATTAACAAACAAGCATTTCTCATAGACACACAAACTTTGTTAAAATAACATTTATGCACACTCTACTAAGAAAGAAACAACATACAGACAAAATAATAATAATAACAATACTTAATAATATAGGGTGTGCAACTTTTCTTCTTCTTTTTTTAAAATAAAAACATAATTTAATAATTATAATTTAATAATATATATAATATATATATATCATTTTGTAAAGAATAAATTTTTTTATAATATAAATAAATAAATAATTATATATATATATGTAAGATATGATATAAATTTATAATTAAATCTTACTTTTATTATACATATTTATATTATTTTATTCATTATACATCAAATCAATACACATAAAAATTCCTCAAATCCCAACCAAATACAAACACAAAAGAAACAACAAAATTCAAACTCATCCCAAAATTCAAATAAAAACCAAATTCAAATTCAAATTCCCCCAAACCCCTCTAAAAAATAACACACTTAGAAACCAAATCAAAATTTCAATCCAATATATTCACGTCCACATAAAAAATTAACAATAATAAGACTCTCTTTCCGATCAAAGAATAACATATTTTAAAACCAAAGTTTCATCCATGTTTGATTTTAACCAAACTCTATTAACATTTATTCATTGGCCATTTTTTTAAATCCTAGAATTGTCATTGTGAAGGTAAGTTCGACGTCAAAAAAAAAAAAAAATAAATAATAAATCTCTCTTTTACTTGGAGGAAAAGGATTGATCGATTGACTATACACATATACAAAAGTGAGAATGATGAATGAGATGTAATTTTTTCCTGTTAGGATTCAAAAACACCACAAGGGTTTCGGCCTTTTCAACAATCGAAATCCATCATCCAACCAACAATTCTGAATTCACAAACACAAACACCCAATACCCAAGAGGCACAAAAAGCATATCATTACCCAAACACTAAATTTAAATTGCGACCTGCCAACCAGAGACTTCAATCTGTTGAAATATTTTAAATATTCAGTTTTAGATTTAGTAGATTTATATTTAGATTTGATCTTATTCATAGATTAGATTACTTAGATTTGAGTCTATCGAGTCTATTTTGTATTGTCTATATATAGGCTCTTTATTTTGACGATCAATAAGACAATCTCATTATTTTCCACCAAAATTTCTAATATGGTATCAGAGTTTATTTTCCTCATGCCGTAGATATAGCCTACTAACCCGTGTTTCTCTGGGTACATTCAACCTGGATTGTATTCGGAGGTCTAGTGATTTTGAGATCATGCCTTTGCAAGTTGTTTGCAAATCTGTCTCGTCTCCAATCTGTCATTTGTCCGTTGTTTGTATGTTGCTTGTGTGCAATCTGAAATCTTCGTTGCTTGTCTGTTGCCTGCGAGCAATCTGAAACGATCTTCCATATGTCTGTTGTCTGTCTGTTGTTGCGTGCGATCTGCCATTTGTCGTTGTCTGTCTGTTGCTGCGTGCGATTTGTCATTTGTCGTTGCCTGTCTGTTATCTGCGTGCGATCTGCCATCTTTTGTTGCTTATTTGTTGGCGAAAATCTGTCTCTAATTTGTCATCTGTCCGTTGTTTATCTGTTGTCTGCGTGAGATCTGATCTGTCCAATGTTTGCAATTTTTCTGTTTTTGGCTCCGGTGGTCATATGGTTTTCGACTCCGGTGGAGAGTCATCTCGTTTTCAAATCCGGTGGAGAGTCATCTCGTTTTCGGCTCCGGTGAAGCGTCATCTCATTTTTCGGCTCCAGTGGAGTCATCTCGTTTTTTGCTCCGGTGAAGTCATCTCATTTTCGGTTCCAGTGGAGCGTCATCTCATTTTTCGGCTCCGGTGGAGTCATCTCGTTTTCGGCTCAAGTGGAGTCATGTCGTTTTCGGCTCCGGTGGAGTCATGTCTTTTTAGGCTCCGGTGGAGTCATCTCGTTTTTTGCTCCGGTGGAATCATCGCGTTTTTTGCTCATGCGGAGAGTCATCTCGTTTTCAGCTCCGGTGGACTCATCTCGTTTTCGGCTCCGGTGGAGTCATGTCATTTTCGGCTCCAGTAGAGTCATGTTGTTTTCGGCCATCTCGTTTTCGATTCCGGTGAAGTCATGTTGTTTTCGGCGGCTCCGGCGGAGTCATGTCATTTTCGGCGGCTCCGGCGGAGTCATGTCATTTTCAGCGGCTCCGGTGGAGTCATCTCGTTTTTTGCTCTGGTGGAATCATGTCGTTTTAGGCTCCGGTGGAGTCATCTCATTTTCGGCTCCGGTGGAGAGTCATCTCGTTTTCGGCTTCGGTGGAGTCATGTCGTTTTCGGTTCCGGTGGGGAGTCATCTCGTTTTTTGCTTCGGTGGGTGGAAAGTCAACTACTAATTTTATTTATGTTTTCTTTTTGCGTTTATATTCAAATTTCTTATCAAACTCAAGTTGGTTTATGTTATACAACTTGAGTTTGAGGGGGGATGTTGAGATATTTTAGATATTCAGTTTTAGATTTAGTAGATTTATATCTAGATTTGAGTCTATCGAGTCTATTTTGTATTGTCTATATATAGGCTATTTATTTTGATGATCAATAAGACAATCTCATTATTTTTCCCCAAAATTTCTAACACAATCGAGTGAGACATTGGCTTGATTTAACGAAGGGTTGGGCGGGACTGGTTGTGCCCACGCTGAGGCTTGAATCGACGTAGGGGCGGGAGACGGAATTGACGTAGGGCTGGATTTTCGATGGAGGATTATGAGTGATTTGGGAGTAAGCCACTGAAAACGTGGTAAGATAAAATACAAAATTGGGAACTATCCATGCAGCAGCTAAAGTTGAATGCAAACTGGTCCGCAAACTTTATTTGGAAAGTTCAATTACAAAACAATCGGCGTTGTGCTCAATTGAATGTGTTAGAAGCCTTCCTCTTTGAATCATTACTCTCTGGCTTAACAAAAAGTTTAGGACGATCACAAATAATCAACATATCATCCAAGTTATTATGTATATGGAGATCTTTCCAATAAGGAAGATCCCGTAAAATAGATTGTTTTGTCCAGTTATGGTGCTTCCCAAAATCTACATGCTCAGGATAGTTTGGGTTGACAACTACTGAATGCATTGTAGAAACTTATTCATGTAGTGTATAGCCATCGAGCCTTTTACGAGCTACATTATCCTCAGTTTTTTCCTTAATGAAACTTCATCTATCTCGAGAGAAAAATGATTTTACAATAAGAAACGACAGTGACAATCAAAATAACATACTCTTCTCTCATAGGTTAAAGCGAAAGACTGAATTGTCATCCATGCATACCGGACAACCTAATTCCCTACGTACTCCATCCTAAAATCATTTTATAAAAAGTTAGATCACCTACCGTCCATAAGAGTGCAGCACGCATCCAAAACTGATGTTTAATATATGCATCGTAGACAACATATCCATCTGTCCACATATGCAACAACTCTTCCACCAATGGTTGTAAGTATATGCTAGTCAACTTCTTTAGATTACGTGGTCCCGAAATAATGGTAGATAAGAACATATACTCATTTCGCAAACATGTTCCTTGTGGCAAATTATATGGGGTAGGAATGACCGACAAACATGAATAATTTTCCGTATATGCTTTGTAAAGCGCAAAATCGAGATACGTACGATCTAAATATTTCCACGCCTCTGCATCAGATGGATAGCTCATCGACCTAACTTTGCTTTGGTGATAATAGTGCCACATCATTACATTTTCCGTATCAACAAACTCATACAAATTTTTTAATCTTTCTTTTAGTGAAAGATATGTCATATGTGATGCAATAATATTCTTCTGCCAGCCACCATGCTTCCAACGTGACACACCACAAAACTTGTACTCTTCTAAACCCGCATTATCTCTCCAAAATAGCATACATCCCAGTAGGCAACAATCTATTTTAATGGTGGGTAACTTTATATTTTTACTGTTAACGCTTTTTATCCATATAAATCTGCAAGCATTTGATGACCCTCAAAAAACATTGAATGTGTATACTTCTTCAAGAATTAGTGGAATTCGTAGGATTTTGCCATGAAAAATCTATATTTGATAGTTTATGATGAAATCTCTCCTGACCAGATCAACCTTTGCTGCATTTGGCAATTTATATTTACTATTTTTACATTGTTGTATGAACACAATATATATGTATCATCTTTCATCCACTTTTTCTGTTGTGAAATTCATTCAACGAATCGTAAAACTTCTGCTTCAAATTTTGAACGGAACTATTTGAATCAAATCTTTTATATATCCAATCTCAATGATTTCTAAATACATAATGAAATTTTTAACTATGTATATTGTAAAACATATAAAGGAAAATGAAGAACTCAAAAAAAGTGAAATTTTTTAATGAACGATTGAAATAGCAAATCATTTCAATTCATTCAATGAACTGAAAACACTTTATGCAAACATCTTAAATAATATTATTGAAAACTATTAACTAAATTAAAAATTGTGAGATTGATATTGAAAATTATTTTTATCAATTTTATTTATCAAATATTTTCTCATAATATTTTCTTTTACTTGTTTTAAATGTATTAATTCGTTTATAATAAAAAATTAATCAAAAATTTTGTTGATTATTATTAGAAAGACAATAATTAGAATGATATATAAATTGAGTTTCTTTTCTCTGAAAATATACTATTATTAACAACAAATTGTTTATGTATAAAATTTATTGAACATATTTATGTGGAAAAATTGTAGCATCATCTTCGATTTCTTTGCAAACTCAACTTGTTTATACAACACCACTTGAATTTGAGATAATGTTAAAATATTTTAATTATTTAGTTTAAAATTATATTCAAATTTTTATATTTGATTTTAACATTAGACTAGGTTGTTCCGTCGCGCTCTATATATATATATATATATATATATTGCTTCTATTTTAATTATAAATAGAAATGCAATTTTTAAATAATCTATAAAAAAAAAAAATTCACACATTTCTGAGCTAATAAAATCAATAATTGAGATAAGAGTAAATTTGATGGTAGGTAAGGTAAGTAAAGGATTGGATAAAAAGTTGGTGCGGTGCGGTGCGGTGTGGGATGATAGCAACCAAATATACGAATGAATAAATACATTATACATACTAGTATTTTATAATATAGTATATCTTTCGTCAGAGGCGGATCTAAAAAAACAATTTAATGGTGACACAATAAATATATATTAAAATAATAATATTAATATTTATAAAAATAGATTATTATTAATGATATTGAAAATAATATTATAATACTATTATATATATTTTTAAAATATAAATCGATTATTTTAATTAAATTGAATTTTAATTATTTAAATATTTATGATAGTTTAAATTTTAAATAATCCACTAAAATATTTTTGAATAACAATGACATTTAAATTTTAAGTGGAGACAGCATAATTATTTAATTATAAAAAAAAAATAGTGATAAAATCAATGTGGCAAGTGCTCTTCTACTTGAATCCCCCGTGTCTTTGGTTTGACTTAGGTTGCACGAAATGAAAGGTTACATGTATTATATATAAATTAGATGAAGACATGTAAATTAGTTGTCCCATTATCAGTGGAGCGGAGTGGATTGGATGATTACACATCACCACCCACCCACCCACCTAATCCAATCCAATCAATTTTGGTCGTGCTTTGTCGTAATAATCTAATATAATATATATATATATATATATATATTTACCCTTGAATTTTACCCTTGATTTTGTGTTGCTACGTGTCAACACATACTTTTTTTATTTTTTCTAATTTTCTTTGTGGAGCCCACTATTTAAATAATAAAGTTAAAAAAGAAAAAAAAAAAAAGAAAGGGCGGATGGGTGGACTGTAAAATAATAATAATAATATACTAGTATTATTTACTTTACTATTTTAATAATAAAAAACTTTAATCTAATAACAACTATGTGTAAAAATGTGATATGTTTATTTTTTGTTTTTGTAGATATATTTGGATTTTTTATATTATATTATCTAAACATACAAACTAACAAATAAGGATAATAAAATTATGGGTGTATAATTTTGTATTATAAATAAATTAAGTATAAATTAAAGGAATAAAAATACGGTATTATATCCCAAATAAAAAAACTATTTTATAATTTAATTATATTAAAATGATAGTGATATGTTAATGAAATTAAACTTTAGCTCTTTTAAAATATCTTAAATTTTTTACAAACATAATTTTCAACTAAATTATAATAATAAAAACTTGTTTATAAAAATATAAATAAACACAACTATATTATATATAAATATCATTTTTACAATATCAATATTTAAAATTAATCGTATAAAATATTTTAATTTATTTAAATAATTCTCATATTAAAATATTATATATTTAATAACAACAATTAATTTTCAAGATTCAATAAAATTTATATGAATAAGAATAATACATGACACCCAGGCAGGGGCATGCAGAAGATACGTCATCAATTTGCAGGGGCATGCAGAAGATACGTCATCAATTTGCAAAGCCAGTTGGACAATATTTATTTACTCCAATAATGTAGTAGTAAAATAGTAGACAAACATACACACCTTCACCTTCCTGACAGAGTCATATTTCCTCATCTTCAAAAGGATCTCGTTCTGGATAGTCACCCACCTGATATTTGTCAACCAGTAACCCAATTTGTCAATCAATGGCATAATGATTTCCATACAACAGTTCAAAGGACAAAAAATGACTCAAGGAATTCTTGGTGTCAACTTATTCAAGACTTAAAACTCAATGATTCAATCCATGTGAGAGCAAAAAAGAAAATTAGATGAACTTACTAATTAATTTCGATGAAGTATTTTGAATAAGTTCAAGCTCATCATTAGCTGATAAGCAACTTCGTCGTTAACTCATATCAAACTAATTCCGACAAAATGGACAATTGGGTTTCGGAAGACAAACCTTTACTTTATCAGGTCTCACCATTCCACCACATTGAGGAGGACAGCTGAAATACCGGTGTCCTTTTATCCTGAAAAAACAAATGGATCGGTAAATAAATGCAGAAAGCTCAACTGCTTTAAACTTACCACTATCAGCTGGTCGTCATCCAACTCAATCAAATTCAAGCACAACAATGCTACACTCAGCGATCATAGCAGTTGACATTTAAACCAAAAGTGAATTGGATAGATGAGGTTTGACCATAAATATGTCCAGGACATAATGAAGAAAGTTCATTCAGCTATAAACAATTTCAGATGCTATTGACATTATCTAAGGTCATCAAAAGACAGCATCTGATAGCAGAATAATAATAGACCGACTAAAATAGACAAATAGAACACATAATGGCATCACAGCATTTTTTAGTTGTGGCAGTTAAATGGTCCGAAATATTATAGAATGTGTCATGGAGTTGAGAATCGCATACATTCCATCGTGTTTTCCCACAGGTTCATCGTATTGAACTCCAACCCAAAAGCCAGGACGAAGAGTTTCTCCCTGACCCACGAATTTGACAACCCCTCTTTTCTCCCCTGGTTCAACTTGGCATCTATCTCCAACCTTCAGTTGAACAAAAAACACAGAGCAAAATAAAACAGCATTAGCAATGAAATAAAAATAAATAAATAAATAAGAAGGAAGCCAGTAAGCTTGCTTCTTGAACCCCAAAAGAAAATAATGATGCTAACAATCTTTCCAAAAGAAAAAATAAGAGAAAACTGTTTGTGTAAACCAACCTTTATGTTTGCACAAAGATTTTCCATGTAATTGTCAGGAACTTGCTCCTAGGGATAGCAAATTCAAAATTTAGCAATAACTGGAATAAAATTAAATAAAGCAGAAACATTTAGGAAGAATTTCCAAACAGAAAGGTAATTTGTAAAATAAATCATATATTCATATGATATAAAAAGTACAAAAGAGGAAGGTATAATTTTCTTCTTGAAGAGGACAAAAGTAATTATTGTCCAACTAAAAGAAATTAACATGTTCAAAAACTTCGGAAAAAAGCAGAACATCACAAGGTATGCATTTAGAGAATAGTAAAATGCATACTTTCTGATGTTGAAGTCCCATTTCTTCCTTGAACTTTCGGAAAGTGCCTGAAACACACAATGATCCAATTATTTCAGACCTAACTTAATAGGAAAGGCAATGCAATGAAGATGACTGACTACTCTAATACACATATTAATGAGTGATACTGAAGAAGAAAAAATCATGCTATAACTAAGGTCAAGGTAAACTGATTTGGAACAGAGTTTCAGAATATAGAGCAAACCAACAAACTTGACCAATCATAAAGGCCAGTTATACAAGACACATCAAATTCTTTTCAACATCCGCTATCGATAAAATTTATAGAAGAATTTGGCCATTTGGCTTCAAGCTAGTATTATCTTAAGCAAAGAACATTATTTCATATCAAATTAAGTATAGAAAAATGCCATTACTATGGGGAATCATTTACTGAGTTTTTTATTTTCTATTTTGTGGAAGTGAATAGTAGTTAGATGAAATATTTTAAATTAAAGATGGGTGTTAGATGTAATGCCTTTGATGGGAAATTAGAATATTAAATAGTTAAAAACAAGTTTTATTTTAAATAAAACAAAACACATTCCCATGTTATTGGAATTATGGGAAAAATGCAGCTCTGAGCCACAAAGATTTAACATACCATCCATTTTACTATATGCCTCATCCGAAATCTTGTATTTCTCCACCAGAGAAGTATCATCCAACCAACCACCAGATGTTACCGAAGATGGATCGAGATCAATAACATGCAGCCGAAAACTGGCATGATGAAACAATTATCACAAGCAAATACGTTAACAAACAGACTTGGTGGATGTGTAAAAGTTTCAAAAAATATTAAATATAATATTCACACATTCGTTCAAAAACTTGGAAACAGAAAAACCAGAGTGATGCCTCCTCCGAATATGAAAATGATCTTTTCTTATTCTGTTTGCTAAGGGATTGTTGAAGGCAAACCCTAACCTACAGGTTTGAGAGGGTTCTTTTGTCTCCGGAAAATGCGATTGAAAATATTTTAGGATGAAAGGGCCTGTGGAAGAAGCAAAGTGGCAAGATTGATATCCAGTCGGTAAGGTGTCCTCTATGACACCTGATGTAGCTGCATCAGATTATATTGCAGTGCAACCAAAGTCTGAAAATAATAGTTTAGAGGCAAAGGTTGATTGCTTCTCTTGTGCAAGTAGAACCGATGCCAATCGGAAATCTAATCCCAATGTAATATTAGTGGAGAAAGGCCTGTAGTGCAACCTAGTAGCTTGCAAGCTGAATTGTATAAACAAAAGTCTAGATCGGTGGACACTCTCCTTTCAAAAAGCATCAATACTGCTGATTCAATTAAAGCTTAAAATACTTTGTTGCAAAGTGTTACAAAGTGAAAAGTCAGAGGCAGTGGCAGCCAGCAAAACAGCAACCATGAATGGCTTTTCCGGTGGCTGAGGGGAAGCAATCTGGTCCCGATTTAGCCAGAAAAACAGCTGAAGCAGAGCTGGAAAAGAAATTGTCACAACACCCATAAACTATCAACCAACGGAAAAGGGTGGCATGCTAGCAGTGGCACTAACAGTAGCAGCGTAGTGATTTAAAACCCTAACAATGGAGGCTCTCATAACATGTAATGTCTGTAGTACATTCTCCACTTACTGAATTGTTACCAGTCTCCTGTTTAAAGGGGTGACTAGCACTAATGCAATAAGAAAAGTAAATCCTACCATAAACGTATATGAAAAATATATCCTGTCACAAACATGCATGGAAATGATTAAATATTTGAATTAAAATAAACAAATAACCGATGGATTATTCTAAGCGGGCCTAATCTAACATACAGTGATAGCAAAGCAGCACTGGGTATCTTAGTAAAACAAAGCACATTGAGATTGACCAGATTGGATATGTAAATTGATCTATCCTACCATAAACTTAGCTGATGTTTTCACTAAAGGGATTGAATAAAATCACTTTTGAAGACTTAATCGTCAAGCTTGGCTTGCTGGACATTATGTACGTGATTGACTATGTAATTTAGTCATAACATCATTTAATTAAATAATAGGTGAAAAATCAGTGACCTATAGAATCTTCGAGGAATGCATAAAGATTAATTACTATTATACATTTATACTTGTATCTTATTCGAAAAAAATTAAATATATATATTTCACAAATAATATGTTTGTTCACATCCTAAAATGTTCAACATAATCATCATGCTCTTAGTAGCTCCGCATGATCTATAAACAGTCAAACATAGTCTCAAATATAAGTAACACACAAGCACCCTAAGCACAAAAAGTTTATTTTAAAATACTCAATTTCCATCAAAAAAGTTGTAATTATCAAAATGTTTGAAATAGCAAAGAGATAAGCCAAAAGCTAACCCATCTTGTGGTGAATAGAAACCAAGGAGTCTCGTACTATCGGCTAGATCTGAAACTTTAGCACCTATATCATCATAAAGCTCAAGTCTCATTGAATCAACAGAGGTGCCACATTTCCTCCACAGTTTCTCTTTTACTGCTTCTATTGTTGTCTGAAAACAGTGATGGACAAATGTTGCATTAAATCCATATATAGAAAGCCAAACATCTAAGAAATGTGATGTTGTAGAACAATCAACAGACTTGACTTTAGTCATGGTGTATCATATTTAAGCATATTTCAACTTTTCATTGAGTATTTTGTGCAACATCCGGTCTTTATAGTTGACACATGGTTAGCATCTATACTGAGCAGGCACGAAGTTCTAGCCCCCAGTATAACCCCTAGGTAAACAATAAAATTGGAACTAAGTTACTAAACTCCCTCCATATATTCATGCAAAGCTTATTTCATTTGAATTAATTGCAAGGTGCAGAAAATAAGATATATTAGGCCAGTAGTCAAGATTTCTGAAAGATTAATTCAAGAGAAGCATCAAGACTAGTTGTACCGACAATTATAGAAAAGGAGGTGAGCTTGTAATTAAGGTTGATTATGTATGACTTCAATTTATTTGTTGCATTGATATTGATCTTTCTAGTGAACTATTGAGATAAAAGATACAGGTAGGGTGCAATGCAGAAGAACTGTCAAATACCATTTTCTGATTTCATTACATCAATAACATCTAATAAACCAGCACAAATGTGTTGGATCATAAAATACACATTTTGTTCAGCTATTACATTGTGCACAGAAGATGTACATACCTGTATCTGAATTGGAAATGGTATAGCCCACCATAAAAAAAAAAAAAAAATCAATAAATAGACAACCATAATGCTTGTAAGTAAACAAAGATGATTGAATTATGTTCTATTAGTGAGTCCAAGGTCCTATTTATAAATGGCATTGCAAACCAGAAATATCTAACAAAGCTGATGATTGTTATCCTGGGAAACATGCTTGTAAGAGAACATAAGAATGTCCATATCAGCCTAGGAAAATAAATGGTGATTGCACCTACTTGTAGAGAAAACCGAATATCAGCAGAAAAGGTCTTAATGTTTGAATGAGTGACGCGCAAAAGAACGGATTCATCGCCTTGAATATGTAGATTACTAGCCATCTCCTTATGTCTTGCTCAAGCTACAAAAGGAACAAATTCTTACTAAGTTCCACAAATCTCGCGCAAAAAATGTTACAAAAATGGAACAATACTGATGTTTGATTCAAAATCGCCTATAATCACAGATAGGAACGGCAGTCACAATGTTCGAAGTCCCTAAAAAGTGGAGTACCAATGATTGTGCAATGAGCTTATCAGGGTTAGGCACGGCGATACCATATTGAAAGCCGAATCCAGTGCTCAAATGTCTCATGCAAGAATCGACTGAACTCAACAATATTTCGCACACTCAGAACGATAGAATTGAAAAGAAAGAAACAAACATACCTGCAGAAAGAAATGCTGAAGTGGATCTGCAAGTGAAGAAGACGACTGCACCCACCAATAATAACTCACGAAGGCAGACGGCGACAGATCAGAGAGAAGCAACACTTCCGGTCCCAAACCCGATTTGTGTCACTGCCACTCGACACTCGTGCAACGGAGAGCGATGAAGCCTAGACCGACAGGGAAGACGAAGGTGAAGACGGCGGTCGCGAGTAAAGGACAGCACCTGGAGATCGATAGGGTGACTTTCTAGTTCATACCATAAAACATGGGTATATTAAGACTACAATTTGTAAAGTAATTAAAAATTATATTAGTAAAAATAATTATAAATTAAAATTAAAATAATTAAATAATTTAAATTTAAATTAAAATATAATTAAAATATATAATTATATTTTTTTAAAAAATAAATTATAATAAAAAAATATATTAAAAATAATTATAATAATATAAACAAATTATAAATTAAAATAATTAAATAGTTTAATTATAATGAAAAAATTATTTAGACACTGCGATTTAGGATTTAAAAAGAATATAATTAGTAAATAATTAATAATTAATTAATTAAAATAATTATCTTATTATAAAAATAATTATATATTAAAATTAAAATAATTAATTAGTCAATAATAAAAATTAAAAAATATATAAATTAAAAATTTTAAAATAAAATTAAAATGTATAATTAGGACGAACGAAAAATGAGAAATGGATATGATAAATGGAACGGAGAAAGTATAAATTATAAAATTTAAAATATAATTAAAATATACTTCATCTGTCTCAAAAGGAGTGTTTTATTAAGAATTGGCACGAGATAAAAGTGTGTATAAAGTAGAAATAAATGACTAAAATGCCTTGCTTTTTGAATGATTTTAAATAGTATGTTAAAGTAATAATTAGGGGTAGTATGGAAAAGTAGGAATAATTTTGTTATAAAGTGGAGACTACAGCTACTAAATAAGGAAACAAGACAATTGTTTTGGGACGGACGAAAATGAAAAAACAAGATAAATTTTTCGGAACAGAGGGAGTATTATATTTTGAAAGGAAAAAAAAAAAGTGACGAATGAAATATAAAAAGGGGACATTTATGTGAGATGAAAATAGTATTATCATATAATTTTTACATAATAAATATATATCTAAATAAAATCAAAATTGATATCAAAATTATTTATTTTTAATTAAAATAAGATTTAAAAAAAAACTATAAAATAGAAAAAAATAATAAAAATGAATATATATATATATTGATTGGTTCAAACGTAATTAAAAATTAGTATGATGTTTAAATAAATATATATATTATATCTTATAAACACGAGATTATACTGCCACTTGAAAAGTCTATCCTGCCCCTCATTTCGAAAATGACAATGTAACCCTTAACCTACCTTTGTACTGGCTTGAAAACACATTTTGGAATCGTCGTCAGCAACCGCTGTCAACCGCCCAAGACGAAACGTTTTGAAACGTCGTTTGGTCGGTTACATCAACCGCCTCGCCAAACGCCTCCACTAGTTTCATAACTCAAATAGCCTAACCGACCAATCCAGAGACCAATCGCTAGACCAAAAGACTCCTTGGCCGTATCCACCAACCGACCTGTCTATCCGCCTGCGGACCAGTTGACTTGCCTATCCGACCGCAGACCAGCCGACCTACTTTATCCGACCGCAGACCATCAGACTTGTCTGTCCGACCTGCTGGCCATCAGACCTGTCTGTCCGATCGCTAGCCATCCGACCGAGGACCAACCGACCAGACAAACCGACCGAGGACGGGTCGCCTATCCGACCGCTAACCAACCCACCTGACCATCCGACCGAGGATCAACCGATCAGACCAACTGACCGAGGACCAACCGACCTGAGCGCAATTTTTTTTTCCTTTTCCACCCGACTTCGTGTTTAACTTCCTTTAAGATCCTGCTATCCTTATTATTATTATTATTATTATTTTTTGTGCGTAACAATTATCAAAGTTGAAATATCCTTGCTATTTTTGACATTTCGAAACTCGTAAAGAAATGCAAGGTTACCCTTCTTATCTCAAACATTTCATCTACATTCTCCTATATATTATTTTTTATTGTAATTTTGGGTGTGTTTTCTTTATAATTGGTTTTGTGTTTTTCACATAACTTATCAAAATTGAACACTAATATCTCTTTCCGAATTTCCAAAAATCAAATTCTTCAATATTTCTTGTAATTCATTGTTTTGTTATTGATATTGTTGATGTATTTCTTCAACAAACAAAATGTAAATATATATATATATATAATTGAATGCAATATACTTCCATCTCTCGTAGCAACTATAAATTAATTATAAATGAATATATGGAGTTTGAATAAATAAAAATGGAACAAAGAAATTGTTATGTTTTGAGCAGATTGACTGAGTATGTATGTGACAAAAATATTTGCTATGTTTTGAACAAATTGAGGGAGTGTAAGAGATTTTTATATTTTTGTCATTCGATTTTATGTATAAATTAATAACTTAATTTTATATATAATGGTATATTTGTAATTTAAGTAAAAATTAAATATATTTTGGTATTAGTGTATAATTATTTTTATTAAAATAGAAAATTAATAATTTTAATTGGGACTGACAAAATGATAGAAATAGTAATTTGAATTGAAACCGATGGAATACTATTTTTTTTTTTACAAAATATCATATCAAAATATTATTCAAACAAATATTAAAATCAATATTTCATTTCAAATCAATTTCAAACTACCATCAAACAAATTAAATAATAAATTATTAAAAATGCAATTAAGCAAACCATATATTTTTAGCACATTTTTAATTTATCAAATTAGTTGACAACTTTTTTTTTTTTCATAATATTATTTTTTTCTGAAAAATCTTTTATAATAACATAGATAAATAAAAATATCAGTTATTATTTTCATGGTATTTTATTATTAGCAAGGAATCATTGTTATTAAAATATGAAAGATATATATTAAATAAATTGGATGAAAAAAAATACATATAATTGAAACGAATTGAATATTAAATATATTTATCAATTATTATTGTATGTTTTTATCAATTTAATAATATTTATAATTACTATTTTTCTAATAATAATAACTATTTTATAACTATGCCGATTATTTTTCAAAATATATACTCCATTCCTTCTAAAACTATATATTATAATGACAGTTGGTATAAAATACGAGTAGAAATTTTTTTTTGTCTTTATGAATGTATTAGTATAAAAAAGCAGTAATAATTGTGTAATAAAAATGAAAAAATATGACTAATTTTACGATGATATGATCTGGAAATGAGATTATTGTATTAGAGCGGATGAAGTATTAGGATAATGTAAATACCAACAAAAATAATTATATATATTTTTTATTTTGAGTAACAAAAATATTATTTACTGTGTATTAGTATTATAATGAATTATAGTAAAAAAACAAAAATACCCATATTATGTAATATAAAAATAATGATAGTATAATATAAATTAAAAAGATATTTTATTATATCATATAGGTAATACTTGTAATCTTATTTTGAGAAAAAAAGAAATGGAAAACACATAAAATAAAAAATTTTAAACATTAAATTAAATTAAATGTTTATTTTTTATTTTTTATTTTAAAATAAATATTAATTTTACGTTTAATATCTTAAACCCTTAAGCCACTAGGTCATTGCTCTAGACAGCCGCCGCCTGCACACATCTTCCTCTTTCGTCTTCTTTCTAGCACCGAGACCACAGAACCAGCTCCAGCCCAACCCTGCCTCCATATCAATAGACGGTGGAATTTCAGAATTGTAGCAGCGGCGAGATTTCGCCAAATTTGTCTTCTCGCTCTAGATTAGTTTTGTTTCTCCTCTTCCCCTTCCCTCTCTCTAGCCGAGTCGAACTCCCAGTTTAAGGGTTTCGGATTTTGAATTTTGACCAGATACATTTATGAGAAGCGAGATGCGTAGTCTTTTCTGGAGGAGGCTATGTACATTTACAAGTGCGTTGACGTAATCTACTGCGTGATTTTTGTTGGTTTTTCCGGTGGTGGAATACAATCTCAATGTACGGCAGTTTCCAATAAGTTGTTTGATTCTTGATCCCCAAATCAATTCCCCTAAATTGTCCGATTTGATTTCGAGAATTCAAACCGTAGAATTAAGGTATTCACAATAGATTTGTGAATAATGTCGTCTTCGTCGGGAAGATCGAGGTCCGTCGCCGAAGGGGAATTGCAGTTAGTTCCTGCGGCGGAAAGGACCCCTGCAGCTCTACCGCCTCGTCCGCCGGCATCCACTGCTCTGGTAGAATACACGCCGCCCGCCGCCAACCCCGAGGACGAAGACCTCGAAGTCAAGCTCAGACGGATTAACGAGTGCGTCCCTGTTCGTGTCAGCAACACCTCCGGCAGTTCCGCCGGCTCGGGCTCCGGCGATTTCCATCAGGTATTGAGAAATGCCTCTCTTGTTTCCAAAAAGCATTTATCGAGATACTTTCTGAAATTTACGTTTCCTTCTTTGCTGTGAATGATGAGAATTTTTTGCCTTGTTATTCTATTTAGGCTATTTGTGCAGCAATTTTGGATAGCTTCAAATTAATCTGAATGTTAGACACTTGACTGAAAATTAATAATTCTTTGAAGTTTGTGATATATGAAATGTGACACAAGTGTTCTCGGCAGAATGTTGAAATGGTTTAGTTGAAAGCATTCGACATATGGCTTCCTCCATGCTTTGTGCTTTAGTTTATATTCCTTAAAGTTAATACATTCTAGTAGGTCGACGAAATTGTGTTTGATCACTATCCTATTCGTTTGGTTCGCCTTTCAAATTATTTTTACCAATTTAGTGTCTCTTATAATCTAACCACACTTTTTGATTTATTGGGACACTCCCTGTTGTCTGCACTTCATGGTTTTGTTTTTTTACGTCACACGAAGATCAAATCTTCATGTTTTGTTTTATTCTTAGTGCTTGTGTATCTAAATGATTAGAGCTCAAGTTTGATGAGCATTCTATATAAAAGCTCAATTTTGAATTCCATATTAGTTGAGTTTGCACCTGAGCTACGCAGGTCGAAATAAATATTTTTATTCTTTTAAAAAGAGTAAATTTTATATATATATGTATACCAAAGGAATGCATTGAGTCCCTATATTTGTGCACAAAAGGGGTTTTTGTGTATTCTTTACTAGCATGAAGTTGAATTATACAGTGAAATTCACAATAGTAATTTATACATTTATAATTAAATAATATACCACATTTGATATATGGTGTGCACCTAAATAAATAAATTAGTGCCCTTAATATATAATCAAAATATTAAGAATATATTTATAACTTTTCTTTCTCACTCTCTCTATATATATCTCACTTACGAGTCATCGTGCTTAGTATCACTTAATTCAAGTGTCTCACCTCTTGCTTGAAAACTCGGTGAAATGTATCAAGGAATTTATTTATATATATATATAAAACATATCTTGGTTTTTTTATATGATGTTGATGTCAACAGTATCGGCAAATGAGACGTAAAGAACAAGATCGACTTGCAAGGATGGATGCGGATTTCCAGAAAAGAAAGGAGCTGGCTGAGTTTGCTCAGCGTAGGGAAGAAAGGTTGAAGGCTGCTGAGGAGCGTACAGCCAAGAAGCGTCTGAAACGACAGAAGAAGAAACAGAGGAAAAAGGAAAAAAGGAGTAAACCAGACAATGCCGGAGCTGAGCATAACAAAGAACAACAACAATCTTCCGACGACGATGATGAATCTGACAATTAGAGATAAGGTGTGTTTTTATTTTTGTTTCTTTGGTAACTTTGTCCGCCTAAAATATATACAACTAGAGATAGTTGAGACAAAGCTTGTGCGCAAATCTCTTTCTTGCATATTGGATTGTGGATTGTAAGGAGCAAGCCGTGCCGTTCGGAACTTGCTGAATAGTGTATTAGCCTTGGAACGTTCTCCGTAGTTTGATAGGATAAATAATTTAATTAAGATTAAAAAAATTATAAAATTTAAAATTTAAAATGTGATTAAAGTGGATAATTATATTTTCGAAAAAAAAAAATGAAAGGATAGTATATACAAATGATGTAGGACAAACGGAGTAATATTCTTATTATAAAATTATGCTAGGTAAGAAAGTAAGTGTGATATAAGTGAAGATATTTTGTAGTAGCAAAATTATTTTTTTTTATGGTAAAGAAAGGATGATAGTATTTCGAATAGACAGTTTTTTTTTTTTTTTATTATTATTATAAATAGAATGTGTACAAATTTAGTGGACAATAAAACATAATACTTACATAAATTTGGTGAACCGAGAGATTATATATATGATATATTATTGTGTGATTTTGTATATAATGACCAAATTGTCCATAGATTAAATATATATTGTGTATATATTGTTATGGCGTCGAGCATCGGAACTAGGGTTTTCTTTTTTTTTTTTCGCTGTTGATCAGCCGTCGCCGGTCGACACCGCCGCCATCATTGTGTTCGCCTTGTCAAAACTGGCCGATGTTAGGAAGTCCCGTGGCCATCTGCGGCGCGTGAGGAACATGTGCCACTAGTCTCGCCGACCGCGTCGGAGCTTAGCCGCACGAGGTGGCGCGTCCAGCGTCCTCCGGAGGTTGTTTTCCGGCATCCAGTGTCTGTCTTCCGGCGCCACCTTTTGGCAAGGAATGCACATGCGTAGACTCTCTATCATCATATTGGATTTGTCAAGTTTAATTATGTTCTTACTCAAATTTTATCTAACAAAATTTAAATATAGTTAAGGGATAAATATATTTTGTTAGTTTTGTACGATACACTCATTATTGCTCTTTTTAATAAAGTTTTTGGATAAAATTAATCTTAAATATAATCCTAAGTCGCTAGAAAGATCACTAAAAAAAAGTACCGAATTATTATCATATATGCTACGTGACACTCCAAAGTTGACATGAATTAATAACAATTTCTAATATGAAATGTTGATATGACACCTAGTAGCCGACATAAACTAATGACATAATAATTTTTGACATTAAATTTTAAAGTAAATTTAATTTTTGATAAATATACAAATACGCACATTTAAAAAAACTATATAAAATTAAATCACTACATGAAAACTAAAAGTTATTACACAATGGTTCATATTAGTTACACATCGATAATAGATTTCTTTTTTAGAGTAAAGGTGGAGAAAGGAAAGACCATCGAGGCGACATCGATGCCTTATCGATTTTGTGCCATCTATCCCTAGGCCACCGTATTGGCTTTTTTGGAATGGGAGAAGAATTGGGGTCGAAGTTGGGGGAGATGACCGGGAATCGAAGGCACTATTTCTGCCCTTAGCAACTATGACTTAGATATATAAAAGTATTGTTACATATAATTTATTTAAAATTATAAAATCATAATAAACCATTATATATACACTAAAATTTAGGAATGACAGTGGGTTCGGATAGACTCGAGATTCGACATGGATCCAACTCTTTTATTTGAAATCGAATCTAATTATTCGAATATATATATATATATATTTTCCGAATATTGTGTTTAGGGGTCGGGGTATGTATGTACCCTTATCGAATTTGGATTGGATCTCAAATTCAGAGGCGTACCCGACCCGACCCGATTAATATAAATAAAATATCTTATATATATATACAAATAATTTCTAATAATATAAATTATGTTAAAAATATATTTTAGTTTAGTTAATTTATTATTATACCCTCTCCCCCTTAACAAACTATCTAATTTTTTTTCATTTTGATCACTTACGTAACAAAATATTCATTTTCTTAGTAACCGTATTATTTATTTAACATTATAAATATCTTTACAACTTATAACATATTACACAAATGTCATTACCTTTTATTATATGATACTAATAAGGTGAATTTAGTCATTTCTATTTTATTCATACTATATTATAATATAATACTAATATTTTTAAAATTTCGTGTAAAAAACAAACAGATACATAAATATGAGATGGAGGGAGCATTATAATATTTTAAAATAAAATACATAAATTCTAATACATGTCGAGTCTGGATTGGATTCAGCTCTAATTCTAAGTTAGATTTTAAAAATTTTAAAAACATTTTGCGGGTCTGTTGGATCCATCGGGTCTTGTCGGATATTGTTCGGATAAGGTATGATCAAATTCAATTCAGATCTCAAAATTCAACAATGTATATTCGGAATGGATCTGAAGTCCGATTGACCCGACCCATTGCCATCAGTAAAATTTACGGGAATGTTTTTTTTTTTTTGGATTTTTATAAAGTTATTATTATTATTGTTTTAAAAATACCAAATTAAATAATAATTTTTTATTTTTATATTATACTATTAAAAATTAATTTTACATTTAAAATATTTTATATTACATCAAACATTTATTCAAAATCAAATATGTACTATTAAAAAAATCTGAACCAAAAAATCAAATAGACATGTGTGTTTGCTTGGGGAATTTGTGAGGATTTACACTGTACTTCAAAATTTTTCCTCCAAAAAAAAATCAAATCAAATACATATTTTTTATTTTTTAAAATTATATTTAAAATCAATTTTACATTCAAAACATGCATCAACAACTATTTATATCACATCATATAATTATACCAATTTAAGATTCTTACAGGGCCGTCCCTGAGCCTGGGCGATCGCCTAGGGCCCAATTTAAATTGGAGCCCATTATTTATTTATGTTATGTATAAAGTATTTATATATAAAAGTTATTTGACATTTGTGTATTAGTACAAGAGTATGATTTAGCGGTTAAGTTTGATTTATATTATTTTTGAGGTTTTGAGTTCAAACTCAAGTGCCTTCAAAATTTAAAAATATTTTTTTATGTATTAACATGAATTAGACAAAGTTAATATTAATAGTATTATTGATATTTTGCATATAAAAATATTAGGAAATTTATTTTATTTAATTATTTATATTTTATTATAGATAAAAAAATATATTATTTATACATATTTATGGACCCCTAATTTTTGTTTTAAAATTGTTGATATTAATACTATTATTGATATTTTATCTAAAAATTCTAAAAAATATTATTTTATTTAATAATTTAAATTCTATTATAGGTAAAAAAAATCGAGTAGATCATTTATATATATTTAGGAATTTTTTATTTTTGTTTTAATTATTTTTTTTTGCACTAAAAAGATAATAAATATTAGTCAAAATTATTGTTATTATTATTAGGCAAAATTATCAATAACTCATTTATAATTTTGAAACTCAGTGTAATTATTTTAAAAATAGCATGAACCCCTTAAATGTTCATTAAATTCATTTTTATATTTTTTTGGTGATGGGAAAATAACTTTTCATCTATATTTTTTTTATAGCAAGTGTTTCATATAGCGTTTGTTAAAATATAAGAGAGTCTTACACAATTTTTAAAATTTATGCTAAAAAAAATATTAATTTTAATTTATATTTTATTATAAATAAGAAAATATTATATATATATATATTTAAGGATCCCTAATTTTTATTTTGCCCGGACCCTTGAAAAGTCAAGAACGGCCCTAGATTCTTACTATTTAAATCCCAATTAAAAATTCACCCTCCAAACAAACACACCCATAATTATTCCATTTTTAATTATTCAAATTAAAACACCACCTTTTAATGGAGTATAAAAATATAAATAGAAAAATACTTATATTTTAAAATAAAAATAATAAGAAAATCAAAATAGGGAGGAAAAAGGGTAAGCACGCACACACGCGAAGAAGGTTTTCACGTGCTTGTCTCCCTCCGTTCGTTCGGAGTAGAATCGCAGTTTCTTTGATCTTCCTCTTTAAATTCTCCCTCCGTTTTCTGAATCTTCAATCCGATTGATTGTCGTTTCCGATTCCCGGTATAATCTCCATGGGAGAACCTCGTCAGTTTTCTGTTCATCTCGCGCTCGGCGGCGGTGCAGGTATTTGTAATGTGATCGTGCGTTTTTAGGATTTTTGTCCGCAGGAATTGTGGATGCGTAAATTGATTCTACTTTCTCCTTTTCTTTCCGATTTCTAATCCATTTCCTCTGGTTTTTCTGTCACTGGCAATTGTTTTCGTCGATTAATTTTCTCAAGTGTTTATCAGCTTCGGTAATGTGTTTTCGTTTTCTCCACTGTCCATCGATGCAGTGGCTGACGTGTTGCTGTGGAAGAAAGGGTACCAAAGCGTCACTTTGCTAGTTGTTTCAACTGCTCTGTGGTTCATATTCGAGACAGCCGGATACAATTTACTGTCATTCATTTCAAATGCTTTGTTCTTCCTCGCTGTAATCTTGTTCTTTTGGGCAAAATCCGCAGCGCTTCTCAATAGGTAGATAAATAAAGGAAACTGCGTTAATTAGGTCGATATAAAGAGTTGCTTTCGTGGCTCTTGGCTGTAGAGTGCTGCGTTTATCATAATCTGATTCTTCTTAACATTTTTTTTCAATCCTACTACGAAATTGCATCATGGATCTCTGATTAATATTGATGGATTGTTTTGGTGGTTTAAACTAGTGGCTGCCCTTGTTTTTAGTTTCTGTATTGTATAGACTCTTAGTGACTGAATTATCTCATGGTTTTAGACCTCTGCCACCACTCCCTAATCTTGAGGTTTCTGAGGACGTTATGCTGAGGGCTGCGGATGAGACACGCTTGTGGGTAAACGAGGCACTATCACTTGCACATGACATTGGCATCCGTGGAAACTTGAGACTTGCAGTTCAGGTGTTTCTGTTGTTTTGCTGAATTGATGTTTTGATGTTTGATGTTATCCACATGATTGATTGAGGAGTTAATGATGTTGTTTTTTGTTAGCTTGCTATAGGCTTGTGGTTAATTTCCTACATTGGCAGTTTATTCGACTTTCTTACGCTGGCATACATCGGTGAGTGTGGAATATATTCAATATCATAATTCTTGTCTTTTTAATTTCATTTTCAGTAACATATGTTGTTGTATACTTGATAAAATCAGGAGTTCTGCTTAGTCTCTCTATGCCAGTATTGTACGACAATTACCAGGATCTTATCAACGAAAAAATGCATGCTGCATATAAATTGGTGCAAATACAATATCGTGTAATAGATGAGAAGGTACTGAGCAGGATTTCATTGCCTGTGAGCAAGGAGAAGAAGATCCAGTAGATTCACTGTAATTCCGCTTTCGCTCATGTATATAACTTTTCCACTCTCTTACATATTTATGTGTCTTTTGCATGTTTTCAAATTTGTATGTGCTTGATGAACGCCTTTATGATTTTGATTAATGTTCTCCCTGTGAGATGGCATTAACATGTGGTGCCCTTTTCGTTATTGTTGAGCCTCATGCATCTTGCTTTTAAGTGTGTTTGTTTGGGGGTTTGGATTTTGAGTTGGGATTTGAATAGTAAAATTTTTTTAATTTGAATAGTTGTATGATGTGATATAAATAGGCGTTGATGTGATGTTTTGAATGTAAAATTGATTTTTAGTATAATATAAAAAATGAGTGTTTGATTTGATGTTTTTTGGGGAAAAAAAATGGATGAATAGTGTATTTAAAATCCAATCCCCCAAACAAACACACCTATAATATGGATGTTTGTGTAAAACACACTGCGAATAAATACTTTTAAATGCTGATATGGTAGAATGAGGCAGTAAACGCAAGGATAAAGCATTCTTAATAAGTTAATTAGCTTGCTTTTCTCATTCTGATTTTACTAAGTGTTCCTTCAACTGTTTGCCTATGATGGAAAGCTGAATAGCTGCACAAGTGCCCCAGAATGGAAATATGGGAGTAGTATAGTTTAAATGTTGAACTTACATGATACCCAGATTTTTCTAAGTTAACCTAGATATCTAAATTTGGAATACAATAGCAATATTGTGGTTACTTAAAGGGAGACCACCTGCAAGGAGTTTACCTCTCTTGTATTAGTGTATTTCAAAACATTACAATGAGAAATTTCTCTTATAACTTGGCTACATGTTGGGCTGATCAATTGATTGGATTTCACTAGAGGTTTAATTGCATGCAATCAATGAGATGTCCGACTGCTCAAAATTAAATAGAGGCACAAAGCATCGTGACTAATTTGGTTTGGGAATTGGTGTTCTTGAAAACAATAAATGGCTTTTTATCATGGCACATGATAGATCTAGTGGTATAGATCATTTGGAGGATAAGCATCCCCTTAGGGTATGATCAAGATCATATCGTGGCAAGACTGCTTTGATTCTTGATCATTTTCAACCCGGAGCACATACATATTTTTCTTCATGTTTCACCTCTTGATTGTTATGAACTATATTTGTGTTTTCATCTTTTTTGGGGAACCATTTCCAAAAGTTTAGAGTGTATTTCCATTACACACAATTAGAAAAATGTTGAGTTTGCAAAATTTGGGATATCAGTTGTGTACTAACTGTGCATTTTTTCACCTGCCAGGTAAATGCAATTGGCCTTGAGATCTATCAAGAATGCTGTTCGAAAACCTCCACGCCATATGTAGATATTTCTGCCACGTGTTTTGTCTGTTATTTGTAACACATCGGTGGTAATTTTGGTAAATTTGAAGCCATACAGCGAGCCCTGTTCTGTTCTTCCTTTGCCTGCTTGATATATCATATGCCAATGCTAAGGAGAACGCTAGTTCTGTTTTTGAAGCTTTTTAAAATGGACAAGATTGTCTTGTGGAGTTTGTAATATTCTCTTGTGAGAGGGTGGGTCAAGTTATATACAAAACAAGTAGATAGCGTACTCGAGGTCTGATTTTTCTAGTCCGGTGCTCACGATTTTCTTATAATCTGAATTTGAAGTGCAACATTCATCTTGGTTGACAAAAAGTTTGTGATTGCTCGTTTCTCCAGATGAAAAATACTCAATCTATCGAGCCAGTTTTAGTCGCGACTTCAATTTTCTTTGGCTTTATCTTTGTTTCAGTTACGTCTGCCGTGTATACTTTTCTTGGTAGATTGATACATATCATCTGCATAGGCAACTTTGCAGGTATGATTCTATTGTTATCAATGACAGTATGCATATATTTCCCAACATGGTGACTTCACAGCAATGTAAGAACCTATGGATTTCTGGGCATTTTGAATGGTCTCCGACACAAAACAAGCCACGACAGTTTCTACATTCGGACAAAAAGGATCAAAGGGTATAGCTTCTTAATACAATTTTAAAGAAATGAAATTCCAATAATTCAGATGGCTCATCAAAATGCTATATAGAAGGTCATGCAAGCTTGGGAACAGCAGCGACGCTGCCTTCCGTTGACGGCAATGTAACTGATCGTAGCAGCTCCAACGAGCACGCCAGCCCTAAGAAGTGCGAAAGTATCGTGTTTGCAGATGCCTGTCGACAGCCACCCAAAGAACAATAATCATTTATTACATTTGCATCCAAACGATGGGTAGGGTGTCGATAATAAGTGCAAAAATTGCTACTGGCACTGACTTACCTGCACAAGAAACACATCTAGGGCGAGAACAGGACTATTCCCGGGAGGCATGCCTTGATAATAAGGAGTTGCTGAAGTCGTCAGCGCCTTGGCCACCAACAACCCCACGGTTGCTTGCATACCGAGTATAGCAGAACCCATGCCCAACAGATTTACAACGATACCATTTTTTAGGCTTTTTACAACTTCTGCACGAGGAGGTGCCTGAAAACAACCCAACAAGAAATAATTGCACCAATTAATAACCAATCCGAAAGAATGGCAGGAACTTCTGAATCTGAAATGACGAATTTATCAAAACTGAGAAAATGTAAGAAGTCTGAAAGCACTCATCCAAAATCTATTTTCAAGTGAAAAACACCCTTCAGTATATAAATCCATCGTACCCGGAACAGAGATGTATTATTACAACTGGAATAGACATCTAAAATGCTATAGCGGGTATGACCGCTATTTAAATATTTAAGAAAATATATAAATTATTATACATACAAAATTATAACAAAAATACATAAGAAAAACCTATAAATTAATCTCATAATTATCATTCAAACCAATAAAATGTCAAAATATATGTATATATATATATGATCATAACTTTTACATAGTTATATAAGAAAAAACAATTAGATCACTATTGTATGATAAATATATATCAAAGCTAATCAGATTCAAAATTTGATAAAAGGCAGCAGGCGACCTGATCTTTAGGTTGAACAGTTTGTGCTTGCTAGTGTAATAAACACTAAAAAGTTTTGGTTCAATTTTGTTTTCCTTATATAACATTCATAGTATCATCAAATGTCAATGCTATAGCTAGCGGATTTAATGTTAAATGTAAGCTGCTGGCTAGAAATCAGAAATCTTGCACTGATAAGAATTTGTTGAGAATTTGTAAAGATTACCTTTGAAGGATCACTGGCAGTTCTCCGGAGCTTGTCAGCCAACCGGATGTGGCCAAATGACCAGAAAACAGATACAAAAGCAGCTGCAATGCCGCCAGCAGTTGCATAAAAGGTAGCAGGGGACGTGATCTTCCCGGTTATGATGATGGAAAAAGAAAGGATAACAGCTGCAACAACAGTGCAAACCAACTGGCCCCAAAATCCAAAACTCCCCAATCTTTTGAAATTCCTCGAAGTATTTTCTAATCTCCTTGCAACCTGAAATTTGAGATTTGTGAAGGCATACACAGAAAGGTAAACCTCAGTAACTATCAGTCTTTATCAGCATATAGTATATACACACAAAAGCAGATTTTAGGTTCTGGCTATTAAAAGCAAAATCCAATGTTGTTGAACACAGTTATTCGGCGTATTTCTATAGTTCAACAGAACTTTATATCATTCAACAAATATCATACATTCAACAGACCAAGTGCAATGTTCACAGACATTTCTAAAATTCCTCTATGTTTAGATTCATCCAACTGGTGGTGTTCAGGATTTGAGGGTTTTAAATCACTAACAGTTAACCAATCCAAAGCTATGCAACTGAAATAGATATGCAAATGCATCAAAATTTCGAAAACTAATTTGGGAATAGAAAATGTGTAGGCTAATTTTCATGAAATTAAGGATACAATTCCTATAGAGAAAACAATGAAAATGTAATTAAAGATTTTCGAAACAGAGAGTAAAACCCTAAACCTCAGATTCAAAGCTCTCCGATTAAAAGATTGAAAGTTTCAGCTAAGCAGTTCCAGAAGATAAATTGAGGCATATAACAACAAAATCCAAATCAACAAAAGATAGAATCGTTCCAATAAGCACAAACAAGCAGCGCAAAGGATACCTGAGCAAGTTTGGCCTTCTCAGACGCGTCACTCGGAGAACTGTTGGAAGCGGAAATGCGGCAAGGAGCTAGGTTTTTTTGGCGGCGATTGTTGAGAAATACGTAGGGCGAGGATAATGTGAGGAGTTTGGATGGAGAAAGGGATGAATAGGGAGGATCATTGGCGCTGCTGATGCTTGTAAACGGACGAACTGAATTAACCCATAGCGATTTGAATTGCGCCTCCGTGCGCAGCGGGCGTCGTGGTGGTGGTGCGGCGCCGGAGCAAGTCGCCGGCAGCATAAGCGTCTGCATATTGATCTTTCGAGGGCTAAGACCGCTTTAGGAAGCCAAGTATAGCATCAAATACCAAACTAGCAAGGGTGTGTTTGTTTGGGGATTGGATCCCATTTTTTTCCCAAATACATCAAATCAAATACCTATTTTTTATTTTTCATATTTTATATTATAATAAAAATTAAATTTATATTCAAAATATCACGTCAACATCCATTTATATCATATCATATAACTATAACTATTCAAATTCAAAATTTTTACTATTCAAATTCAAACTCAAAATCTAAACTCCCAAACAAACACACCCTTTTGGTTCCGACTACTAAACCAATAAGAAGGAAATTTATTATTTGATAATTTACATGTTTGGACCGTTATATTCCCAATTCATCGACTTTAACATAAGGTAGAATTTTATCAAAGTTCGGGTAGTACACAAGTGGGTACTGGACGAACCATGTGTAGCAGGTGACTTTGAGGTCAGGGGGTTTGAACCCAGCAAACTAGGTCTCACAGACAAGTCGCATTAGACAAACTATGTGTGATAGGTGACCTGCGGCGTTCATAAGTCCAACCCCCACACCACCACATCATCATTTACGGGACTGCTTCACCGTTCTTTTTAGGTAAGTAATATCTTCTCCAATGATTGTCGATTTCGAGTTTGACAGCTTTTGTTCTTCAATTGTTTAAATTATTTAAGATTTTATGTATATTTTGTGTGTTATTTTAGGAGAGAGCTATTAGTTTTTTTTATAATATTTTTCTATTTGAGGGACCGTCGGAAATGATCTGTTGAATTTTGGGGAGGAAACATAAAGTTTTTCAAATCATTTTTCTAAATGTACAGGATAACACGTAAATAATTTGTAAATTTTAGTAGTTGTTGACCTTAATTTCTGTTCTCGATTGAAAGTATACAAAAATGAATTTGATAGTTTATGCTTTATGAGAGGTGGTGTGAATTTTAGATTTAGTTGAATTTTTTTTTTTATTCAATGATGTAAGTCATTATAATTTTTTTTTTTTTTCTCTCTCTCTATATATGCTTCTAAAAGATATATATTGTTTATTTGTTAGACAATTGTGCCTATGAAATGGTCGTCCACATATGAGAAACTCAATGTAAGAGAAAATGGTAATCAAGAAGGTTTTGAGAAATATACATGAAATGATGATAACCTCGATGGGTAGATTGTAGGCAATGTTGACAGTGGCTTCGAAGATGAGATGGAGTATAAATGGGGAAGTGTTCGCGATGATGAGGTAGGTGAGAGAATAATTGAAATTTTTAGTCTTTCAACGACTCCACCAGAATTTCCTTATGAAAGAAACAATGAACTATTATGTGACTTTGATGATGGTATTGAAAAATAGTTAGAGTCTGATAATCCCTCTAGGATCTATGAAGACTTTGATGGGCCAAATGCCGATGGTATCTTCACTGACCAACCATCTAATAATAATCATGGAAAAATAAAAAAATGGTTGAAGAAAATGCGTGCATTGATGCGAGAAAAAAGAAAATATAGTCGAGAAGTTAAATAAGAGCGAACAAGATCAAGTATAAATGCAAAAGAAAGAAGAATAGTAGAATGATTGCAATTCAAATTGTGATATGAAAACAACAAGACAATCATATTGTAATCAAATTTATAAAACTCATTCAACACATGCAACCAACTACTTCATTGTTTCAATTATTTAAAATAACTTTAAAATGTTGTTTTCCAAAACCATACTATTAATGAAATGAGAAAATTAATGGAGGAATTATATACAAATACATATACAATATTAATTTAATGTAAGCAATTATCTTGCGGGAACTAAATAATAAATATAAAATGACATCAATTTTTTAATAGGACCATTGAATAATTCTAAATCACGATTTTTATTTGATTATTCCATAATATTTTTCTAGTTTTTTTTTTTTTTTCAAGGGAAATTTCTTTTAAATATGTTCAACATTTTTAGTATTTGTAAATATATTTATAAATCCGTGTTAACCATAGGATGACAACGGGTTCGGGTTGACTCGAAACTCGATCTGTTTATTTAGGGTCGGGTCCAATTATTCGGGTATTAGGTTCGGGTCGGGCCTCGGATTCAAGGGTGGGCTTTACACAGACCTAGATCCGACTCGGACCCGATTTAATATATTAATTATATATATAAAAAATAATTTTTAATAACATAAATTATATTAAAATATGTTTTTAGTTTTATATTTTTTATTATTTTGTTATAGTATTTTCGAATAAAATATATAAATTTTAATATATATCGGGTTCGGGTTTGGGTCCAATTTTAAATTAAAATTTGAAAATTGTAATGATTTTATCGGATCTGTCGGGTCCATTGGATTTTGTTGGGTATTTTTTGGATTGAGTTCAGGTATGGTCGGATCCGGGTATAATTGGATCCAATTCGAGTCTCGGGTCCAGCTATGTGTATTCGGGTAAGGTCTCGGGTCCGACTCGACCCATTGCCATTCCTAGTTAACTGTATTTGATACAAGCTTTGCTTGACCATTGCATTTATTATTTTTTTTTTATTTTTTTTTATTAAGGTATTCAAGTAGAAGAATATTGAAATATATAAGAGATAATCCTGTTGACACCATTGACTCATTAACTTGCAAGATAAAGAAAGATGTTGATATGGACATTAGTAAGTATAAGTTATATCGGACCAAGAAATATGCAATTGAACTTTTAAATGGTGACATAAAGGAACAATGCACCAGGTTGTATGACTACCGCAACACTGTTGTGAAACACAATCTTATGAGTTTGTGCATTTTAAAGGTTGACAGAAGCTTGACACCTTTAGTTCGGTAGATGATGTATTATTGTCTGAAGCCCTTAACTAACGGGTTTCATGAATGATGCATGTCTCTAATTGCATTAGATGATATATTTTTTTTTTTAAAAAAGTATGTATAAGGGACAACTTTTTTCATCCATTAGAAGGATGGTAATGACAACATTTACCCACTTGACATTTGTGGAGATTGAGAAGTTTGATAGTTGGAATTGGTTTATGAAAAGTTAGATTCAGAAACCAATCTCAACTAAGACATATATATAATAATTTCAACTCAAAGTACAAAGGAATGAAGTTGAAGAAGCTATTTCGAAAAGCTGCATCAATATATAATATTAATGAACATAAATTTGCGATGCAAGAAATTTTGAAGTTTGATCCGAAGATTGGTGAGTAAAAAAATGCATTTAAGTGGCTAACAGAAATCTCAGAATATCAATGTGTCAAAATATACTTTCCCACTCGAACAAAATGTGATGTGTTGGTTAATAATATTAGTGAGTCTTGAAATCAATATATTATGCCAACACGTGAACTTCCAACCATTGATATGTTTGAGTGAATTAAAAGAAAATGTAAGACTCGGATACAAGTCAAGAAGAACGGAATGATGAAGTATGCTGGACTGATTTTGCCTAAACATTGAGAAAAAAATCAAGGCACAACGAAAAATGAGTATAAATTGTTACCCTTATTAGACTGGAGGGGGAAAGTACGAGGTCATGCACTGGGTGAACAACAATGTAGTGCATCTTCGAAGTATGCATTGCACGTGTGGGATATTTTAGCTGGTTGGCTATCCATGTGCTCATGTTATGTCTGCATTGAGTATGCATAGACATGATCCATTGTTGTATGTGGATCTATAGTTCAACAAAGATTTATATATGAGGTGTCTAGAGCCATATGATAAACCTTGTACTTGGGATGCATAACTATATAGAATTTTCTTTGGGGCCGATTAATGTTACAATTATGAAGAAAAGAATTTGGCGATCTAAAAAGCATGAAGAGCTTATGCGAATGAATTGAAAGATATCACAAAAACATCAAGGAGAAGATTAACACATGCATATGCAATTTTCCTTCAACAATGACACAACAATCAAGGAAATAACAAGAGAAGAATTAAAAATTACAGTCAAATCATTAAAAATATAATCAGTATGTTTACTAAAGTGATTTTTTTGTGTGGTACGAAGAACTGTATTGGTAATATAAAAAATAATATTTTGTGTTCAATGATTGATTTTTTATAAGTGAATAATGTATATATATATTATATTAATGTGTGTATATATTTGTATTGTTTTAATAATATTTATGGAGAATTATTTTATTGAGAAATGCTGATTGATTAGACTTAATAATTTTACATCAAAATTTTACAAGAAATTACAAATTCAAAAATTAATGCAAAACACTAAAAGGATGTGTTGCATTTTTTAATATTTGTGATGGAATTTTGCGAGGGAAATATTGCCATGCAAAATCTATTTACGTTGCTACCAAAATAAGAGCAAAAGTTTAATCCCTCGCCAAATTTTCAACATCCGTTGAGACGGAATTTAGATTTATCACAATTTATAAAGAATTTTGCAAGGAATATTATTTCCTATGCAAAAAAAAATAAATTCTAGATTGTTGCATGTCAAAAAAATGTGAGCTTAAGACAATGAAGAATTGAATGTGAAGTCTATCATGTGTTTTTTCTTGTAATATAAACTTGATGTGAACTGTTGTAAGTTGGGTTTGTTCTTTTACTTAAAATTTTGTTAACACATTCTAAAAAAATTAATATACTACACATTTTTATTATATTTATATTATTTACATAATCTTTTATAACTCACATAAAAAATATTTATTCAAACAAAAGCACAAAACAAACGTACAGTGTTCTATATTTTATAACAAATGAGGTTGTTTGTAGAAATATGAACTTTGATGAATTTATTATGGAACATGTTAATTACTTGATGATACAATTCCAAGAGTTGGAGATTTTTTGGATTCTTGATTTGTTTGAATTATTGAGTTTGGTTTAATAGACTTGGAACATAGTTTGGTCGATCTTTTTTTTTTTACAAGTCATAATGACGCATTAATTAAAGTTTTAATTATTGAGTTTAGTTTTATTAGAGTCGGTAATGGGTCGATTTGTGTCAGGTTGAATACTTTAAACGGGTTAAATTACTCAATCATAATCCGACCCGTTTATTATCGTGTCAGGTTTGTATTAACCCGTTTATTATCTTGTCAGGTTCGGGTTGACTCGTGTTGACCCGTATACATAATTAAGTCTTTATTGGTTTGAGCGTAAATTATGTTGAATTATTTAAAATTGAACTTAGTTTAAATTAATTTATAAAAAAATTAATAAATTATGATTATTATATATATAATAAATATATTAATCAATAGTAATATATTATAATCGGGTTGTCGTGTCGGGTTCGAGTTGAGAGCCTCGACCCTAACCCGACCCGTTTATTATCGTGTCGGGTTCGTGTCAACCCGTATACATAATCGGATTAAAATCTTTGACCAAAATCCAATTATTTCGTGTCGGATTGTCGTGTCGGATCAGTTTCTGCCGGCTCTAGGTTTTATAGAGTTAGCAACATGGTTTGGTTGAGAGAATAATTTTTATTGTCGAGCTATTGAGTTTGGTTTTATAGAGTTGAAGCATGGTTTGGTTAGGAGAGTTATTTTTATCATTGAATTAATTGCACCATTTAAGATAAAATTTGATTTAAGGTAGTGATTGTTACGGTAAGGAATATTACTTAGTAGTAATTACAATAAAATTTTTCAGGAAATGGGAATTTCAAATAGTAAAAGATTGGGGGTTTGTGTCTAAAGAAACACATACATTTGATGATTATGTATAATTAATTATTGATTTATCAAATATTTTAAAATTTTAAGTATTATTTAAAATTAATTTAAAATGGGATGTTGATCTTAATTTTTATTAAAGATTACAAATAATAATAATAATAATAATAATAATCAAACTTTCACCATAATTAATAATAATTTTTACATAATGTTGTGAATATAAATTTGTGACCGTCAGGTTTTGGAGATAGAAGTATAAACAAACACATGCTCGACCAATGAAATACAAAGTTTATTTAGTTAAGTGTGACCCTATATATTTTAAAATTAAGTCGGACATTTTAAAAAAATTTAGAAAATAAAAACTAAATAAAATATCTGATGTGATAAATTATATAAATAATTGTTTTGATACAATATCTTAAAAAAAATATATTTAAATGATTTTAAATTTTGATAAAAAAGTGATAAAACGAAATGAACTATTAGAATTTATTTATTTTTACTTTCAATTAAAAAAAAATACTATTTCATCGTTTCAATAAAAAATAACAATATTTTCTTTTAATGAATTAAAAATAATAATATTTTATTAGTTAGTGTAGATATATAAGATGATTTTGATATTTTTATTTTTGTAAAGATAAAGGAAATAAATATTTTTATAAAATTTAGAATTGTTTTGCTATGTAGATTATTTTATACTTTCGAATGAAAAAAAAATGGTGAAAATAGTAAATTGAAACATAGAAAATATTCTTCAATTCATACAATTTTTAATAAAATTCTATTGTATTTTTTTTATTATAAATTGAAAATAAAATACTAGGTTTGTTTGTCTATTTTTTTCATACGATTTCTAATATATACATATTTTAATAAAATATTACCTTTATATATCATCGACACATTTCTATGTTTTGTGTAAAAGAATTCAAATAAAAAATACTAAACAAAAAAATCCATTTTTTAAACTAAATTGAATTTAAAATTTAAATTCAAACAAAAAATCAAACAAACCTTAATAAGTGTGTTTACTAGAATTTGAATTGACAAAATATGATTTGAATTTTATATTTAAATAATGATTAATATATGGAGTTTAAATAATAAAAAAAATGAAAAAAAAGCTAAAAACGGAAAGTATGTCAATTTTTATTTTAGTGTGACTTGCTCTTATCGAATGTAGTTTAGTTTTCAATATTAAATTCGGTACATATATATATGTATATATATATATATGTAAAACTGGTAGAGTATGGAGAGAAGTATTGAGATAGTCAAAAGGAGGTAAGCTTCAGCCACTCCACCACTAGAGAGAGAGAGAGAGAGAGAGAGAGAAGTTGATCTCACAAAAATCATCACACTGATCCTGATTGTGTGTGGCCACCCACCCCACTCCACCCCACCCCACCCCACCCCTTCTTCTCTTTCAGTTGAGTTAACCAAAACAAATACACCCTACCCTCATCACCAGAACCAGCCGGAGGAGGAGGAATCAGATAAAACCAACCAGTCCACAAACATGCAGATACCATATTAATCCATCCAAAAAAATCTAAATTGTAAGAAGAAAAGAACTCAAAGCAGCCATGGCGGCGATGGCAGTCATCATCATCATCACCATCATCATCCTGCAACTGTCCTCAAGCACCACCAGCCTCACCGAAGATGGCGTTCTCCTCCTCTCCTTCAAATACTCCTCCATCCTCTCCGACCCCTCCTCCGTCCTCCTCAACTGGGACTACGCCGCCGCCACTCCCTGCTCCTGGACCGGCGTCGCCTGTAATTCCAACTCCATTGTCGTCTCCCTCAACCTCTCCTCCTCCAACCTCATCGGAATTATTCCGCCGGAATATCCTCTCTCTCTCCCTCCCACTCTCACCACTCTCGATCTCTCCTCCAACTCTTTCACCGGAACCCTCCCCGCCGCCCTCTTCAACTCCTCCTCCTCCCTCCGCTCCCTCTACCTCTCCCGGAACTCCTTCTCCGGCCACATCCCTGTCGTCGCCGCCGCCACCGCTCTCCAGGTTCTCGACCTCTCCCACAATTCGCTGTCGGGGAATTTGCCCCCCGAATTCGGCGGCCACAGTTTGAAGTACCTGAATCTGTCGGCCAACAACCTCACCGGACCGGTGCCTCCGCAGTTCGCTTCCGAATTTCCGGCGAACGCCACCATTGATCTCTCCTTCAACCATCTTTCCGGCGAAATTCCGGCGGGTTGTGTTCTGCTAACCAGTCAGAAGAGTGACGCTTATGCAGGGAATCAGGGCCTCTGTGGCAAACCTCTTAAAAATCTCTGCACCGTCCCTTCCACGCCGTCCGATCATCCTGCTGATGATCGCATCAACGGCTCCTCTTCTTCTTCACCATCATCATCTTCAGCCGCCATTGCCGCCATTCCAAACACAATCGCCGCCACGCCTGATTCTCCTGGCGGCAGCAATGGACTAAAGCGAGGAGCAATCGCCGGAATCACCGCCGTCCCATTAGCCGGAATCGGCGTTCTTGCAGCCATAGCATTGTACATTTACAGAAAGAGGAAGAGAGAAACCGACAATGCCGAGGCCGACATGTACGAATACAAGAAAGATCCAGAGGCTAAGACTGTCCACACTTGGCCTTGTCTGAACGTGACAACAAATCGAGAAGACAGTTCGGAGGCTGCGACTTCAGAGGACGACGACGGAGACGCAAAGAGCGATGATCGACGCGGACAATCGGTGCGCAACGAGCGATCGTTAGTGATGGTCGACAACGACGGGGTGCAGCTCGAGCTCGAAACTCTGCTAAAAGCTTCTGCATACGTGCTCGGGACGACAACGGGCGTTAGCATTGTGTACAGAGCAGTGCTACACGACGGGACTGCTTTGGCCGTGAGGCGAATAGGGGAGACGAGTATCGTGACAATGAAGGAATTCGAGAGCCAAGTTAAGGACATTGCGAAACTAAGGCATCGAAACATCGTTCGTGTCCGGGGATTTTATTGGGGCGATGACGAGAAGCTGGTGATCTCCGACTATGCCTCCAATGGCAGCTTAGCCAACATTGCTTACAGTAAGTTATATCTAACCTTAAATTTTACACAACCTTAATTTCTACGAGCATGTTAAGGATTCATTCATTTGGTACTAACTTCCTTTCTTTCATGATTATTGAAATCTAAGTTGAAAGAACATTCCCTTTTGTGTGAATTGATGCATCCTTTTAAAGCTAAGTTCTTGGCATTTTCTTGATGCATCTATATGCCTTTTTTGGGACCATAGATCATCAATTTTATTACTCCCTCCGTCCCACATACATTCTTAATTATCTACTAATTACACACTTCTTAAAATACCGTGTCTACAATGTAGCAGACACGGTATGTGGGACAGAGGGAGTATATTATAGAGAATCCAAGAATCATATATATATATATATAGGCTGAAAATTTGCTCCTGATCTGGCCAAATCAGCATTGTGCTAATTTGACCGAATCAACTTATATTTATACATATCTCAGCATGTTATAAAATAGCATATTCGGTATATATATATATATATATATAGATAGATAGATAGATAGAGGTGTTGAGACCACATGCATTATTGTAGTGCAATATTTATGGGCTTCCATGTGAAGCAAAGAAAGATCAAAAAGCTAGACTCACAAACACACAATAGGCCAAAAACATGTGATCAAACAACTAGATCTCCACCTCTCTACATACATTTTTCCATTTTGTAAGTTTTGTTTACTTAGATTAACTCTATGCATATATTTTGATGTTTCAGGAAAACTTAGCTCATCTCCATATCATCTACCATTCGAAACCCGGATAAAGATCGCGAGGGGGGTCGCGAGGGGGTTGTGTTACATCCACGAGAAGAAGAACGTTCACGGAAACATCAAACCTAGCAACATTCTCTTGACGCCCGACATGGATCCCCTCATAAGTGACTTCGGCATTCATTGGTTGATACACGGCAAGCGCACCCACAAATCCAAGTGCGAGTACAATTCCATGACTAGGCACTTCGGAAGCTACCGATCAATCCCTCACGACCGACAAGTTGTCTTCATGGGGTGCACGTCTCCTTATCACGCCCCCGAGTCCCTCGAGAAGCTCAAGCCTAATCCCAAATGGGATGTCTACTCTTTCGGGATCTTGTTGCTCGAGATCCTTACCGGAAAAGTATTTTCGGAGCGGGAATTGAGCGAATGGGACGGTAATAGAGTCGATGCGGATCCGAGTTGCGTGGTGCGAATGGTCGAGACGACGGCGGCGGAGGGGCGGGAGGAGGCCGTTGTGGCCTGGTTCAAGCTTGGCCTCAGCTGTGCCTCGTTGCTCCCTCATAAAAGGTCTACCATCAAACATGCACTTACTGTATTGGAAAATTTGGCTTAGCTTAGCTTAGCTTGGCTTGTTGATGACTTATGAATAGCAAGTCTACATATTTATGCCTAAGGGTTTTTTTTTTTTTTTTTTTTTTTTTCATGTATATTTTTTATCATGTGTTTTATTTATTAATGTATTGTATTTTCAGTTATACTTAATATTCTTCAATGTTGCTGGAGTTATATTTTTTATTTTTGCTATCCCTAATAATAGTTACATTTATTTTTTTAGAAATTTTTTATTTCACTATAAAGTAAATACTTTTCAATCATATTTATTTACACAAATATTACAAATAAAGTCAAAGAACAAATTTATATTTTAATACTATCTTCGTCCGACTCTAAAGTTTCATTTATTTTTGTGAGTAGATTTTTGAATATTAATTATTATATTGAAACGTAGTATAAATTAAGAAAAAATTGTAAAAATATTTCGATTAATGTCTTATAACACTAATAGAAAAATATTTTTACAAAAAATTATACAAATATAAGAATATTTTTAATATTAATAACAATATTTGTCTACTCGAGAGTCGGACATAAAAAAAATTACCAACTATAATTATAATATAATATCTATTAATTTTTGTGTCAAAAATAAATGTAACTCTTTCACTTGAATAGAGAGAAGTGAATATTTAAAAATATTAAACGAGATCATTATTTTGAATTAAAAAGGTATTGAGGTTACAAACTGTAGGATGTGAGAAGCCATCCTAACATGTACTTATCTATTGAGGGGTTAAGGGCCAACTGACCTGATTCCCCCAATTTTATTTATTTTTAGTGTAAAATATAATTTATATATATATATATAATCTAATTTTTTTTTTATTTTTTATTATTAATTTTTTATCTTTTAAGTATAAAATTTTATTTTATTTCACGTTTCTACAATTTTTCATTTTTTCTTTTTTTAGAAAAAATTGATTGATAGTTTGAATTGATTAATAAAAGTTCAAAAAATTAAAATTAAAATCAAACTATAAAAATTCGATTGATTGGATAGTTCCGGCCCCTAATATTTGAAGGCTAATTCCTTCACTGGGCATGACCGTCTGGTTGTTTTAAACACTTTCAGTCTAACAACTTCTTGGACACCTTAGAAGTATAGTCTTTATTTAAATTTCTCGAGAACACTTGAGAACTATAGAGAGAGGAATTAATGAAAAAAAAACTTGTTATTGCTCTCAATTTAACGATTTACAAGTTGACTCACCTTTTTATATGCAACACTTTTTATATACAATTTCATTCACCACCGGATTGTCAAGATTGAAAAGATCTAACAGCTACAATTCGCCACACTAGAATGTTCTAGGGCTTCTACAAGATTCCATGAGATTATACAAGAATGTAAGTATAATTCTAATTTTATCTACAATAGTCTAAAGTCTTCCACAAGGTTTGGACTTTTCAAAATGAGCCTTTTGGTTTTGGCTCATTTTCTCGGCCACAAACTCAATCCGGGAATTCTCTCCCGCTTGATGTAGGCCTCAATGTCTTAAACTTGCATACCAAGTTCTCAAATTGCCAAAGCCTTTCTTCTGGTTCCCAACTTGTCTCGTATTCGGGAAATCCTCACAATCTCACCAAGTACTCTGTCAAAGGTAGATGATTTTTGCGGCGCACTAGTCGGTTCATCAATATTTTCTCGACCACTTTGTCGTATGTCGTCCGCATCCAGGTGGTGCCCTCATCAACACGTTATGACTCATGTTTTGGTTGTCCATGTGGTAGGGCTTAAGCAAACTTGCGTAGAATATCAGATGAAGTTGGGACAAACCCTTAGGAAACTCCATCTTGTATGTCACGTCGCCTACTTTTTTCACGATCGTGAATGGGCCCTTATACCTCCCTATAAGGTCTTTGTGTATGCCCCGAACACGGCTATGTTGGTAGAGTTTCATCAACACCAAGTCCCCATCCTTAAACTCTCGAAAAGTGCAGTTCCAGTCCGCCCACTTCTTCATACGCTTTTGAGATTTCTCCAAATATGGTTTAGTGGCTTCCGTTCGGTCTTGTCACCCTTTGGAAAAGTAGAATGCGGGAGGACTCGGTTCCCACCAAGTTCTTCGGTGTCACTGGTTGAAAATTAAGCACGATCTCGAAGAGGCTTCTTCCGGCACTTTTGTTCCATTGTAAGTTTAAAGTTAAATTGTGCAACGTCAAAGTAATTTGGTCTAGTTGAGTTGGTTTATGTCATGGTGCCGCAAGCATACCTCTAAGATTTGATTGACCCGCTCTATTTGACCATCCATTACGAGTGTATTGTTCATGGCATTTTTAGCTCCAACCTCAACAAACGGAATATCTCCGCCCAAAGATTTTCTAGTGAATCATGAGTTTCAATCACTCCTAGTACCTGTTGAGTCTGAAAATATTATTAGACAATTTTGAAGAATTTTGAAAATTTGAAAATATTAAAAAAATTATATTTAATATTATATTTTATAAAATATATATATGTAATATAATATTTTAAAAAATAAAATACTAGTAGTAATTTTCACTTTATATATGTTTGATTATGATTTATGCAACCATTTGTCCAAAGATAAGATCTAAAGTCTCACAGGGAAACTCTATTTACGTTTGCCGATGTAGGTTGTGACACGTGTCCAATCTGCCCATCTCTTCTTCTTCGTCTCTCATTTATTTTCCCCGAAAAAGAAATCGCACGCCCGCCGAAAACCAGTCGAGAAGTCTCCGCCAATATGACCGCCGCCGCAGCCTCACAGATATCGTCTTGCCTCTGCTTCTACTCGTCTGTCCACGGTGAGTTCAGAACTATTAACTATATGCTTTCTGTTTCATTCGCACTACCGTGAATGCTCATTAGATATACTGCTGCGTCGTGTTCTACTTTTAGGCGCTGATAGGTAGCTGTGCATTGTTGTTGCTGCCTGTATATAAATAATTTTATTATATTTTGCAGATGCTGCTCCCATGAAATCAGCCCAATCTGTTTCCCCTGCTCGTTTCCCACGCCGATTCGCGACTGCGTTTGCCGCCGGTTCTCCTTTGATCTTTAAGTACTTTGGGCACTGTATAGCTAAATGGATGAAATTTTAGTTTTGTTATTATTTGTTGATTATTGTCATTGTTTGTTTGTTCTTCTTCCTTAATCTGAATCTGTAAAATGAAAATTTATGAAATATATAAAAATTTGATAATGTGATACCTGATCAAGCAGTACTTGACTACCAATTGTGTGTATTTTTTAATATGCTTGTTGAAGAATGAATATAAGTTTTGCTTAAACATGCATATGAGAGAAAGTTCTTATAGAATAATGTGTTTAGAATTGTATGCTTAAAGTGAATGCATTTTAAAAGGGCTCAAGATTAATTTCAAAACAGCATAATGTTATCTGTCGAATTCCATGAGTTATAGACAGTCAAGAAGCATTTTCTGGTGTTAAAGATGCATTCAGATTTATAAGTAAGCCAATTGTCTTCTCTACAAATGATTTGGGTAATTTGGAGATCTGTTTGTAAAAGAAACTTACTTCCTATTCATTTTTTGGTTTCAGTGAATCAAAGATCTGTTTGTGGAAGAAATTTTCCAAAGTCAGCATCCATAAGATGTGAGCAGAGCAGCAAGCCAAGCAGCAGCGGGGATGTATGGATCGGCCGACTGGCAATGGTTAGTTTCGCTACTGCCGTGACTGTCGAGGTTGCAACAGGCAAAGGACCGCTCGAGGTATGAGTCCATTTTGGCATTCCAAACACCTCATTATGTTTTCTTTCCATTTGGGCTGATGTAAAGTATTGAATGTTTATGCAATTCGACTCGTTAATTTGTACAGCTATGGCTAGTCCATCCTGATAAAGAGTTACAGTTGTGAATTTATAACATGATGATGATGATATCAATGCTCTTTTTCAGTTTAGTTATACATTGGTTGATGTTGTGTTTGTTGAATTTACAGAACTTGGGTGTCCCAACGCCGTTGCCAACGGTAGCGTTGGCTGTTGCTGTGTTGGTGGCTGTTCTTGTCGCCTACTTCATCTTCCAGTCTGCTTCTGAGAATTAATCCATATGTGTAAGTTCTTCCTGTTCTTGTGAAAAATGAAATTTTCCTTCTCTAGATTTGGCATTTATGCTTAGCCAGGGCCCTCTTAATTTGTTATATTGGAATTGAAATTATATTGTTTTACATGCATAAACTATTAGTCCGTGCTATTCATATTTATATATTACTGTGTTATCAGAAGGGATGGGCAAAAAAATCGAATCGAACTACTGAACTGTTGAGTTGAACTGAATCGAACCTAATTTTTGGTTAATCGAACAAATTCGATTCGAATACAAATACTGATGTCTGATATTTGTTCAATTTGGTTCGGTTTCGGTTTTGATATTTTTTTCGGTTTGGTTAACCGAACCGAATATATTTATATAATGATATCTTACAATTAATATTAATAATTATATTTAGTTTGGGGTTCGAAATATTTCAAATATTTTTATTTAATTGGAATTATAATTATTTTTTAATGTATTTTTTTTTATAATTTTGGTTCGGTTCAAGTTATTGGCAAATATTTTCGGTTAACTGAAATTTTTTATTTAAATACAGTTTGCGATTTGGGGTATTTGTTCGATTCGGTTCGAATACCAAATACCTATATATTTGGAAATACTTAACCTTGCCCACCCCTCGTTATCTATGTTGAATCAGACCGGATTCTCTGTTCCATTAATATTTCTTATACCCTACCCGTAGAGATAGAATGATAGAGTTTATTTTTGGGAGAAAGGATCCAATGGGATGCTCCAACATATTTAATTAACACCCTACAATGTCTCTGCAATAATCTCGACATGTCTAAATATGGTAAAGGTCTATAAATAGTGCAAAAACTAGAAGAATACCTACCTACCTTCATTCCTAAAAACATTCTTCCAAAGAATGACATAAACAATTGAACTTCTTCTTCTTCTTCTTCGATTTTTTCGACATTACGCGGAGATCTCTCCTTCTTCTCCGTTTTTCTTTCCGATGGCAATGAGGAGCAATCCCACCACCACGGCGGCGTTGGCGGCGGTGGCGGCAATCCTAATATGGTTACCGGAGCCAGGGCGGGGTGCCCTGATCCCGGAGGTGGAAGTGACCCTGGCGAACGACGGGAGCTACCCGGTGTGGTTCATGTGCCAGATGACGGACAAGGCGGGGTCGTTGTACGAGCTAGCCCCGAACGGGACGTACCGGTTCAGCTTCGTCCACGTGGGTTTCCCGATGCGGTGGTGCTACCTGTACGTGAACCCGAAGAGGCACGGGTTCTTCTGGGCGTACACGGTGCGGTCAAGATGTACCAAGTGCTTCTGGAGCATCGACCGGCACCCATCGCTCTACCGTATTGACAAGGGCCGGTGGGAGCGGCAGAAGCTGTTCATGCCGCCGGATTTCAAGATTCGTGACTACCTCACCAACGCGCCGCCCCATAATACGCCGGACAACAATGATGATTGATCGTCATTCATCACTTTTATCCATACATATATATATGTATATGTATGTATGTATCCTATTTTTCAATTTAATTGATGCTTTATATGCATATATATATATATATATATATATATATTTGGATGAATGAATGAATGATTTGGAGGTGGATGGAATGATTCATTCTGCATGGACGTTATTCGCAACAAGAGTAAAAGACAATGGTTCTGATGCAAAAATGCTTCTATAGCTTATGTGTAAGAGTTTAAGGCTTTGTTTGTTTGGCGGATTAAGTATACAAATTACTATATATTTTCTGTACATAATTTAAAATGAAAATCCTACTCTACCCTACGTGTCTTGGTGCTGAAGTGTAACCTTCCTGTTTTGCAAAAAGTGGTTGCCAGAATTTTTCCTGCCACCCGTCATATCAATCCACCCGCAGTAATTCACGGAAAGAAACATATAGATTTTACACCCACAAATCAACTTACACACAAAATAAACAAATACAATTTAATAATATAAAATATTCATATTTTTTAAAACATCACATCAATTTTTCATTTAAATCATTTAAAAATTATTTTTCAATTATATATCAAAATACCATTTAATTCAAATTATCACATCAACATATCATTTCTCTTAATAAAATAATAATTTTTTTTAACATAATCATTACAAAATTCAAACCCCCAAACAAACACAACTTAAAATCCATACTTCAAAATCCTTAAAAATCCAAATCCAAAATCCAATCCTCCAAACAAACACACCCTAAATGGATCTTTTAAATTAAGTTAAATTGTGTGGTTTTATGCAATTGTGTCAAATTTTCTATACTTGGGTCAAAGTCTGGTTTCATAAACTCTATGTCTAAGCTCTTCAGCGGTCCTTGTTTAACGGACATAAATGCGTCCAAATTGCGAATAAATTTTAAAATCTCAATTTTTAAACTCCTAAATTACAATATATTTTTTTTTTTATATTTAGCCTCAAAAGTAAATATACCAGGTTTTAAGAGTTTATTTTTATTTTTTTAGACTAAATGTATAAAAAATAAATATATTCGTAATTTTAGGTGCTTAGAAATTGAGATTTTATATTATTAGCATTTTGGGCTCATTTATATGTTAAACAAGGACAGTTGAAGGGTTAAACGACAAAGTTTATAAAATAATGCACTTTTAGAAATACGGAGAATTTGACCGTAATTTCGTAAAAACACATATAAATATTGTGCAATTTAGCTTTTAAATTATCAAACCATCCGCAATAGCTCAAAGAAATAAATTAATTATAATTCTTACCTGATGATCAATCTCCAAGGACGCCAAAGAAAACCCATTTTGTTTTCAAATTCTTGGTGATATTTACTTTTTCATAAATCATTCAAGAGAGTAAATTTAAAAAGAAATAATAAAAGAATTAAAAGGTAAAAGTAAAAATTTAAACAGAAGTGTTCTAAAACTACAATGAAGAAGGAATAAAATAAGATTTAAATGTAACTAAACAAGATTAAAAAAAAATGAGAAAAAAAAGTCAATTTATTCGAATATTATAGTGAAATAAAAGAAAATAAATTTAAAAGTGACAAAGAAAGAAGAAGAAAATTAAAAAAAAAAAAACCTTCAGAAGGCCTGAAAACAGAAGTTATTATTTAAAGTTCGCGAACAAATGTCGAGTTCGTTCGTTAACTAAACGAGTGTTTCTATTGTTCGGCTCGACTCGTTAACATTCGTAAACGAGTTTTAACCGTATCGAATCGAGTCGAGTTCACGAACGACTCGATTCATTTAACAACTATATTCGTAACAAGTGAAAAGAATACTGAAAAAAATATTATTACTATTGTTCTAAACATGTCGTTGTATTTTTAGATATTGAGATATTTAGGTATTATATACACTACCAAATATACTTTTATTAAATAATTTATTTATTAAAATAATGAATTCATTATTATTTTAAACAAAACTAAAAATTCTAATAGCAACCCGCCTCACAACTCAAATCTCTATAGCAAATCCTCCCATCCATTCCAATTTCCAAATCAATCCACCTATAACGTTTCGGGTCGAGTGGGGTGTCACCGGGCCAACCTCAGTTTTCAATTATCCTAGCCCTAGCTTCGTCGTACCTGTCTTCTTCTTCGGCAGGTTCAATTCTTGCACGTACTTTGAATTGTCTGCTGTTTTGAGTATCAGGATGTGGCTGATTGTCTGTGTCTGTTTTGTTGTGCTTTTTCAATCGCTTAGATTTCTTTGTTGTGTTAATTCGATCATATTGTTCGAGTGTTATCTGTTATGAAATTATCGTAGAAGTGACGGACAATTTCCCCAAGTGTTTGTTCACCGTATATGAAAGTCATTTCAATGGAGTTCAACAAGCGTTTGAATTAAAGCCTCAAATGTTCCTGTATTCTATGCTGATTAATACTTGTTTGTGCTATTGATTTGAGTTTTTAATATTTTGCATTTTGCCTAAGAACCTGAATGATCAGAGGGTAACCAAACAAGAATATCTTAAATTTATGGCAAGAATGGTAGGGAAATGACATGATAACGTAATTGGGGAATTGAATTTGGTGCAGTGTTGCCTTCCAATTGTGATATGTTTTTCCCTTCCAATTGAATTTGATGTTTGGTGACTTGTTCTAGACTTCCATTTATGTCTTTATAAAGCTTAAGGTTATTTGTGACATTTCATTTTCTGCTGGCAACTCATTTGTGATATGTTTTTCCCTTTTCTAAAAAAGTAGTTTTTATCTTTGTGTTTGTTCTTTCCAATTTTTATTATATTTTGTATGTTGTTACTTTTTGATGAAAATTTTCGATTGATGCACAGATGATGGGGAGCATTGGTAATGAGCTCTATTCAGAAATTATTCAGTCGGCAGCTACGGAGATGAATAGAGAATCACCTGAAGCCCAAGCAAATGACAATTTACTGGGCAAGTTGTTTTAATGCCATTAGTTTGTTTCTGCTTATGTAATTGTCTTATTTTCTGTGTTTTTGCTACTGTTTTCATCCATTTATTAATATTATTATGAATTTTGATCTACACCAACACTTATTGGATAGGATAGTTGATGCTTCGACATTTTGTAAATAGTGTCCTTAAGTTCGCATTAAAACATGGCAAATGATTGAAATGTATATGAAGTTATTGTGTAAATAACCATGTTACAAATGATAATTCCAAATTCGAATGAGCCGATCTTTTTCATTTTAGTAACATTTCCCACTTCAGAATATGTAGAATTTTTTATTTATTTTTATTTTTTAAGCGTAATTTGTTATGACATGAGTTTTTATAAGGTTAAAATATAAGAATAAATATCTTCTAGCTACTGGCAGATCGAATTACCATTCATGTTTACACACAAAAGAAAGATGAAGATATGGCCTAGTTTTATATTGTGTTATCGTACCTTTGATTACTATGCATTTTTCGTGCGCATAATCTCTTTTATCACAAACTCCCGTATAGATAGAAACTTTTGAAGTTTTGGAGTCTTGGAAAATTTTGGAATTGTATAAAATTGGGTATACGATATAATGTTTTGAGAAAGAAAAAAAGTATTTGATTTGATATTTTTGTTAACTAGTGATTAAAAAGCATCTAAATCTATTGATTTTCTTGTTCCCAGAAACTGATACAGACGATGCATGGTACGATGATGGAGATTCTATTGACAAAGCGAATGTTGATAGGGAGTGGGAGAAAAGGCGAAATCAATTCCATACGGTATCTTAAAGTTGCATCTGTTTTTGGTGTCGCAGTTCATCACTTTTTTAACTATAAAATCAAATGACTATTCTTCATTTATATATTACACAAAATATCATTTTTTTCATTCTAACATTATCATATCAAATACTATTTCCAAATCATAATATAAAAGACACAAGCCCTAATGCATCATTTCTTGATTCATTCTCTTGCTATATATCATGTCATTTCCTGTGAGCCAGATAGGATATCGCGACGGCCTCATTGCTGGACAGGAAACTGCTGCTCAAGAAGGGTTCAACATCGGCTTTAAGGAATCAGTATTTTCCGGGTACGAATGGGGTCTTGTCAGAGGGATTACTAGGTAAATAAACTGCGACTCAATTATTTGTTAGATATGATGAAGTCTTTCTGTTTTGATGTTTCCCACTCATTACCTATATCGTGTTTGTGTGTTTGTTTCAAGTGCATTGGCATGCCTCCCGGCTGATTTAAAGGAAAAGTTGAACGAAACAGATGAAACAAGAAACAAGTTCCAGCTTTTGCATGAATCCGTTCAAACTGTTTCAACAACCGATGCATTGAAATATTCTTATGAAGAACATAAGAGGAAATCTGAAACCCCAAAGGAGAGCGCCGATCCCAGTTCGAATGCAACAACCAACATCCTCGGAAACTACCACATACAACTTCAGTCACTTCTCAGCTCATCTCCTCTACTTGAAAGTAATTTAAAACTAAACTAGCTAAATATTTATTTACCTTTGGGGAGGGGCTATAGTAAAAAGTTTTAAAAGAAAAAAAGCATGTGCTATCATGTTTCGAACATTTTTACATGTAACTATAAGCATTCGACACGGGGTTAAAATACTTTATTGGAGTTTAGAAGCAGCTATTACCAACACCATAAAAGTGAAGCTAGGAAAAGAATATAGGGGAGGGTTTGGTTCAATCCATCTTCATCTTTAATGGATAGTTTGGTTTCTCCTCAACAAAAGCTTCAAAATAGTTTTGATAGCCAGTATTGAGAGGCGAGCCGGTTAAGCTAGAAATCTTCAATCATTTCCATTGCTTGTCAAAATATGTATAATATGATGTTTTAGATTGAAAATAAATATTTGATGTGATATTTGAATATAAAATGACTGATTGGGCGCGATGTACCTGAAAGCCGAAGAAAAATTGCCTTGCCTTCTTGCTAACGCGAAGGCTTGGGTGAGATTAAGTTTCTCATACATCACACGCGGCTCATCAGGTTTGTTGAATAAATAGTAGTTTGTCACTATTGTATCAAAATTCAATGAAGTTCAACTAGTTGTCTGAAAGGAACTATTCGATGACTAGTTTTGATCGGCACAAAGGTTTCGAAGAATAAGAATGTTGAAAATAGTATATAATTAGCAAAGAAAGGATGACCCGACTGCATATTTCGGAGTTGTTATATTGTGTATTTTTACATAGAGTTGTTAAACGAATTGAACGACTTTGAGTACTTATTGTTCGAGCATCACACAAGATGTTATACTCGACTTACTTAGGATTCGAGGTAAAATAGCAGCTCAAGCTTGGATTGTAAGTTCAATCAAGTCAAACTTGACCCCGACTCATTTATATAAATAATAATTCTAGAGCTTGACTCGTTTATCTCTATAAACGAGTCGGGTTGAGCTGTTAATAATTAGGGTTGTGAGCCACTCAGTTTGTTTAACAATTTTATTTTTACACTATACATTCTATGATAAAATATTTTCACGTTACTTGGAATGCTAATTATCCCATGACATGACTTGTTCGTAGATCAACAGTGCCTCCTTCAGTCTTCCAAGATCCATTAATACGTTGCGATCACTCAATGCCTAAATACTGACATTGCTGTAACTAACAAGAAAATTTTGATCATAAATCTAACTATGGAGCTGCAAATGAATAGTAAGAAGTTGAGTATGCAATATGATGGTTTTTTAGAGGAAAAACATATTTGATGCAACGATAAATAGTGCCAAAAGTTAAAAAAAAAAAAAATGTCTACAAAATTCATGTGATTCATTGATTTGAATTGTGTAATGTGATTCTTTTATCAATTTGCGCAGTGAAGAATGGCCACCGAGCCGAAAGCAGAAGACAGACTGCAAACTGCTGACGACCTGCAGGACAGAAGCTCCGAAAATTCCGGGTGGGGATGGAAAATAGAAGAGCATTATCGCAGAATCAAAGAACACGCCGAAACTTATCCCTACGTGTGGGGTTCTTACATCCTAGTATATGGAGGGTTCCGGTTGTGGCTGACCTATAGATGGAGAAAGCTCCGCAGAACTGAAGACAATGTCCGAACTCTTCAAGCAAGACTGCACCAACTTATCGAAGAGGAAAATGCAACGAGCTCTGCGGCACTTCCAGAGAAGTCTACAAAGTCTTCTTTGTCGACAGATAAGCCTCTTGCAGATAAAGCTACTTAATAAGTTTTGGTTATGCTAAAACTTCTCAAGATTTATGTTTCACTTAAAATCTTATGCATATTCTGGAGGATTGAATAGAAGGGATTTCTTAGTTATAAATTGAAAATTATTTATATATACAAGCGATGGAGCAATCTTATGTGTAGGATTTCTTGGGGGCTTTTATATGTAGCGTAATTGTTTAGTTTCGGTGCCAAATATCGTTGGGATTTGAATGATCAGTGAGTTCACTCTTTGGTGCTCTTAATTGTTGCATTTGATCGAACGATTTGTTTGCTATTGCAGTGGAATTTTGTTTAAATTTGAGCAGGTCGAAGAAAATCGAGATGATCGAGGAACATCAAAAGACAGACTTGGAACTCAGACGTTGTCGAAGTGTTGCTCCGGTTGACGGGCGCGGAAATCGGCGGCGGTGGAAGAAGGGATTGGGTTTGAGAGGAGGAGGAAGATGAAGATAGAAGCCCAAAAATGAATAGTATGCTATACAAGACGAACTAGGAGTATAACTCCGAAAATAGTAACAAAAGCAGCAGACCTGGGGTAGACACGATTTTCATACAAGAAATTCAGCTCTATTTTTTCTCATCAAGATTATTTTTTGTATTTTGTATTTTAATTTCATATCTGTGGTTAGCCTGTTCATGAACTGGATTAGTTGTTGTGAGGTGAATGCCACATCTAGTCTACAAAAGTTAAGGTAAAGTAACCTTCCCATTAGTCTTTTATAGGTCGTAGCATCCGAGGTGGCCATATCATCATCAACTGAAAGTTTATCATAGATGTACTTTCCTTGAGACTGGACAATCCCAGCATCCACTAGCTTGAAAGAAGTTGGCTTCACCTAAATCTTTAATTATTAAAAAGTCATGCAGGTAGTAAGGTAGTCTTTAACATCTTGAGTCTGCTTGTGCTTGAGCGAGAATCATCCGAATAGATAGTGATCATGTGATGATTGAGTGAAGCCAAAGGAGGCCACTCCTGCTGTCAATGTCTTAGCCAAACCCTTAAGGCTTGTTTGATCCGTGAAGGGATTTCTTGAGCTTGCAAACCCGTCGAAAGATTGACGTCTATTTTCTGTATATTCCAGCCCCTTGTAACTACAGCTGCAAAAATGATCCTAACAGTCGCGCTTTTTGTGACAGGGGAAAACTTTCTTCAAAGTCTATGTTCATGGACTTGAGGTAACCTTTAGGTACTAATACGTGGTCGGACGATCTTAAGGTTTATGTTAGAATTTTGAGGGAAAAGACAGCTCAAATCGGACATTACATCACAGAAAACAGTTTGAAACCTATGAAGAGTAGTGCTACATAATTGATAGTGATGATTGTTGGATAGAATTCCCCCATACATGTTCAAGCAATATCCTAATTCAACTATACAAGGTCTCCAATCAATCAGTGGGCAGTTTTTAGAACAATTCTAACAAGTGGTGTAGTGTAGGCTATGAGGTACCTGATCAAAACTAACCCTGGAATCACTAAGCAGAGAACCTTAAAACTAGATTACACATTTATTATGGTTTCAACCAAGTGAAAATTCTCATCTTGTAGCCTACAAGCTCAACTCTTCTTTTCTCCATAAATTGAGGTCAAATATACCAACAATATCAAGCATTAGAGAAAGAACCACAGCTTAGCATTAGCAAACTAACTATGACTTTTAAAAGCAAAACTAAAAAAACTTAACACACCGTAATGCAAGAAATCCCAATGCACCTCCCACCGGACAAATGGCAGATCAATTCTCCATCGCATGCGCCTATTGTCAATTTCTTCTGGTTTAGGGTAACCTGAGAAAATGAAAGATATCTCCCTTTCAAAAAGCTATAATAGATAATATCATATTAAAGCATAAGTAGGAACAAAATCACGGTCCAGGAGAGTAGCTGCATTCTAACAACAGCAACTAAAACATCGGAATCGAATTCAGTACTAAATTAGGTGATGCATCTCTAAAATAGCTCAATCAAGCACAACCTACTGCTCTCTTTAACCTCCTGAATCCCAAAAACTATTTTCAAAGCAACACAATCACCGGCTTGAAAGATTATCACACACATACTAGTCATAATGATTCCAATATTGGGAACTAGATGGATTTTTTCCTTTAGATTTTCCATCTCTCTTATAACCATCTACATCATACTTTTCATTACCAAAATTGATATCAATATCAAACTCAAGTGGAGATCATAAATATCATACTCTGATTGGATCTAGCCACAGATACTAGTAGCCTTTCTGTTGCCTCAATCATCCAAAATTTAATATTTTTTATTTTTTTTCCCCTTGAACTTGACTTTACAATCTAAAATAATACAAAAAAAAAAAAAAAAAAAAGAGAAGGATTTAATTGGAAAAAAAAATGTCAAATTTCTGCAGCTACTTCAAAGATGCAGCAACAACCCAACGTGACAAACGACACAGTAGCAACAATGTGATGCAATTCCTTTCACTTTGTTCACAAGCATTTCATCGAACACCATAAGTGCAGAACGAGAATTCGAGCGTTACATTACATCTGAAATCTCCGTCCAGATTTCTAAACTTGTGTGACATATCTACAGCAACTTTGACGCAATAAAGAACAATTATTCAAATAAAAAATAATAAACATGCCGAAATTGCTCGAAAACTCACTCTTTTACCGCAAAAAGATTAAAAATGAATGAAAATGCTGGATTTAAAGAGATGGAGACAAATTTTGAGTTTACACATATACTCAATTAAACAAGGAAGAGGAAAGAGTGAGCCCAAGCAGCCGCCATTCGATGGTTCCAACCCCGAAACGCCCCTTTGTTTCGTCCAGAATAGCTTTCTTCCAACAGCAGATTCATTCGCAAGAACCGATGCCGTCTCGAATGATGCGTGAAATTGAAGAGAAATTAGAATGCAGAGTTTACATATCAAATCAATACACATCAAAATCTCCAAATATCGTTAGGGATTCGATCGTGGGCAAGAAGATAAAAAAAAAAAAAAAAAAAAAAAAAAAAAAAAAAAAAGTTTAAATTCGAACACGGGATCCGGCCTAAGTATAAACAATCTGGATAAATTATAATTAAGAAAGATGAATATGGTAGATCAATATCAAGAAGGCCATATCGAAATTGATCCAAAGCAACAAGTCCAAGCAAACTAAGAAGGATATAAAGTGTATATCATATGTTGGAATCGTAAAAAATGTGAACATTATCAAAGTTAGTGCAAAACACTGATCAAGAAAGACATGAAATACAATAATTCTGCCAATGCAACCATAATCGAGATAACGAATGTTTTAATTTTGAGAGTGAATCATCGTTTGGAATTGTAGGAGTTGGATTATGTTGCAACAATTTAGACATTATGGAATATTTAATTAGAGCAAATAGTAATGGCCTGCGTAAAGATGACTTGCTTTTTGAATTGAGGCTTTTTTTCAATCAAATAATAAAATAAAATTATACAATGATTTTATTACTGTGTTAGAATATGAAAATTAACAAATAAGCACCACATCAGCGGACTAAGGCATTTTTCCATATTTGCCATTGCAATTGCTCTTACACTATCAGAGATTTCGAAGAAATAGTCTATCCCGAGATGATAAGATAATATGAATCGACCGAAAAGGAGATGATTAGATCATCCATAGAATCACCTGTCCAAAAAAACAAACTCTATTCCTCCATCGCCACATACAAAATTTATGTACATACACCGTGTGTATGCATAAAATATTATTTTATACATATACACGTACTGTGTGTATGAAACAGGAGTTCCTAAGTGACATCAAGACTATTAAATTTAGTCTAATATTCAAACATAAAAAAAAAAAAAAATCAAAACTTTAAAATAACACGTTGAAAAATAACCACTATTTTTCGATTAGGAATTTATTTACAGCCCACTTGAAAAAATAAATCATTAAAATAAATAAATAAATAAAAGAAGAAGAAAGAAACGGTAATGGAAAGAGGATTGTGGACATGCATGTCCAAGGTCCGACAGCCCAACCACCAAATTAAAAAAGGGACTCTAAAAATCGAGGCAAAACTCAACAAACCATGATTCTTGGAAGGAGCCGGGAGCTCAAGTCCAACCTGAATACCCGTATTAGTGTAAATATTTTAAAAGGCAAGGTTGGGCTGGGCCGGGCCTCGCCAAGAATCCACTCATGTTTTCTTCCGACCTTACATGCGATCAGATAGATCTACGGATATTGAAGCACCTTTGTCCTAATTAGAAAAATATGTAACATATATATAGATACATATCTGCATGGCATGGGGATTCGATTAATTAACTATATACATATCCACAAATGAAGCATCTGTAAAACAATATATACACGACATATATTATATGTACATATATGGAGATTGGAGAACATATATACAAAGACACAGACAATACTAAATATATTTACAAACAATATATGGTATTTGTCGTTCTATTGGTAATGAAGATGGATGGATGGATGTAGGTAATTGATTAATTAGGTAGTCTCATCCCTGCTGGCCCTCGTCACCATCATCATCTTTTTTGTTGTTGTTGTTCTAGTAAGTAGCAGAAGAATTGCAGGAATTAGAGGAGCCCAGTTCCGATGATGATTCTTGATGGGTTTGGATGATCAGATCGTCGTTTCTGCCATTACCATTATCATCACCATTGGAGTTGGAGTTGGACAGCAGCAGCAGAATATCTGAAACAGCCTCGTAGCATAAATTCACTTCCTCCTGAACAATTACATTACATTAATGGAGTACACAAGAAGATGAAGAAGAAAATTAAATAAATGAAACAAGTTAGCTAATAATTAATTAATTACTTACCTTGTTGATGATTTGGAGCAGAGGGAGGAGCAGCTGATTCTCAATCTCATCATCACCATTGTGTCTGTGACGACGGATCACATGAAGCATTGTCGCAGCGGCCATCACAGACGCCGAGTAAACTCTCAATCTCGCATCTGCACATATATATATATATATGCATTGTTAAAGATATAGCCAAAATCTTTCGTGTGCAAATTTGAATTCGCCAAGTTTGGCCGGTCATTCACTGAATCAGAAACAAAATTAGAAACAGAACTCTCAATATAGTTAGAGTTGGAAACAGAACTCGTTCGCTCACAATGGAACTAGAGTTGAAAACAAGATTCACTCACTCTACAAAGCTAGAGTCGAAAACAGACTCGCTCGCTCAACGGAACTAGAGTTGAAAACAGGACTCGCTCACTCAATAGAGCTAGAGTTGAAAACAGGAGTCGCTCGCTCACAAAAGATCTAGTTGGAAACAGGACTCGCTCGAAAATATGACTCTCAACGGCGTTAGAGTCGAAAATAGACTCTGTAATTGGAATAGTAAAGACGGATAGAATCAAATATATCAATAAAATATAAAAATATATACGAGATATAACATGTCATGGATATACCCGGAGAAAATTTGATTCTCATATCATGTTAAAATATAATAAACTAAAATTCTTTATTTCAATTATAAGAATACATACATATTGATAACGAATCATCTAAATAAGTCTAAATAAGACAAGAGTGTTATAAATCTCTTAAAAAGATAATTATCATAAATATAATACTCCCTCGGTCCCGGAACAAGGATGACGTTTGTTTTTTGCAAGTAGATTTTTTAATATTAGTATTATAATGAATTGTAGTGAAAAGGACAAAAATACTCCTATTAGTACGGTGTAATATAAAAGTAATGACATTTGTGTAATATAATGTAAATTGAAAAGGTATTTATTATATTAGATAGGTAGTACAATTATTAAATTAAGAAATGATAACAAAAATAAAAAATGACAACTTTTGAATGATGAAGTATATTACTTGTAAATATACTTTTAACATACGTAATATAATTAGTGTTGATGATTATATATGTATATATATTAGCAGCAGCAGCACGTACCAGGGAGGAGTGAGAGGAGGAGATTCTGACAGGAGTTGAGGAAGGAGTAACAGTCCTGTCTTGGGAGTAGGATGTTGTGGATGAAGGAAAGAGGGGTGACAGGATTCATCATCCAGTCCAGGGACCTCAGCACCAGAAGCTCCATTCTTTGGATGCTACTGACCTTGAACGCCATGAAACTACTGTCATCTTCTTCTTGTTTAGAGAGTTGTTGGAGCAGAGGGGCGTGATGAGGCTCTTCAAGTTTAGCAGCCAAGGAGAGGCAAGCAACGGCTGCAAGCTGCATCATCCATGGGGACGACGACGACGATGATGATGATGGGGTGATGAGAATCAGATCATCCCTGTCGATGAGCCTGTCCAGATAGTTGACTGCGAGAAGGGCGGTGAGGGGAGAGAAGCCATGGAAGCAGCTCGCTCTCAGGATCCATTCCACACCTTGCTTTCTGATAATCCCTTTCCCTTTTGTCTGTGTCTGTGTCTGTGTCTGATGATGATACTGTTGCTCTTTCTTCAAGAGGAACTTGAGCTCCTCATCGTCGTCGTCGTCTACCACTGCATTCCCATTGTCATCGTCATCTTCTGTTGAGCTGCAGCTGCTTGTTATCTTGCTCATTTCTTCTTCTTCTTCGTTGCAGTAAAGGAAGGATGACGAGGAGCTCTCCAACTCCAATTCCAAATGGGTATGAGGCTGAGGGTATGCTTTCTGACCATTTTGGTCAATAGAAGCAATAGCAGCAGCAGCAGCCATATCTATCAAGCTTTAAGAGAAAAGGAGGAGTGAGAGAGAGAGACTAGGCGAGAGAATCCTCCTCCATTGTTATCTGCCTCAACTCAAGCTTTATTAATAAGACCGAGCAGAAAAATAGTGAGAGTTGAATTTTGGGGTTGGCCCCTTTCCCTTCACTTCACTCTGCAACCATCCCATTTTATGGCGTCTCTGTTTGGGAGATAGAGAGAGAGAGAGAGAGAGTAGGGGGCCTAAAGAAAGCTGCCTCTTATGGACCAAAGGATTTTCTTGGTCTTTTTTTCTTTTTTATTTTAATATTTTATCCCTCTCATAAAAACTTATCATTTTTTATTTTCGTTCATCTCAAAATAAAGTTATCATTTCATAATTTAGTAATTGTACTACCTACTTAATATAATAAATACCCTTTCAACTTACAATATATTACACAAATATCATTACTTTTATATTACATCGTACTAATAGAAGTATTTTTGTCTTTTTTACTAATATCTAATATAATACTAATATTTAAAAATCTACGTTCAAAATGCAAACATCATCCTTCTAACGGAACGGAGGGAGTATTATATTCATATTTATTTTTTAAATTTTAATACTCCCTCCGTCTCATAACAAAGTATCCATTTTTCTATTTTAGTCCGTCCCATAACAAAGTATTCATTTTCTTTTTTAAGTAACTGTACTATCTACCTAATATTACAAATACCCTTATAACTTACAACTTACAATATATTACACAAATGTCATTATCTTTGTATCACACATACTAATAAGGTTATTTTAGTCATTTATACTTTATTCCTACTATATCCCAATATAATACTAATATTTTTAAAATTACGTGCAAAAAGCAAATAGATACTTACTTCTGGGACGAAGGGAGCATTTCTTTTCTCCTATAATTATGTATCTCTTTGTTTTTTTAATTGAGTTTTAAAAATATTAATATTATATTGGGATGCAGTAGGAATAAATTAGAAATAACTAAAATAAGTAACGGCATTTATATAACTTGTAAGAGTATTTGTAATATTAGTAGATAGCAAGAGTTAATAAGTAAAATGAATAATTTGTTAACTTGTGATAGTTTGTGCACGAGAAAAATGAGAGAATAGGATAGGAATGTGTATAGATTATATGCTACTATTCTTTTTTATTTTTCTGGTTCTTGACATTGGAAGTGAACTTTTTTTAAAAAATAACTAAATAAAAAGATAGATAAAGGAAAATGGTCACCATATAAGCAGGACCATGAAATTGTCCACCATACAAGCATCTTTTTTTTTTTTTTTTTCAAATCCTATTTTAATGTTTCTTTAAGATTTAAAAATTAATTAATTAATTAATAGGGAGTAGACATGCACCAACCCCTCAAGCAAGTATTTTCTGCATTAATTCCTTGACTTGGTAGCGTAAAAATGGACTTCTAAAATTATAAATTCAAATATCAATCCGCTTGTCCGGCTACAATAATCTTGTTTACTATTTTTATCTGTGTCAATACAATCCTCATTTTCATAAATATTCATATCACTATTATTACAACAATATTACTATTTTTTACACTAATGCACTTATAAGGGCAATAAAGTGTTTTACTCATATTTTTTTACCAATTATCAATATAATATCAATATTCTTTAAATTTCGTGTCCAACCCAAATAAGACTATAGTTTTAAGACGGAGAGAGCATTACTTTTTTTATAAAATATTATATTATAATATTATTATTTTTTTAAAAAAAATTAAATTAATACTTCGTTGCCAATCACAACCAAACAAATATACATCTCAATAAATTTATATCATAATCCAAAATATAAGAACACAACCACTTACTGAATTAATATATATATATATATATATATCTATTTCCAATTTAATACTTATCAGTCAATTTTTTTATTTTTTTATTTTTTTATCATTTTTGTCTCAAGCTCAAAAGTATATATTCTTAATTATAATAAAAATATTTATTTATTTTTGTACTTTGGCATCAAATTCTACAATAACCTCAACACATAATTAAGCCTCATTTATCAAAAAGAAAAAAGGTATAATTGAGAAGATAATTAGTCCACCTATATTTACCTCTCACCTTCAAATCGAAATGCATAATTTTTGCCTCGAGATTTTGACTACACTTAAACCTTTTCATTAGGGGAAATTACTACAAACTTTATTTATGGTCACACCACCTTGTGAATTTTTCTTACAATAAAAAAAATGTAATTAATGATGTAATCCACATGTGACAGATATCTCTACATTATTTTCTCTCTGTCCGAAGGAAAGTGAAATAGAGACAAATAATCTTGGCATTATGTGTACTAGTGGGTGCAAGAATAGGAGAAACTTTTAGGGTGACAAAAACTGATTCGACACGAAAATTCGACACGATCCGATACAAAATAATTGAATTTGAGTCAAAGATTTTAATCCGATTATGTATACAGATTGACACGAACCCGACACGATAGTAACCGGATCGGATTAGAGTTGAGGCTCTCAACTCGAACGCGACACGACAACCCAATTATAATATATTAATATTGATTAATATATTTATTATATATGTAAAATAATCATAATTTAATAATTTTCTCATAAATTAATTTAAACTAAGTTTAATTTTAAATAATTTAACCTATACGCTCAAACCAATAAAAATTAACATAACACGACAACATACCAAAAAATTATTTAATTTGAATCAAGAAATTCGACTTAATTATGTAACAGGTCAACACGAGTCAACCCGAACCCGATACGATAATAAACGGGTCAGATTATGGTAGAATAATTTAACCCGTTTAAAGTATTTCATCCAACACGAATTGACCCAGACTGACTTTTGACCTTTGAAAAGCCATATATGGTGCCATCTTGTCTGCCCATCTTTGTGAGATAAAAATTAAATAAATAAATATGCATAATAAGTCAGTCAGACTGTAAGCCTAGTTATGTATGGCCTCTATTTATTACTATTACTCACATCTAATGAGCTAAACCAAAGTCACCAATGAAGAATGAATTAAGTATACATAAAATATGTTATAATTTGGTGATCATGTGATAAAGAAGATTTGTGCATTTGGGTGCCAACTAAATCCAGCTAAAAAAAAAAAAAATGTTTTTTGGTGATTAGACTAAATGAGCAGCTTTATGACAGATGTTATCCACCTTAATCATCAAATTAACAAACAACCAAAAAACAATTAACAAACAACCACACCCACTATTACATCATCATATATTGCTTAAAAAAAACTAAAGCAAAAAAAAAAAAAAAAAAAAAAAAAAGACAACAACACTATCTCAGAATGACAACACCCAAATTACACTACTATTCAATTTCATGTTTTTTTTTTTTCTTAAAATGGCCAATCATTTCTCTCACCACTTCTCCAATTCCAAATCTCACAATAGAATTTTCCTTTCATAGGCCCTATAGACCAGGGCCACATCATAGTACTTACATATATAGGTCATTCAACCTTAGGAGGTCCAGGGAGCTCCGGTTCAGATGCAAATCTTCTTGAGGTGAATGCATCCGGAGCGGAGCCCCCTGAGCCCCTAGCAAGAATCATAAATGAATGAGGATAATAGCTGTTGTTCACGGGAAAGGCAGGCCAGCACTCAATTATCATCATCAGCTACTGTTGGATCAAAAATATCGAAACATGCATATTTAATTTACTACCCACTGCAGTAATAATAATAATAATAACTCAGATAATAATTATTACTATTCTGTAAATGGACCACCGAATGAAACCTCACTTGTTACATCACAAAGGGTCGGACCAACAATGGAATCACTATACATCTCCCTATTCATTAAGAGAATTTCATTCAGACATTCAACAAATTTTTCTTCACAGATCGAATCGTATAAGATGAAAGAAATTCCTTAAAATATCATAATAATAGTAAAGAAACAAAATCTACAGGCAAATATACAATTTTGGTAATAAAAGAGTAACAAAAATATGTGTTCAAGAATCATCCAAGAAAACAGATACAATCAAAGAACAAAAAGTCCCAGGAAAAGGATAGAATATTACCAAGCATAATGCACAATACCGTGATAGGGGAATACCGATCGGGCCGAGTTTTCTCAAACCAACCTCAGTATGGTGGAGGATATGGAGCTGGAGGATAAGGCGGAGGATATGGACCTGAATGATAGGAACAATTTAGAGTTAAGAGATTATTTGGATTGATCATCAAATTGAAATTTTGATATACATAGACTTAGGGACTTGCCGGGAGGATAAGAGTGTGGATTCTGTGGGGAGGGATAGCCAGCAGGTGGCGGCGGATATGTTGTTGGAGGGTATGTCGGAGGATAAGCATCTGGTTGATTAGTGTAATGAGGTGGGGGATATCCTGCAGAAGTTGGAGGGTAGGTGGTATAAGTAGGTGGTGGTGGTGGATAGCTCGATGGAGGATATGATGATGGTGGAGGCGCCGAGTATGCAGGGGCGTGAGGATGAGGTGCTGTGGTGTTTGTATATGGTGGAGCTGATGGAGCATGGGTCTTTCCGGTTTTCTGGAAAAAAAAAAGTGTATTATGGATCGTAGTTCATAAATTTGATGTTTTTCATTATATGCTAACAATGAAGAATTTGTTAATAAGAAAAGATCAATCTAGCTTACGTTGGCATTAGCATTGGCGTTGGCATTAGGGTAGTGCATTATCAACCGAACTTCTCCAGCACTCCTAAAGAGCAAACACGCCAAAGTTAGCCCGATACCAATTTACAATTCACAAATAGGAAAATAAAAAGTAGAAATGAAATCCATGCGAAAGCTATTGTGTCGTAAAAGCACAGAAGATGATGGAAATTTCATCCATTTTCATCATCAGTAGTTTCTAAAAATAGGAGATTATTACAGTAACATTGTACACAATGAGATATTGGCCGGAAACTATCTACTTCCGAATTGAGAATGTGTACCCGGTTTCATGCTTGTGTATCAATCCTTAGTTTCTCACAATATTAGATTATTACATTAACCACGAGATATTTGTCAGTAACAATCTACTTCCGAATTGAGAATTGTACCCTGTTTCGTGCTTATATAGACATTGTTTCGAGCCTTACACTTCAGTCGCTCTCTAATTCAAAGTTCGAATAATTTCAAATGGCATATTACAACTGAACTCATTGTCAGGGAGCAGCTAAACAACATGAAAATCAACCATTAAGTAATGCAGTCCAACAAACTCTGCATCATTATTCTATAATGAGATTATAAATATGATCGTCTACAATTAATATCAATCCCATGGAATTAGCAAAAGAACTTGAACTTCAGAAACACGATCAATAGGAAATTTAGAATCCAATAGCATCAGTGATATCAACATTGAATTGAATTGAGTTCTTCGTACCTTCCTTTTTTGTCTTGAATAGGCCACGCGCTATCATCATAACCCTGAGATAGAACTTTCTGCAATTGAATCCTAAAACGCAACAAATTCAAGATCAAGGCTCCAGGCCAAAGAGGAAAAAGTAAATAGCAGACAATTTGAAAAGGAAATGCGATCTGTAAAGGGATAAATCATTACTTTCCGTTGCCAATGAAATCATCCAAAGTAATAGTATTACTGTTCCAAACTACAACTGATAGCTCCCTCAGCCCTTCGATCAACGGGAAAACGAATTTCTCCTGAAAAGTAGGGTTCCTCCCGCCATCTACACAAATTTCCCCCAAATTTCACCCCAAAAAACAAAAACCCTAATCAACACTAGCGCGCGCCATTGAATCAATTCATACGTACACACACATACGCAAGGAGTATCACCTGTGCAAGTCCGGGTACGGTGTTTGGTGCTCGCATATTCGAGACAAACGTAGGGATCCTGCCTCGAGATCCATTCGGTGTTCTTCAATTTGTTACACCCGACGACTGAGATCCGAGTGAAAAACCGCGCCAATCAATCCATCAGCATAATGCTAAAAATCACATCAACCAAAAGGAATGCAAGCAGAATCATGGATCGCTTACCAGTGACCTCGAGGACTTGTCCATGAATTCCCGAAATCGACATGGGTTGAAATGAGGCGTAGACTGCGAAAAGAGGAGGGAGGACTTTTGGCTGTAGGCTGGCGTCATGGAAATAGCTGACTTAAACCATCCGTATTTATGCGCAGTACTGCTCTGTTCAAGTCAATATTTATTGTAAAATTATTTAATTATTTATTATTATTTCGGGCAGCGTTTCAACAAATTTAAAACAATTATCATATTATACAGACAACTGACCATTCAAAGTTGATTTTGAAGATTTATAATTAGGCGGCTGGGATCGGATGGGAGCCTTTGACTTCGAAGTTATTCTAACGGTTATAAATATTTAAGAAATATAATTATTTCATTCACTTGCTAAGTATATAATTGAATTTTTTATTATTTAAACATAAAATATTTATTTTTTTTAATAAATATAAACTCAGCTGCATACCACAAATATTTTTATATTTATAATTATTTACATCTGTCATATTTATTTTGCACATCAAAACCATCATCACCTATAATAAAAATATAATATATATAGGTTGGACCGGCTGTTTATCTAGTGGGCATTTTCGGGCAGCGACTGCGAATTCCTACGTCATAAAAAAAAATATAATAATAAAAAAAATAAAAAATACAATATATATTAAACAAATATAAGTAATAAACTTTGAAATTATGGATGATATATTGTTAGTAATAGTGTAAAATTAAGCGTTGATCTAATGGTTTGTTGTTTTATTTGTATTTTAAATTATATTGTTTTTAGACCCTATAAAACACACGACTAAATATATTTTTTAAAAAATATCACTGATATTGACGTGGGCTAGACAAAAAGTTGAAGACAGTGGTCCGACAAAAATGTTAACTTGGGAGAAAAAGATAAAAGTCAAACTGACAGCACTTCGTCCGGAGGTTCGAATAGTGAAAAAAAATGAGAGAAGGTGAACGGAAAAGTAGAGACAGGGAGAAGTGGGTGCAATGTGTTTCATCGTTTCCATATTATAGGTGCATCATCCCCATTTTGGAAAGTAATTATTTGCAAACAATTTTTTATTTGTTTAGAATTATTTAATTCCGAATATATCCGAAGTAATTAATATAATTTTTTCTAATTGTTTTTTTTTTTTAAATTAAAGATCTTTATTTAATTTTTTTTAAAATTACCAAAACACTCCAATTAAACTCAACAGTTGAATTGTCAATCAAAATCATCTACGGATTTAAAAAATCAGGATGTTCCTTAATTTTGTATAACATCAAGAGGATACCAAATTTCGGTTTACATGGATAGACAGCAGAAACAAGAAAACACATACAGAACAAAAAAGAGAAAGATTAGAAATTTCGGATTCTTCTTTGTCAATAAGATCCATCTCAAGTGATGTCTATTCTTGTCATCTTTTATTTTCTTACCATAATAAGTGAGTAGTGTATTTTTATAGTACAAAACATTTTCAGGCGCACTGCAGAACCTCAGTTATCGAGAATAAAACTGTAACAAACAAATTACCATAACAGCCATAAATGAATGAATAAATTAAGGACACCAACACTGCTCAAGTACAAATTTACAGCATCACATATTCCATAACATAAACCACAAACACTGATAATACTTCAGCAATCCAAATAAAACACAACAGCTTTTCATGAAATCAATGCAATCCAAATTCAAATCCAAATCCAATCCAGCCGCACCTCCAGCAGATTTATAACTATTATTACATATATATATATACAGGTATGGTAATTTTACCTCAGGCTGAGGGCCGGTCAATCACTCTCATACTCCTCATCGTCTTCCCCGAATGAGAAGATTGACGCATCAGCAGCCACAGCCTTGAATTCACTCACCTCCCCTGCTGAGTCGGACATTCCTCCGGCACCTCCTTCCTTCTTTGGCTCTTTCGGCTGGGAAGGTGCAGTTCCCAGAGACACTTGCTCGGTTTTATGCGCCAGATTTTCAATTTGATTTGTGTTGTGTGATGTGGGGTTTGTTGCTGCACCAGGGTGTTGGGTGGGGACACCAGTTTGTGTAGACTTGGTGGATGCAGTTTCCCCAGTTTCATTGTCGGAGAATTCGTCATCCTTGTTGTCACTCGAGGTCTTTGCAGGAGTATTTGTAGCTGCACTTTCTGGAATCGAACTGGGATTGGGCGCAGAGGTTGTGCTTGTGGTAGAACTGTTGCCTGATTCAGTAGCAGTTGCCTCAGCTGCAGGGTGTGCTGCAGCAGTATTAGCATTGTGGTCTGCAAGCACAACTTCGACTTGGAAGCCTGGGGATGGTAATTTTCTCTGCACCAAAATCGTACAAGTTCATGAAAATCAGACAGTACGGGAAAAAGTAGTATTGGGGTTACAGATTCAATACGGTCGAGCAGCGCATTGCATTATTTTAGTCAATGAGCAGATAAGCCAAAACATTAAAAATGTAAGAATACCTTGTCGAACCCATCAATATCACTTGTGTTTAGGACTTTGCGGTTTTCGATCATTGTTGTATTCAACCAGCTGGGAATTCAAACAAAGCATAATAATAAGGAAATGCTATAAGGTGCTGAGACATTCGAATGTATGAGGAAAAGTTAAGGTGTAATAGTGATGTTTCACACCAATAGAAGTCGCCTTGACGATCATGGAAATGGACTTTGAAATCACCAGTAAGCTCCGTCAGTCCAGGTTCCCCGGGAAGAGCAAAGACCATAATCCCTTTCTTCGGTGCGCTGAACCAAAAATCTTCAGGCTGCAGAAAAAGGTAGATAGAATTATGTGGAAACAAACCAATCAAGTAGCATATTGTTTCATTCTTCCACACAACCAATTGTCAGCCATTACTTGCACATTTTATCACATGACTGATTGCCTAGATGGCTTGGTTATAGACATGCTTTACTGTAAATGCATGTAAACCGCGCTCGAACCAACTTACAAGCCAAAGAATAGCATATATCATACTTTCTGATATTCTTTATAGGGTAAAACACATATATGCAATGTGTTTTCACATAAATGAGAAATATTCTGTGCAGATTTAATTGAACAATACACTTGTATTCGGAAAAATAATGTGCACAGAATCCCACCATTTTGTCAGAATCTTGTACCCACATATTAAGATTATATGCACCATTTTGGTCAATCTGAACATATTATTCAATAAACTTTTACATATATATTGTACATGCAATTTACTCTTCTTTAGCTGGTAAGAAAACGATCATTAATGAGTAGCCAGGATTATTGCAAATTGTTTGGCAGAATTGCAGAAGTCTAGGGGTGCTAAAAACAATCGTGGTTCCTTAAACAAATTTTAGCTTGGTGAAAGACATGGTCATGGAGGATACATACAGATAAATCCTTGGTTCTTGGGTGCATTTTTGTTGAGAACAGTACACCTGTATAGCAGAAGGAAACAGTAAATGTACATTTTCTCATTAACAAATCAAAATTATTCCCACAATAAAAGAGCATATGAGAGAGAGATGGACCATTATGATCAGATACAGTAATGGAAGGCCTGATCCAGTAGGGGCATCTATGCAGCCGAAATCCTCTAAGCATGCACCTGAAATTTTATAATTAAACATAATTACAAAATATAAGAAAAACCTAGTATCCTCCTGCAACCGATGTCTCATCTGGAAACAAGCTCTATTATAATATTATATGTAGGCTGGTTTTCAGTGTAACACTTAAATTTCATTGGACTAGAATGCTTCGGATCCAAAAGCATTATTTCTAAATAGACATACCTTCGACCTGGTGGGTTTTCTCCATTGAAGTATGTCAAAATGCGCTCAAAATACTTGACATATCTCTACAGGAATAGGAAAAATAAACTTTAAAAGGTAAAGACAAGATCAGAACACTAATAATGTTGCTAATCATATAATCAAATAATATAACTCACTATCTGACTAGGTAGAACAAGCCCTTTCCCATCAATACACCTTTTCTGATTGTAATAATCAATTGATTCCTCAGCAGTGGGGAAAAACTACAACAATCAACGATACATAATTAGAATATAAAATAGGGATGTGTCTTCGAAAAAGGAACCCTGCAGTATGTCAAACTGTTCAAAATGATACAATTGTGATCAGTGTCACCTTCAGATACAAAAGAAGACTAGAAATCATCAATCCTGTTCTTGCCATTCCAGCTTTACAATGCACGACCACAACATTTTCAATATCTTCCTTGAGCCATGAATAGGCACTCATGCAGAACGAAACTATTAGCTGAATAGGTGGGCAATTATGATCATCAAAGGGAAAACAAGCCACCTGAAGCAAGGAAATAAAAAAGAAAAAGATCACATTGCAGTAATTATTTTACATACCAGCCAGCCAAAATATTACTCCAACAGTAATATTCACTCACATTAACCTTGCTCCGGATGATTTAGCTACTTAGAAACAAAGCCAAAACCCCACATCAATAGTTTCACCAATAGGTCACTCACACAGTAACTTTGATGGAAAAAACTGATTAAACTATTTCAAGTAATAGAATCAATTTAGATCAGGAAATTATTTAATGATTACTCTGAAATGCCTAAAACCAGTTGAATAAACCAAAAGAGCACCCTGGCCATTTAAATGTGAAAAATGAAACTAGTCGGGTGAAAATTGTTACAATTTTCACAAAGTCCTTCCAATTTAGTGGACCTAAGTGAGGCAATGTTTTCATAATGACAACAAAACCCAGTAGATCACTTTCCCCCGCACCCCCCTCCCCCCAGTTGTAAATTGCATGCGCAAGGCCAGTACTATAACTATTAAAAAAGCTATGAATATATGTTTATATGCATGAAATGTATATATTCAATTAATATTACACATTTTCAACAAACTAAAATGATCACTCAAGTAATATAATAAAAATATGTAATGTATAACTAATAAAATAAGTTTAACATACTAATAGAGAAACAAAAATAGTTTATATTAAAAACTGAAAAACGGCTGCAGGCTACCTTACCTGACAGAAGACTGCAGTGTGGTGGGAGTGTGAGTGGTTGGAGACAAAAGGAAGTGTAGGAGGCAAAAAAAAAAAGGAGATATGAAGAGCAGGAGGGCAAAGGGCAGCGTCTATGAATGGGAGATTATTAGGAAGAAACATAGTTGTAAATGGCGGGAGCATCACTGCGCATGGTGCTAGCAGCAACGGCACGCAGTATAACTTCTAATATATATTTATTATACATAACACATATATGCAATTAATAGAATACATTTTCAAAAAACAAACATACCATTTATGTATCTCATAATAAGACAGGTATAGAACATAAAACTAATAAATAACTTAATATACTCATAGGGAAACAATAAAATGTAGAAATAAAACCTGCCTTACCTGGTAAAAGACTGGCAGTACAGTGAGACGGAAGGAAATGTGAGATGCAAAAAGAATATGGAAAAAGAGGAGGGCAGAGGGCAGAGGGCAGTGGCTACGAGCCAGAGGAACTTAGGAAGAAAGATAAAGTGAAACTTTCCATATCCTTATTTAATAAAAAACATAGATAATTAATAAATGTTTGTTCACTATGCTTTTTTTTTCTTTCCATTCATTTTACTATTCAATACCTCAATTTTCCTCTCAAATATCACGTATAACAACTATTTTACTTTATAAACATCAAAACCAAAAACACATAAAAAGAACTGTGTATACAAACCCAAAAGCCATACTAATAAAAATAATAAATTATGTTGAAATCACGCCTTTGCCAAGCACCTGGCAATGGTGATTCTGGCATGGCTCTAGATGTGGCAGAGGCTGTGCCATGGCATGCCATTTGCAACTGTGGCAAAGAAAGATAATATAAACAATTTCCATAAAAACCTAATTAACTCTGATAAATAATCTAATGTGGCGCCTCTGGATGTTGCGCGCGTTGTTAGAAAATAGCACAGAGGCTGCACCATTTACAGCTACCCGCCCCCCCACAAAAAAAAAAAAAAAAAAGGAAGAAATAAAACACATTACTAGAATTTAAGAGAGAACAAGCCTGTAACAAAATGCAAATGACAATATGAAGTAAGAAACAGATAGTTACGTTCACAAGATAAGCACCCAATCATGCGGATCAACACAATAAGAAGGGAGTGAGAAAACACAAACCTTTCCCTCAAACAAAGATGCATCATATAATCTTTCTGAACAGAGATTATACACTTTGTACTTTCCCTGCATAATGGAATTGAATCTGATGTGAAAAGGCTGTTCAATGTAATTTTATATTCTGAAGGATGAAGATGTACTGCAATGCACTCTAACTTTATAAGCTAAAGCTGATAACTACAAGATGCAGTGGTCATGGTTTTATCTAGGTAGAACTGAAATCAACAGTTGTGCTGAGTCATTACCTTGTGATATGTCTCAAAGAACTTAATAACTTCCTCCATATGGTTCCGATAGAACCCCTGAACCACAATCATTGCGATGTGATTAGCATTATTCAACAAAGATCCACAGGTTAAGTTTCAGTAAATTGATTATACCTCAACATAGCCAAAGAAACCAGAGCTCATATCACCAGCAGGGAAACCCATGGCAATAATATTCTCTGTGATGTAGGTCATATCCAAATCGAATCCTCCTTCCTACAGTTTATCAATACATATGTCAAATTCACACCAAATTATTAAAAATATTCCGCAAAATGCAATGTCAAATGTATGCACAGTATTTTGAAAGACAGAAAACAAATCAGGCAATGCCAACACTTTCCATATTACAAAATTAATAAATTTTCGAGGCTTTAAAAGCACTTGAGCTTCTGTGCGAGTTAAATAGTATGAAGTATGAACCTATAATAATCAAGGTAACATATGCGACAAAATAAATAGGCCACCTGATATCTTCGCTTATTTTGAGAGACAACATGACGCGCTTTGACCTGCACTGCCTTTACTGCATTCTTAGATGAGTCAACTAACCCTTTTGTGATGGTCCCAATGAAACCTGATTGCGTAGTTGGGGAGGGTTCACCAGAGCTTTCTTCCCCTCGAGGAGATTTGGGAGACGAACGTAATCCAAACCCACTAGTGAGGCGTGAAAAAGTTGATTTCCCAGAGTTTTCAGATGGTGATACTTCCTGTGATCCCACAAATGGCTGGGGAATTTTCAGATTCTTTGCCCAAGTGGAGATGCCAGAAGCAGAGAATTTCGAGTTTGCATCATTTTCAGAATTATTGGGTGTAGATTCCATAGAAGAAGATGTTTTCAAAACTGCAGCACTGATGTCATGCAGGGTTAATCCGAAGATCCCATGTTAACATTCCAAGAAAAGGTCCTCCACAGCATCCAATAGGGCTATCGAATCCTGCCAAAACAATTAACTGTTGTAGAAATCTCTCAGAAGACTGAAAAATATTATAATATGTACCCAACAACAGAATTATCTGATGAATCTGTTAAGATTCACCAAGGTCTCATAGAAGAAACAAAATCCACAGTGACATCATCGTGCAAATGACAATCACTTATGTAAAAGCGGCAAATCATTTATGTACAAACGACCTCACCTAATAGCACTTCACAATTACCGGAATTGTATCAATTCGCAACTGAACTAACTAAGCTAGTTTTAAAATATGCACACTATGCGAGTCAATACAATTATGAATTCACAGAACTTAAAGTTTTAAAAAAATGGGTTTGTTCATTTTGTTTTTCTCAATGGCACAATTTTCAATAAATATTACTCCATCAGCCATTCAAAGTTTTGGTCACTTTCCTTTTTTGATTGCCATAAAAAGTATTTTTGTTTTACTTTTTACTAAAATACACCACTTCTTCTTTACTATAAAAGAACCAAAATTTCTATTTTTACCTACTTTTTAAAAAAATACATTATATACACACATTAACACACTATATATAATATATACTCGTTATCCACTCACAAAAAAATCAATAATTCAACACAAAATATTATTTTTATGTTAACGACACAATTCTACGTGCCTAACATAAAAAATACAATACACCCAACAACACAAAGTGAATACACCCAATGTGTTTTTCTATTGAAAATATAAATGGACAAAGCCAATATTCAGCTTGAAATCAATAACACAAATATATCATCAAATGCTGAGCAGTTTTTCTATTAACCTTCACAAAAATCAACCGGCACTATTCCCATAAAACCTGTCTCTACAAAGCAACACCCCAAATGTACATAACACACCCCATTTCTAGGGGGTACAGTATGCCCAATAGATTTCAACCGAATAGAACCTATTCCCATAATATCATGAGCTTGAAGTAAGCCAAAATGGGATTCGTGATGCCTCATGTCCATCAAAATGATACAAGAAATTTTGAGGAAATAAACGAAAACTAAAGATTACTGGCAGTCACAACCCGAAATTCAAAATTATTATTATTAAAACTACGAACGGAATCTAAGTACATCTCCCAAAATTAAGAAAACAACTCAAAGAAAAATTAAGAAACCAACTAAAAGAATTGGTAAGTCTCCGTCATAACACCAAATATTGTAGTTCAAATTTGATTTCCTCGATTGCTCAGAGAGAACCTTTCAACGATCCAAAGCATCGATCACTTCCGAAGCGGGAGTAAAACTATGAGGATTTTTGGGGCTTTTGACTACTTATCGGAGAAAAATCGAATAGCAGTGGCTGCTTAACAGTACCTGGGTCGACGGATTCTAGCGGCGCCTGGCGGCGGCGATTACGGGGGTTTCGCAAAACGACGTCGAAGTGCTCTTAGACTTGTTGTGGAGATCGTATCGCACAAGACAGTATTTCCCGTGGCGTTTTGAAATCGCTATTTCATGCTAGCGATATCAGATTCCTGCAGCATATGTCCAGCGATTTTGGAGTTGAGGTCCAGCCGTTCGAAAATTAATAACAGGAAATTTATGGTTTGAAGTTCGATTAAGTTATAATATACTATATATATATATAATTTTTTAAAATATAAGAAGGTATATTTAATATAGTTATTATTTTATAAATAATATTTTTTATAAAATAAAAAATATTTACATAATTAATATAAATTATTCTTTATAAAATATAATTCTTTTTAAATATATATACATAAATATATTTATTTATTTAGGAAGGTAATAGAAATAAAATATTACAATTTGGTCCTACTTTAAATTTTTTTGAGGAAATAAGATATGATGTCATATTTTAATAATTGTTAAATCTAATTAATTGTCGGTTGGTCCAATGTGATAGATTCCTATATATATATATATATATATGAAAATTAATCCTCTTTTAAAAAATTAAACGCATTTTGAGTCGAACTTCTATTTAGTAACAATATGTTATAATTATCTCAATATCTGAAATTGCAAGGACGCAGTTTGCTTGATGTTTTAAGACTACTTCACATGTCTAAAATATGAAAATTTTCTCCCATCAATGCATCTTTGAAAAATCTAAAATAAATATTAAATGCATGAAGATCACAACAATACAATACTGAATTATTCAACCTGAGTATCACCTATTCAAATGCGAATACAATTATGGATATTCTACTTGAATTGACTTTAGATTATCAGGCTAATTTAAATATCGGTACCAAAATATTCAATCAATCTAACAATCACAAACGTTATTATGACAAATATTGATAATAAAAAAGAACTTTTATAAAGAAAATTAAAAATATCCAAAACAAAATAACCAAAACATTATCACCCTTCAAACTAGAAAAGTATCTACTTCATAATCAAATAACAAAGAACAAAACAGAAAAATAAAGTCATAGTGGGAGGGAAAAATCTTCTCTGTCGATTTGCTCTTGCGCGATCTATGAGTCTGTCAGTCTTCTGCTCTTGTGCGTATACCGTTCTCCCCCTCTCTTCTGCGTGTCTCCACCTCATTCTATTTATTTTTGCCCTGATTATTTTATAGTTGGGCTTTTGGGCATTTAATTAAATTCTCATGTCAAGAGGGTGTAATTAGTCATGACTATGACTAACTATGTTGTCCAATGCGATTTCTAAGTATCAGTGGGACAATATCATCATGTTTAGGCATGTTTCTTGCATGCATATGCACATATTATTCAAAGTAATGCGAATAGAAAAAAACCATCTTGTTCAGATTGTTTCACATGAGAAATATGTAGACATCCCGAGAAGGTAACATCTCGAGAAATAAGTAGAAGATTTGACACATAATCCCAACATCGATAACCTTTGTGTTCTACCCCATTCCAAAGGAATCAACACAGACGGTTACGTGGCTGTAATTTGTTTTGTTCATGAAGAGAGAGATGAACAAAGTTGACACAACAAAAAAGGTGAAGATGAGAGTAATCAGGTACTTGGCGGAAGAACTCTCATAAGATGTGGTATCCTAAAGGACAAAGAGGGTAAACAATTAATATTATAAACAGCAATAAGAACAGTCTCACTTCCAAAACCAATTTGGACAAGAGGCAGATAATAACATGACTCGAATAGTATCTAAAATATGACGATACTTGCGCTCTGCCCTACCATCTTGTTGAAAAGTGTATGGACAAGAACGTTGGACAAGAGTACCCTGCGTAAACAGAAAACGAAGAAGGACAAAATTATTATATTCGAGGGCATTTTAAGTGCGAAGAGTTTGAATAGGACACGAGAACTGAGTTTGCATCATTTTAACGAAAGCAGAGTAAATGAAGGCAAGTTCAGACCGGTTTCGCATAAAATAAATCTAAGTAAATCGAGAGTAATCATTAATAAAAAGTAGAAAGTAACAAAACCCAGTAAGAGTAGCAACATGAGAGGGGCCCCAAATGTCAGAATGTACTAACAAAAATGGCTTATTAGCGATAGATAAATTATTAAAAAAAAAGGTAAATCTGGTTGTTTCCCAAGTTTACAATGCAAACAATCAAAATACACACAAAAAAGGAAATTGGACCTAAAACACCTGTGTGGGTAAGAGACTTTAGTTTAAATAGGAAGGCATGACCAAGTCTGAAGTGTCAGTGATAGGAAGATGAAGAAGAAACCACAGCGGAAAGGGATGGTGTCTGGAAATGGCGAAGTTAGTCAAGCTCAAACAAGCGGTCTATCTTGCGACCCGTTCCAAGTATCTGACCATCTGCATGTCTTGAACCTGCACACCAGAAGAGAAAATTACAGTAAGACACTGTTTAACCAACTGACCGAAAGACGTAAGGTTTAAAGCTAATATAGGAATGACATAAACATCATCAAGGTGAGGGAACAAGATATGTCCAGTATGAGTAATGCGCATGGAGGTACCACAGGCAGTAAGTATAGGATGGGATGAGGTGAAAAATTGAGAAAAATGTAAAAGACGATGATCAGGTGTCATCTGATTACAACAGACAGAATCAATATACCATGTGTTGTTACCTGATGTTGAGGCTAAAGAAGGGTGGACCGATGGAACCTGGGTGAGCATGTGACGAAGGTCCTCAAGAGTGGGAGGCGGCTGAGGCGATTGTGATGCACTAGTGGTAGCAACAATGGCAAATGAAGAGCTAGAAGAAGAAGGCTGACCAGCCTTGGGATTCTTGGGATAATACAGACAGATGTGGCCCTTCTGATGACAGGAGCGACACTCAACCTTAGGGCAGTGAATAAAAAAATGATCAACATTCGGGCAACTACAACATTTATCATACCGTGGTGATCGGGCATCCTTGCGAGTGTCTAGGTGAAGAAGAGTAAAAGAGGAAACTGCCAAAGCCGAATCAAGGGTAGGAGCTTTGAGCATCTTGAGACGGGTGCCCTCAAACAAAATATTCTTCATCATTGTCTCTAAGGAAGACGAGGGATGGCGATGAAGCAAAAAGGACGCACAGACTCATATTCTGGGCCAAACTTTATTAATAGTTAAATTAACCGAAAGTGCTCAATCTGTATATGCGCTTCATCAATGCGATCTCACATAAACTGTATAGTAGAAAGAAACTCATTCATATCCTGGCTTGAGTCATGTGTCAGTGCATTCAATGACCCGTGGCTTGATATCGAACTGCAAATAGTCCCAAGCTTTCTTAGCAATATCCATGCGGCAAAGTTGAATTTGAATGGACTTAGAGAAGGTATTGCAAATACAAGTAAAAAATAATGTAATTCTTACTATCCCACTCATCCAAGACATTCTGATAATTCATGAGCTCCTTATTGGTGAGGGGCACCTCAGAGGTGATAGCAGGAGCAACCGGTGCAGTAAATGTCGCAAGTAACATTGCGCCATAACCTATTACCAATCAAGAAGCTTTTCATGGATTCAGCCCACAAATCATAATTATCACCATACAGAAGAACAGTAACCCCAAAAGCATCCACACGATCCATATTAAAAACCATACTTAAAGTGAGAAGATAAAAAATAGTATAGCGTGCAAAAGGATTGTGTAGAAAATCAGACTGAGCAAGCCAAACCAGTAACAGTCCCAAAATAAATTTGAATCATATGACAAAACCGACCATACCAGGATATCACAAATTGAAGCAGGAGGCGGAGGTCGGAAACCGCCGGACGCGCCTTCACGAGTGGCAAGAAGGCGACGGCGCTGGGATGGGTCCGATGTCAGATGAGCAGAATGACCGTCTAACCTAAAAGTTCATGCTACTAGAGAAACACATCATTAATATATTTATCTGCAAACGGAAGCCCCTAACACGCTCTCTTAGTGCAAGTAAAGGTATGCGAAATTTGCACATGCATATGTTGCAAATGAGAATGGTAGAACACGAATTCGAGACCTAACTTAAGCGCTGATACCATATTGAAATATTTGCAGCGAACTCGAAATCTAACTTAAGCTCTGATACCAAATATTTGCAGAAAATAAAAATTGTATTATTAATAAAAAAAGAATTACAATATTAATATATATAGGCCCAAATTACTATATACAAAAATATGCTACCCATATATTTTTATTAAAATAGTATGGTTTAAAGGCTACATATATTAAAAGCAAATATGTACTCCCTTCGTCCCATAACAAAGTATTTATTTTTCCATTTTAGTCTGTTCTATAACAAAATATCCATTTTTTTTTAGTAACTGTACTATCTACCTAACATTACAAATACCTTACAACTTACAATATATTACACAAATGTTATTATCTTTATATAACACATACTAATAAGGTTATTTTAGTCATTTATACTTTATTTCTACTATATTCCAATATAACTAATATTTCTAAAATTACGTGCAAAAAGTAAATGAATATTTAGTTTTGGGACGGAAGGGAGAATAAAATTATGACAACAATGAATGTGTGTGTACGATGACAAACAAGTTGCAATGACGTTTAGGGCATTCAACCTTGGAATTTTCATCATTACCCCACTTCACCATGTGATAATGTTTGTGTATTAATACGATAAAAAAACAGCGCAGCACAACATATGAAATAATTGTAAACAAACAAACCTTAGAAATTATGGGACTCTCTACTAGTGGCAGAGTCGGAGACAATTTTGTGCATGATGGAATTTTCTTAATATATAATCATTTAAAAGTTATATAGTAGAATCTAAATTTTTTAATAAAAAAATTGCAAACAAATTTTCATTATTTTATTTTTTCAGACATGTCTTCACATTTTGAATGTTTAAACTAAAATTTTTAAATTATAAATATTTTTATTAATTTTTTAAAAATAACTCATTATTTAAATTTCAAAAAATTATACAAATACTATATAATAAAAATTTTAAAATAATTGGGGGCAACACCACTGATGTTAACACCACTGCTTTTCCACAAAATAATCCAAACAATAAGCTGTCATAATTCTTCCTTTCAATTTCTTGCAAGCTCCGGGCCTTCGTAGCGCTAGAATGAATTCACGTAGATCTGACAGAAATTGATATGATAAATAATTCAATATGAACTCAACATAAAATAATTAAATTAGAGTCAATGATTTTAATCTGATTATATATACAGAGGTTTATACAATTTCGACACCATAATAAACAAATCGATTTATAATTGATATTCTTGTCTCGAACTCGACACGATAATCCGAATATAATATATTAATATTAATTAATATATTTATTATATATATATAAAATAATTTTAGTTTGATAATTATTCAATATATTAATTTAAACTAAGTCTAATTGTAATAATTTAATATAATACATTATACATATTACCCTAAAATCAATAAAAATTCATATAACACAAAAATTCGACAAAAATAACTGGATTTGAAAATAGAGTATTTTGATCCAACTATATATAGAATCAACACGAACTCGACGTGATAATAAACGAATCGAATTATAATTTAATAATTTAATTCATTTAAAATATTCAAATTGAATCTAAATCCACGTTCTTCACGGCTTGACTCCTCTGTAGAAATATTTCAGATTCGTCAACTGGCTCTGAAGTCCTGGATCTTCCAATAAATTATCCAAAAGCTCCCGTGACCACCACTTTTCGATAGTAGGACCGAAGGATTTGTTTGTTTATCTTTTTTTTTTTCTTTTTTTTTTTTTTTAAATAAATACTATATTTATTTATTTTTTATGTTGATTTTTTAATATTAATTATTATTAAAATATAATAAAAATCCAAATCATATTTGGCAAGACATATGTGACTTAAACATTGGGGGTTTGAACCCATAACACGGTCACACTTCAACTCCCACACTATCCGAGCTCCCTTACAGGACTATAATAATTTTTAATATATACCAACTTGGAGGATGATTGAAATTGAATTTTAACTTTGAATAATGAGATATTATTTAATTTTAAAGTAGATGTGATATAATTTATATTTGATTAAAAATAAAATTGAATTTTTTTAAAAAATATTTTTTAGAAAATTACTATATTTTTACTGATAAATTATATTTAATTTTAATGTTATCTTGTATTCCCTCTGTCTCAAATAATATTTTTTTTGGCATGTGCCAAACACTTTTGCAATATTTTTAAAGTAAAAAATAATTAATTATACTTAATCTCTATTTCACAATTTATCTCCTCACATAGAGGAACCATGTGTGGCAGGTGGAGCTGAGGGGTCGGGGGTTTGAATCCATGACCTCATGGTTACGAATCCAATCCCTACACCACCGGACCATCCCTTAATGACAAGGGAGTAATATTTTTTAATTTATGTAAAAATTGTTCCATAAGTCTGTTTTTTTATAATTTTTTTTTTCAAATTTTACTATTCGGACGATATATCTTCCAAGAAAATACACTTTTTTTTTTTTTTTTTTCTGTAATTAAATTCTATAAAAATAGCTATGACAGAATGAGAGAGCGAAATTCAACACAATCATGTTGATGACCATCTCTTCCAATTCTGGTCTTCCCAAATTCCTCCCCACCCTAATCCCCACATTATTATTATTATTATTACCATTATTTTTTCATACAACATATTCCCAAACCACCAACTACACCCAATCAAGACAGGCCCTCGAAATCATCATCGGCGGCGGCGGAGATCCTACATCGCCGCCGCCCGATTGCCCGCCGCCGCCGCCGCAGCCGGAACCACTAATATTCGAAAGCAAACGCATAGAACAAGCGTACTACGTCATTCAGAGATTCAAGAAGAAGATCACGTGCGACCCCAAAGGCATCAAGGCCACGTGGCAGGGCCCCGACGTCTGCCGTAACTACAAAGGCTTCTTCTGCGACACCCTCCTGTCCACCCGCGAAAAAACCCTCGCCGGCGTCACCTTCAACGGCTACAATTTCGACGGCCCAGATCTCTCCATCGATGGCTTCATCGACGGCCTGCAGGACATCATCGTCTTCCACGCAAACTCCAACGGCTTCAAGGGCAGAATCCCGACGAATATTCGGAAACTGCAGTCGTTGTTCGAACTCGACCTCAGCAACAACAACTACACCGGCGGGTTTCCGTACGAGATCCTCGGCGCCAGCAATCTGACCTTCCTCGACCTCCGGTTCAACCGGTTTTCCGGTTCGGTCCCGGTCCAGGTATTCACCCTCGACCTAGACGTCCTCTTCATTAACAACAATCTGTTCTTCCAGAACCTTCCTTCGGAGCTCGGCTCCTCGCCGGCGCTGTACATTTCACTGGCCAACAATGGCTTCACCGGCCAGATTCCGGCGAGCATCGGCCGCGCCGGAGATACGTTGCTGGAGATTCTCCTTTTGAACAACCGGCTTTCCGGCTGCTTGCCGTGCGAGATCGGGAACTTGCGTAAGCTGACGCTTTTCGACGCCACCCGGAATTTTCTTACCGGCCCGATTCCGGCGTCGTTCGCGTGTCTGGGGGAGATGCAGTATCTTAACCTGGGGAAGAATGAGCTGTACGGTCCGGTGCCGGAGATGGTCTGCAAGCTGCCGAATTTGAGTAGTTTGACGCTGTCGGAGAATTACTTTACGCAGGTCGGGCCGGAGTGTCGGAAACTGATAGAGAAGAGGGTGTTGCACGTGGACAGGAATTGTATCGCCGGTCTGCCCGGGCAGAGGTCGCCGGCGGAGTGCTGGGCTTTCTTTAGAAGGGCGAAGCGGTGCGCCGACGGGAGATGGTTCCACTGGATGCCGTGCGGCGGGCAGAAAGGTCACCATCCACCACCGGTAAGGCCACCGCTACCGCCGCCGCGGGGCCACCGCCCACCACCATCGCCGCGGGCTTACAGGGCTTTGGATCCTTATGGGCTGTAATGAATAAATAAATAAATAATAATAATAATAATAATAATAATAATAATAATAATAATAATGTGATTATTTAATTAAGTAATTTGTAAGAGTGTGTTTGTTTGACAATTTTTTCTAAATATGCTATTCATCAATTTTTTTTGTTTTTCTTCCGAAAAATCAAATCAAAATCTTTTTTTTTTTTAATGAAAATTATAGGGTAGAATAGTGATAAATTAAGCTTTTTTTATTAAAAGTAATAATGGAATTTATTATCATAAGGAGCTGTGAGGATAGACTCGTAACTTTAAATTCACCAGTCTTCGGATTTTACCTGCTATATTTGGTTCACAAAATGTTTTTTTTTTTTTTATAGAGCATTTGAAAAAATAGCAACCACAAATTTTCACGTTATTAAAAAAATTAAAAAAATAATGGAGTTTATTATCATGAGGAGGCAAATAGTCGATTGTCCTTATCCACCATATTGATACCCTTAGAATCAATTATAATTTTTTTTTTCATATACACAAAATAAATTAGAACACATTTTTCGAATAACATTATAAAAAATTTACAATATATTAGCACACGAAAACAAATAATAATAATAATAATAATAATAATAAACAATTAACAACACTCCTTTTTACATCACCTAAAAACTTGTTTGTTCTTAATAACAAAAGTACTTAAAAACTAAATACATTGAACACATTTTTTTTTTTTATATTATAATACATCCTCAGTTTCTTAACGATTTATCTATTTTTTTTTTTTATTTTGGTCCATCTTATAATAAAGTATCAATATCTTTTTTTAAGTAATTGTACTATCTATCTAACATTACAAATATCATTCTAATTACAATTTATTATCCAAATGTCATTACTTTTATATCATACAATACTAATAGGGTTAATTTAGCCATTTTACTTTTATTTTTACTTTATCCTAATATAATATTAATATTTTTAAAACCCAGAGAAAAAATAAATGGATATATAGATATAGGACAGAGGAAACGGAGGGAGTATATTATTTTTATTTTTTTCTTTAATTAATTACTTTGCCTATTCAACTCAGATTGCTGTCGGCAATTAAACATGTTCGATCTAATTTTTTTTGTCTTTACAGCTCATCGTCTTCTTTTTCGTCGCTGCAAATCGTTCTCTTCAATCAAAATCAACGGTCTTTCGTAGTTTTTGTTTTCATTCCAATTTCTTATCTTCATTACATTTTGAAGATTTGTGTGGATTTTTGCTGTCCGTACAAATTTTTTTCCCTAAAAATATCAAATTAAAAATTCATTTTTTATTTTTCTTTATATTATATTAAAATTCAATTTTATATTCAAAATATCACATCAATACATATTTATATCACATCATACAACTATTCAAATTTAAAATTTTTACTATTTAAATCTCAATCCAAAATTTAAACACACAAACAAACACACCCTAAGAATTTCATTGTCATCTTTTTCTCACATTAATCTATTTCTGGCTATTTCTTATTCATCTATTTCTGGCCACTAAGTAATTATTTAATAATTGGCACCATAAGTGATTGCTTGGTGGTGTAGGGGTTGGACTTGTGACCATGAGGTCACAAGTTCAAACCTCCGACGTCTCAGGTCACCTGCCACACATGGTTTGCCTAGTGTGACTTTTCCATCGAATCTGGTTTGCAGGATATTAAGTTCGGCCCCCTGCGGATTTCCATGTCATCTAAAAAAAAAATTATAAACTAGTGACCGAGCCTGTGCATTCCACTATTTGTATAATTTTTTTAAGACTTATATTATATAAATAATTTATTATATTGAAAAAGATACAAATATTGTCATATAATTGGCATATTTGCTTATATTGTTTATCAAATATATTTTGTAGTAATAGTTCAAGATTATAAATTGGCATAGGTCTATTTTATTTGAAACACATTGTCTTTCTACTTTTTAATCAAGCTAATTTTTGTAGAGCTCTCTCACTATCCATTTATGTATATAATGAACATTATTTTAGATATACACCTATATAACAAAATACACAAAAAATAAATGATACTCTCTCCGTCCTAAACACCCTGCAATATTTATTTTTTTGTTTGTCCCAAAGTCACTGCAACATTTTCAAATTTAGAAATAATTAATAATATTTTCATACATATATTAATATATATTTCACTTTATCCCATCATGTCAGTCAAATAAAAAAAACAAATAATCGTTTCTCTCTCCAATCACATCACTTGATATCCAAATTATCTCAAATTACCATACTTAGTACTTACCACCTAAATTCCCGTGCCAAACACAAATATTGCATGATGTTTAGGATGGAGGGAATATTATTTTGCGCGCGCACACACACACACAAAAGAAGAAGAAAATATACAAAACTAATAATATAGTAGATAAGAAATTCGAAATAAATAACTTCTAGTAATGAAAAAGAAAAAAAAATAAATGTTGTATAACTTTTAACAAATGTAAGACACAAAATTGTCAAAAATATAATGAAATTTAAAAAAATACGGATATAAGAAATGTAATACGAAATAATGGAATTTATAACGTTAAATGAAAATTTGAAAAAAATTAAAAAAAATTAAGTATAATTTTCTGTTGTGGAATGCGATGATTCTTTGATTCTTGTCATCAGGTGTGTAATGGAAGAGCTTTTCGAAAGATTCAGTGTATTTTATTGTTTTTTGGCTATGTAATTAGAAAATTCTTTATTCTTGCCATCGGATATGTAATAGAGGAGGAAATATAATGCTAAGTGCAACGTTTGATAGAAATATATAACAAATTATGTTTAGAAAATATAGTAATTCAATTTTAATTTACCTACGGATATAATAAAAATTTGTGTTAGGAAAACTCCATTTACAAACCCACGTTTAAGTCACTCATAATTACGAATATAATCACTAACAACTAACTTAACCCGAGTGTATTAGTATACTTTTTTCAGATTAAAAGACAAACAATCTTAATCGATGTAAAAATTCGAGAAAGAGAGAGAAAAAATAGGATAGAAAATTTGATATCCAATTTAATTAATTAAGAACCTCAAGATTTTATCTTGAACCCAAAATCCTATGTAATACCCCGTAAAATAAATGTCCGAAGTTTATCGAAACTTGCTAGAGTTTGAACCGAAGTTCAATAATTTCTTTTGAACTAATTTTATTTTGAACTTTGATGTAAAAAAAAATAATTTTGAGTTTGAATTTTGGGGGTGATTTGGATGTTGGGTCATATTGGCCCAAGAGGATAATAACAAAAAAATGAAGCTCATATCTATTAATTAAACAAAAGTGATCCTCTTCTTCCTTTGAAATTTTTTCACTAAGTCTTATTCTCATGGTCTCTTTTTCTAAGCTATTTGAGATTAATCTTAGTTAAATAATATATTATATATTTCAGACCAATTTGTTGGTTCCATATGATATATATATTTAAATTATTTCAAAGAAATTTTTTCTAAAAATGTTACATTTTACTATTTTTTCTTTACAAAGCTTATTAGAATATTTCATTAGAGTTTATATCGAAATTATTATGGTGATTTAAGTGGAAAAATGAAGGATTTGTAAAGTGAGTGAGAAATTCTAATTTTATTGTAACCTAGTTTTTGGCTTTTCTTAAAAAAAAATTGTAATTACCTTTAATATTATAATTTTTTAGGTTAAATTATGTCTTTTTAAGGATTTGGATGTTTTATTGAACTTGAGGGATTTTAATATGTTTCCTTTTTATTTTAATTGTTAATGAAAAGTATTTAATGAATAAATTTGAAAGTCTTCGTTTACCTTTTTCTTATGTATAAAACATGATTATTTGATGAATGATTTTATTGACTAATTGGTTCAATATTTGTAATTGAGGTGTTTTGAGTTGAACTCTATTTTTAAGATTTATCTAATCATAGTATTGGGTCAAATTGTAAATCGAGACTACTCGTTGAATCCAATCAACTCGTCGATCATATAGGATAATAAGGTATAACCTTTCACTTCTATATCTTGCAAACACGTGAGGATATACCGATATTTTAAGATAACTAGTTAACTTCGAACTAGAATCTGAATAGATTAAATCTTGGCATCAAGATGACAAGTTTTCCTTTCGGTGATTTTGAAGTGCATGCTATCCACGATGGAATGGTCTTTTAGATCGTCATCTGCAAGGAATGAATTATGTATGATCTCCTCTTGGTATGTTATGCCGTTGTGTGGTCCATCGCAAACTAATAAATAAGTTGTCATACGTATACTTTGGGCCTTGAATCCTTATGTACTGATTGTGGAGTTCTTTGAGGGTTATGTTCCTATATTTGTTATGTGCATTTATGTGATATGTCAAGTGAAGTAATAAAGTTGGAGAATCAGGTCGAGCGGGTTCTAATTAATGCCTAGCGGAATTTTCTTCATTATGTGTTAATCGTAAATATGTAAAAATAAAAGAGAGATATAAGAGAAATACTAAAAAATTTGTGTGTGAGTTGTCATTATGTGATATGTATATTTTTATTTTATTTATTATTTTCAAATGATTTTGTGGTATTGGCATGTGAGCCTTGGCATATACCGTATTAATTAACATTTTATTTATTGTGCTTACTCAACCGTTGTGTTGATCCTCATTCTACAATTTTTTGTAGGTGATGGTGCTTCTGCTAAGTCTAAATGATGATTCCACGTTGCATGATCCATTGGAAGAAAATAGAATGATTTCATCTCCTATGATGCTTTTGAAAATTTTATTAATATCTTATGAATTAATGTTTTTTTTAAATAATTCGCTGCTTATACTTTTAATACAAATATTATTTGTTTATATAATAAGCCGATACGCTTTATCTTCAAATATCTATTTATTTGCTTGTGTTTATTATTTTAGCCTTAGTGTTACAACGTGCGGCTCATTGGCTATTGAATGAGTCGTTCAGTGTTGACATGACAATAATACTTTAATTTGAGCCGGCTGGGGTATTATATCTTAACTAATAAAAACAAAAAATCAACATAATTTTCTTGCAATAATTTAAAAGTCATAAACCAATGATTAATTCCAAAAATTCGATTGAAAATCAATGTCACTCACTCACACTTTAAAAGTAAAACAATAAATATATATATA